TGAGTCCTGAACCATCCCTTAGTTATGTGCTATAGGCCTGACTATCGGGGATTTCCCATAGTGCACTGAGCTCTCTCTCCTCTTCTTTCTGACTTTCTGTCCCTTTAATGATGTTACTAACTCCACTTCTTCCCCGGAGTTCTTGTGCTTGCTCGAGGTTCTCATGGATCCTGGTGGAGCTCCTGCCATGGTCCTGCTTGACTGCCATTGCCATACTGTTGTTGCTGTGCACCTGTCTTTGTCTGTCTGCTCCCCCTCTCCCCCCCCCCCCCTCTCTCTCTCTCTCTCTCTCACCCCAACTGGTCGACAGACCCACCCACCTAGCCGGATTTCCTGGTTTCTGCCTTTTAAAGGAGTTTTTCCTTGCCCTTGTCGCCAGTGCTTGCTCATTGGTACTGTTGGGTTCTGATTAATGTTAAAAGTTCGGTCTGACCTGCTATTTGAAAAGTGTCCTGAGATAACTTCTGTTATGAATTGGCGCTATACAAATAAAATTGAATTGAATTGAATTGAATTAATCGCGCCACTTCCTTTAGCGATATTTTGATATTTGTAACTTTATCAACTTACTTCTATCGTGTTTTAAAGTTTCAAAATCATAATTCACCATTCACAGAACCCACCATGACTTAATACATAGTTTACATGTTTAAACATAACATAACCGAAATTATTTGATGTAAAAATAAAAGCAGAACTAGTTTAAATGTCACAAACATGCATATGAAGCAACACTAATGGTTTGTACATATTTCTTATAGTGTTAGCTCAATTCTTGTTATAAAATTATGTGTCAGGCATTTATCATTTGGAATAATACACAATTATAAAACAAAGTCCGTTTTGAGGATACCTTATGCTATACCAGAATCTTACCAAAAGTTGGCACTGTGGCTCCATCAAACATTCAGACATTTTACACATGATTTTGTAACTTAGTCCAACCTGGGAATGTGAACATCAGAAAAACATTAGATTTGCGACCTTCTCATGCTGGATGGCAATCTGTTAATTTGGAGAAGATGAAATTTTACAATAGTACTCCAACAGAACTAAATCTATATCAATGCCAGTGCTGTTATTGCTATGGATTGGTATGTCCTCTAGCAAATGGACCTCTCATAAATGACCTTGAAGGAACCTCTCTCTGGAGGTGGTACAATTTAGATCAAAGGAGATGCAAACACATTCCATGTCCATTCCATAGGGATTTACAACTAAAAAGGCATTTAAATTCTCACACATCTCTTGTAAGAAAACTCTGGACCCTGACACCGCCCCTTCAGCCCCAGAGTATGTCAAGCACCTCAGAGAATGACTGGAGCTGGCACACCAAATCACCAGAGATGCACTGGGTGAGTCTGTGGAACGTGCAAAGAGACAACATGACAAGAATTGTTGCCATACACACTACAAGATTGGTGATGCTGTGTGGTACCTCATAAAAGGCACCCGGAAAATACAGAACAAGGTCAGGAAGTTTCTGCCATCGTATGAAGGACCCTACATCGTCCTGGGACAGTTGGATGATCTGGTGTTTCGTATCCAGAAAGGCCCAAGGGCTAAAGTTAAAGTGGTTCACCATGATCAGCTGAAGCTTTATCGCAGCCGCGACCCACTGGACAACACCTGGGCCCTGGAGCAGGCTCGGAGCTGGACACCAGAGGAGGTGTCACCCCCAGCCTTGGACGAGGATCCTGCTGACCCTGGTCTGGGTCTGTCCCAGCTGTTCTCCACCCCGGAGGCTGAGGAAGTCTCCAGCTGCACCTCATCAGATCTAGCTGCAGACATTTCACTCCCATCCACCTCTCTTCACCTGGACCCTGTTTCTGCTTGAGGCACTGAGGATAGTGGGGGTGATGTAGAGGAGCAACATCATCAGAGCCATCGTTCTCAAAGGCCAAACCGCCAGCAGAGACCACCAGCAAAGTATGGCGAGTGGGTGGCTCACTGAGTGCGAGAGTTTTTGGACAGTTTTCAGTTTAATTGAGCCTTTGAGTTAAATGAGGACAGCTGTTTGTTAGTGTTCAAGCTAATTGTTAGTTTTATAAGTTCAGTTAAAAAGAAAGAAAGAAAAACTTGGGAAGTAATGCTTTAATTACCACCTTCACTGTGCTTAAAACAAAAACATGTATTTGTAGTATTTCTCATTAGTTAAGGGTAATTTGTTGAGTAAACAGAGAAGTTAAGTTAGTAATTTAGCGGATCGCTAATTTAGAGTTTGGAATAAGTCATAGCATGTATAATGGGTGTTATTCAGGGCCAGCCCAAGCCTCCATGGGGCCCTAAGCAAAATTTAATTTTGGGGCCCTCTATTACTGCCATGTGTCTTTTTGGGAATGTGAATGTGTCCTTTATAGGCAGCGGCCCTCTTAATACCTGTTCAGTCCTTTCTGAGTCTGACAGGAAACAGGGACACTCAGCTGGGTCAACTGGCGGAGCTGCTGATCCCTGCTCCAAACTGGATGCTGAAGAAGACACATCAATCTCGATGACCAAAGATGAAGGACCTATAGGGAAATTAAAATAATATTTTTGGACAAAATTATTCATCTCAGAATATTCTGCAGTACACTGAGCAATTATAAAGGCTGTTTTGTTGTTAATTTACCAGGTACAGCTGAGGTTGTATGAGACACTTTCTACTGCACCAATGTGGAGAAATGCCAAAACAAAGGTCCCATAGTTGCACCTCCAAGTGGCATCTTTTCTCATATTTGAGGTACTGTAAAAATATATTGCTCAACAATTCCTGGCTATGGATGGTATATTTGACTTCTATACATATAAGAATACAAGTATACTAAATATCAAGCATTTTTACTGCAACAATTATCTCGAGATCTCGAATTAATTATCTCGTTATCTCGGGAAAACAAAGTGTCGTTATCTCGAGATCTCGAGAAAATTAACTCGTTATCACGGGAAAACGGAGGAAATAAAATGTATGAATACATGGCCCTTTAGGGCTTCCGTAGAAACGTTTTGAGAGAAACATGTTTTTTGAGAGAAAATGTTTGCACACTGATAGCAAAAAAATATATATTTGAGAGTTGAAAAAAGTATTTTGAGAGAGATTTTTTTTCTCAGAAATAATTTAAAATTTTTCAAATTTATATTTTTTATGTTCTATGCGAAAATATTTTTTTAGTCTCAAATATTATTATTTTTTGCTATTGGTATGAAAACTTTTTCTCTCAAATATTTTTTTTTTCTCTCATAAAATGCTTTTTTGCTATTTTTTTTTTTACTCAGATCATTTATTTTCTCGCATGTAATAAAGACACAAATCTAACTCCATAATAGTACCCTATTACCCCCTAGAACACTGCATTCTCTGAATGCTGGGCTACTTGTGGTTCCTATAGTCTCTAAAAGTAAAACAGGAGCCAGAGCCTTCAGTTACCAAGCTCCTCTCCTGTGGAACCAGCTTCCAGTTGTGGTTCGGGAGGCAGACACCCTCACCACATTCAAGAGTAGGCTTAAGACATTCCTCTTTGATAAAGCTTATAGTTAGGGCTGGATCAGGTGAGTCCTGAACCATCCCATAGTTATGCTGCTATAGGCCTAGAGTATCGGGGGATTTCCCATGATGCACTGAGCTCCTCTCTTCCTCTCTCTTTCTGCACTCATTCATGTCCCATTAATGCATGTTACTAACTTCACTTCTTCCCCGGAGTCCTTGTGCTTTCTTGTCTCGCAGGTTCTCATGGATCCTGGTGGAGCCTCCTGCCATGGTCCTGCTTGACTGCCATTGCTAATATCACTGATATTATTATTATTATCACTATTATTGTTACGCTGTTACAAATGAAAACTGAATTGAATTGAATTGAATTGAATTGAATTGAATTGAATTGAATTGAATTGAATTGAATTGAATAAGGAGTCCAGGTTTTGTTACAGTTTTAGGTGGATAAGGAATGCTAAGGCACATAATGTAGACCTAGGTAATCTAAAACAAACCCCACTGTTCAATCATCAGCTATACCTCCTTGAAGATTCAGCATGCCATCCATAGATACAAGTCTGCAGCAAAAACTAAAAGAGAAACCTAAACTGGTAGTACAAAATTATATCGACCAACATCATCACCAGACGAAATCTGATTCTGATTCTGATTCATACACTAACAGCTGCGGCTGCCATGCCAGTTGCTCATCAGAAACAGAAACTAAGGTCATTCACACATAATCAACCTAATATAGATGCACAGCATCAGAAGCAATTTGGGGTTCAGTATATTGCTCAAGGACACTTGACAATTGAATTTTGGATTCAGTATCTTGCTCAAGGACACTTGACATGCAATTGAGAGGAGCCAGGGATAGAATTGCTAACCTTCTGATAAGTAGACGGCTGGGGGGTGGCTGTGGCTCAGAGTTAGAATCTTAGAATAGAATAGATCTCATCACAAACTATATGGGCTACATAATTGGGGACTGGATGTCTGGAAATGAGAAGATGGATATGTTGGCAAAATTGATATAGAAGTACCACTAAGTAAAGCAGAAGTTAAAACGATCATAAAGGATCTTGGCAGGAATACTGGGACTTATGTGAAACCGGAAGACATCTTTACAATATTCAAAAACATGCAAGCATTGGTGAATTAGAGAGCAGAAGCCCAAAGGAAGAGATACTCATCACCCATCTGAGAATAGGACACACAGGATTAAATGATACTCTCCATATCATAGGCACAGTGGGCTATGCACTCATTGTAACAAACTGAACAATGTCAAATATGTTTAGACTGCAGCAAATATGATCAAGAAAGGAGGGGATTAATATCATATTAGAATATTTGATGAGGGACATATTATTACATTTACCAATGTTTAATTTATTATTTAGAACAGGAATAACAAAGAGAATGTAATCATTTTGTTTGTGTTGTTTCCTGCCAACCTACTGCCAGTCCAGTAGGTGGCGGTAATGCGCCTATAACCGGATTGACCAACCTCCATTAAAACCCAAAGAAGAACATAGTTCATGTTCCGTTTCCAGGGCGACTCAGTTGGCGGCCAAAAAGCGCCAAACCAAAAATACAAAGGGACAACAGTGAGTATGTGAAGGGTCCGTGGAAGCCTCTCAGTATCAAACTCTGCTCATATTTGTGCCTTTAACGTTGACCTATTTACTAACGAGTCAGTTTACCGTTCCAGTTAAAGACTTGTTTAGTTTGATAAAGAAAAACATCATGGAGGAACTCTTCAGCAAAGTGTTACAAGTGAACGTGAGGTGCAGGGACTGTGAGGAAAGGTAAGACTGCGGACGTTGACATTAGCTAGTGTACGTAAATCAGAGAGTACCGGTACATTTCAACTGTAGACCAGGGCGAAGACATCTTAATGTGTCATCTTAATATTAGCAATTGTTTGCATTGTTTATTAGTGCAAAACAAAAGATAGAATATTAATATAACACCTAGCTAAGGTGTACATTAACAATGGTGACCAACCATGATGTTTAAATGTAGTCTGTTAGATACACAGCAACAGGGGCAGAGCCAGATGTTGTCTGGGCATGCTCCCCCAGGGAATTTTTTTACAGTTTACAGCAGCCATACCTCACTTTTTTGTCTTCAAAACGACCACGCCCCCTTTTGGGTGAAACAAGCCTGTAAAAGTGCCTAATGCCTGGTACCTTGCCTCAAAGCTGCTGCTTTGCCTTTTGCAGTAAAAGAGTGATCTGTGGCTTTAGGCAATCCACAAAGAGGATAAAAATGACCCGGAAAGTCAGTATGTGTTTGTCTGTGGCAAATACTTCATCACAGGTTAGTTAATGATCTTACTGAGTAAATGACATGTATGCTGATTGTAACTGTAGATTGAAGTGAATCAGTAAAGAGTCTTAGTGATGCCCTACCATAAAGCACCCCTGCTTTTAAAATGGAGTTTAGTGAGACACTGTGGAGCTGAGGGTATTTTAACCATAATAATTCACATAAACTGAGCTGACCTAACTTCTAATAATTAACCTTGTAAACAGCATAGTAACGTAGGAAGTGGAGATAAAACCAACATGTTTTCTACTTCTGTCGGCTTGTGGTAAAAGGTTGATTAATAACCAAAAACAGGCATGTAATTAGTTTACAGGAAGGCTACATTGGACAGACAACCGAAGAAGAAAAATAAAGAGTCTGAACGACAGGAACAGTGACAGATGTCACAAATATGAGATTCAGTAAGGTAGCTGTATATGTCAGGACACTCATCAGTAACTATTTCTGTATTTTGTCTATATAATGAAAGTGATCGTTGATCAGCATAATTATTTGCCTTGCCATAGGATTTGGGCTCCCAATAGCTAAAAAGCAGTACGGTATTCTTATTTGTTTTATCTTATTTATTCTTTATTTAAATTGGCAAAGACTTCAGAATTTACATTTACTGCCAGCCAAATTGGAGGGAACGCTTTCACCCAAAAAGGAGCGAGGGCTCGACGCCAGTTGAGATAATAGATTGTCTACAAATCTGAACATCATTTGGGAAAAACACGATAGTTATATAGAAAAAAACCCAAATCATCCTATTTTATGTCAAATTGTTCTCCAACTGTCTTCATCAACCTGAAACAAGAACACAGCATCGGCATTGCTTTTTACAAAAAAGATTTGAGTGTAGTTGATTACTAGTACTAGTTGATGTCCGTTGTGTGAAACCATGTCAGAAACCATGTTTAAATGGTTTGAGATGATTCTGCCAATAATATCGCTCTCTCTTTTTTATTTATTTTTTATTGGTGGCATATATGATACATTGGTGATATTGATTACTATGTGACATCAAACTGAATACACATACAAATAACGTACAGCAAGACAAAAGATGAAAGTTTCCACATTGTAAACAATAACAGGATCAGTATGGGCAATATGAATGTCTGTGAGGTATGGCAAAGAGGAATAACATAATTAGAAGGGAAGTAGTATCTATTTATCTGTTAAGATTACATAAACATACAGTTTGAAGTCAGATTGTTAATTACCAACATTAACTGTTTAATTTTACAGGAAAGCAAATATCCGTGTCACCATTGAGCTTCAGTTGACAACAAGTCCAGTACACAAAAGGGTGAGTAGGAGTTTGACATGACACAAGTTAGATCGTGGTATATGTCACAATAGCCAGCGCTCAACTCTGTACACTCCAGGCCTTTATTGTATAACTGTTATTAAAGACAGGGTTTCTTCCAGGCGACTAACTTTCTGTTGTTTATATCAGGATCTTCTTGTAAAACTGACTGATGATCTAGACCCATATTTTCTCTTCAACCTCTCTATATCAGAAGAAGATTTCCAAAGGTAAGTATTGGTAGAAATGTATAAATAAGGTTTCTCAGTGTTTGTATTTAGGATGTCATATACAAGCTTCCTTGTAACTCTCACTGATGTTTTCTTTCTCTGTCATTGTGTAGTTTGAAAGTCCAGCAGGGGCTGCTGATAGACTTTGCGTCATTTCCCCAGAAGTTTATTGACCTGCTTAATCTGTGCTGTTCTGAACAACAGTCAGACAATCCAAGGTACAATGAAACCCAAACCACCACATGACATCACAGCTTTAGGGTTCTCACGCAGTATGGAAAAATATGGATTTTGATTTTTAGTAATTTCCAAATCTGGATAAGTCTTGAAAATAGAAAAAGAGAGTATAGAAAAATATTTGTGTTTCCAGACTCTTGCCCCTTTTATGTTTTATAAAATTAAAAAGTAAAAGTATGTTTTAGTGTCATTGTGAAAGTAGGAAGTATATTTTCAAGAATATTGTGATAATATCGTATATTGCACTTATTTTGGCCAAGATAATCGTGACATTGCCCCATGCCTAATCACAAATAAAAAAATATTAAGCTAGTCTGAACATTTCTGAGCTCTCCACTGATGTAGTTATTAGAAAAGTAAACAGCCTATTTTTTCTGCGTATGGAAACGTTGATGGCTGCGCTCATCGTTGTTTCCATGGACACAGTGAATACACTACAGTAGGATTTAAAATCATTTATTCACATAATAAACATCTAGCTATTGTACTCAGATGTCAAAAATGGTCTGAAAAGTCTTCTGAGAAGAGTCGAAAATTTTGGTCTGGAAAAGTCTGGAATTTTGAAATGGAAAATGTGCAGCCACCCTGTGTACTGATTTGTATCAGTCCTAATAATTCAATTTATTTACATAAATATTGTAAAATACAGATAAAATAGCAAATAATGCTAAAATTAGACAATGGCATGCATGTGGTTGCTTTTATCACCTTATCTGGTTCAATCTGTGGGGTAGACAAAATATTATATATTATACCTTTCATTATAATGTACTCCAGTAAAACAACATCATACACTACATGGCTGTTCATTGTCTTTTCCACAGGTTTCTTCTGCACTTGTCATGTCATTCTCCAGTGCTGGAAGGCCCTGCCAACTTCAGTGTTGTAGAGACAAATGCGTTTAAACATCTGAACCACTTGTCTTTACAGCTCGCTCACGGCTCTGATAAAGAGGTTAAAGACTATCTGGCAGTGTGTCTCTCCTCCCTGAAGGTTGGCTCATTCACCATAATTAATCATCACGATACTGTCTGGCCTTTTGAATAGAGGTTTAAATTGTAAAACTCAAGTGATCAAACTGGGGTTGGCTTGTGGAGTTCTGCAAAGCGAGACACCAAGCCAAACAGTGGCAATGGGATTTATATCATTGCTTATGTTTTGGTTGTGCATTTCAGCTGGTTGAGTTAATGCAGTTCAGTGTATAGAGTGCTGCAGGAATCACTCATAAAACACGGAAATGAGTTAGCATATTTGAATCTCTATTTCCCTTGCCTCAAAGTCAATGGATTTTTAGAATTATTTTTATGTTTTACGTAACATACTAATACAATAAATACTCCACCTGTGAATTTTGAAGCTTTTACAGTACAACAAAAGGGCAGTTGCTAACACATAGCTTAATGAGACTACAGAGGTTGTCGATGACATTAAAACATGGAGACTTATCAACTCACTAGTCTATCTTTACTGCCTTGTGTTAATACTCGCACTCTTGCAAACTTTCCAACTTGTATATTTTAATTACAAGTTGGAAATTTAGTGGTTGTGATGTTGGAAGTCATGTGACTATGGTGTAGGCTATAAATGGACTAAACTTTAGGTTTTTACTTATGTTTAATGTAAAATCCAATGGAAAAATCACATTGGCCTTTTGTCGAAGCAACCAGGACAATGCTAACATTCGGGTAGAAAATAAATAGTCCCTGCAACACCATTCTTTTTAAGATTAAATATAAAAAAGTATATAGATCAGGAGAGGAAAGGCTTCTTGAAAAGTTAATAAATACATAAACCTTCCCATATTTTATTATTATATTTTAGAACAATGTAGGCTTTCCTGAGAAGGCTATAAGTAATAGTTACAGTATCTTCCATTTCTTAAGTTATGTTTATAAAGATGTGTCATCTCAATGTTTCAGGCAGCAAAGCAGGCCCTAGAGATGAAGCTTAAGAAGACTGAAGAGGATTTGTCCAGGCAGCTGAGTTATGCTCAACAGGTGTGTTTTTTCATTCGAGTTGTGTTCCGCTAATCCTGTGTGCAAGTGCAGGTAGGTCCAGCAGTGCTATGTCCAAAAGGTGCTGGGGTGAGATCGAATATCGATCCGACCAGATCACTAATCACACAGCTTTGAAACAGATCAGCCAATACACACAATGACAGCCATAGATCAACCAATTGAGAAACAGTTTCTCCAAGAAATAGTATTATTTGGATGGTGCAGAGTGACACAAGGTGAAGACAGAAGCACAACTCGGAAGTCTGATTACATCTTGTTTATGTTGCTAGTTTTATTTCACTGTTAGCTAAATATTATATCCATGTAATATTAGGGGCAGGTGATCTGGCCAAAACATAATATCACAATCTATTTCATTGCAATCCACAGTCTAAATTGCAAACTTTTTTCTCAGTTTTGTAATGCTCTGTACACTATAGCCAGGCATGAAATAGGACATAAATATTTACATTTGCACCATTAAAGCTGCAGTAGTTAACTTTTATTTAAAAAAAATGTTTACCTTTCTTGATATCCTGACAGCAGTACATGAGGCAGCTAATCTGTGAAAAAAATCAGGTTCCTCTGGCTCCTTCTAGTGCTCCTAATGGTATTTGCAAGAATCCACCGGGCCTGAAAGCAAACAACCAATCAGAGCTGAGAAAGAGTTTATTTGTTGAGTCTCATTCCCAGATCTTCAAATATCAATGCTGGGAAATAAAGTCAACAATCAACTGTCTTAAAGCCTCCAACCCAAAGTGTCTTTCTATCTATCTTGGCTCTGATTAGTTGTTTTCAGTCAAGCCTGGTGGATTCTTGCAAATAAACAGAATTACATGTGAAAATATTGTGGCTCTACACGCTTTGTGTTGCCTGACGTCCCTCTTGCTCCTCTCCTGCATAATGCCTCTCCTATCCCAGCCTGTTGCCACTGTGTCTTTGGATCTGGTTGGACTTGCTGTAAATCACCTTGTTACTGTATATTCCCTGTTATCAAACTGGTTGAAAAAGAGTTCACAGAGTTGGATGCAAAAATCTTCTGGCTTTACAGCTTCCCCTTACCTCTCACTTCTTCTTTGGCTCATCGTGTATACTGCACCACTGAGCAGCGGCTCTTGGCTAAAAAGCATCCGGTGATGGAATTGACGATATGTTCTTCCAGTTGCCCTAACCCTAACAGCCTTTCCAGTGAGCCAACATTCACAATTGCAGCCCCCTGACCCTGTTTGGGATGGTGGAATGGAACGAAACATCAAAAGATGAAGAAAAATTAAATAAAAGATGCAACTTTGTGAAGGTTTTTCCAATATATATTATATCCTTTCAATGCAAAGGGTTGATTTCCTTTCATTTTTGATGTCTAATGAAAAAATAACAATGGCTGTTATTGGAGTGGTTAAAAATGGAACAGTGCTTGTCTTAACATATCTGTATCCTCTTACAGACTCTGTCTGAGAAGACAAAAGAGTTGGACAAACTGCGTTCAGAGTGGACGAATCAGACCAGCTGTCTGTCCAGACGTCACTCTGAGGAGTTACAATCAGAAAGAGAAAAGGCTGTAGAGGTAAGGCTCCTTATCTTTACTGGACTATGTATCTATTGCGTTTGTTATTAAATGACATGAAATGACAAAAATCCTCTTAAAGACCCATGTTGAAAAGGGGTTTGTATCTTGTTGCTCTTCAACACAGACAACCGCTCTATTTGTTATGTTATTGCTTTCTCATAGCTCTGAAGCTCTGTAGTGCATTTTTTGCGTGTTAGGAGGCAGGGTTTTTTTGGAACATACAAAGCATAAGGATCAACAGCCAAGAGGTGGAGTATGCTGCAGGAGTTCTTTGAGATGTTTATTGTGTAAGTCTTTCAGTTACAGAGCAGGCTGCAGCAGCAGACTGAGCAGCTCCGTCAGGAGCTGGATAGTGCCCATAAGAAGAGCAGCCAGCAGCTTCATAGCAAACTGACAGAGCTGGAGGCGTCCTGCAGGGAGTTGACAGAGAAAAAATACAAGAACGAGTCTGCCATTAGAGACCTGAAGATTAAACTAGTGGGCGCAGAGGAGGTAAGTGTATGACGAGGATGAATGAGGAATGACTGGACCCAGATTACTGGTTGTTTTAAACTTGCAAATAACAGATTTTCTTTATTTTTTCAAGATTATTATGATCAATATTGCCTTGTAAACTCGTGTTTCGGCAGTTAAATACTTTTGATGAGAAGCTGCAGCAGTAGGTTTTCGTTGGCAGTAACTTAATACAGCATTTTTTTGTCTGGGAAACACCATGTCAACATAATGTGGTCATTCATTTACACAAATCTTTTAAGGATTAATAGGATAGGAGAAGGATTTAGTGGCATCCAGTGGTGTAGATTGCAACCCCTTTGCTTAACCCTCCTCTTCCAAGTGCAAAACAGAAACTACTATGGCCACGAAATGCACAAAAAAGGTGAACAGCTATATCTAGAGCCAGTGTTTGGTTTGTCCCTCCCGATTACTGTAGAAACATGGTGGTTTAATGTGGTGGGCCCTCAGTGTCTGTGGATATAAAACACAAACATAACGATTCCTATATTAAGGTGATTAACCACTAAACATAGTTGATAGTAGTTGATAGTAGATACAGAAGGTAGTGCCTTACATTTGGAGTTGTTACCCAGGTGTCACACAGTGTCTTAACTTAATTTAAATGTTAAGGCTGTTATATACTCGCTCTTCCCGACCTGTCGCACGACAATGTGACGTCAAAATGACCTAGCTCTCGCTGGTGCGCTAGGATTTAGGCCAGGTCGCGCACCCCTTTTTTTTTTTTTTTTTTTTTCAGGTGAGAGCGCCAATGCGGAAACAGGAAAATGGACAAGTTTGAGGGCAAGCTTTCCGAGCAAATGCGCCTCTACAGGCATCTGTACGCTCCTTCGATGAAGGAACACAGAGAACACAGAGATGCCCATAGGTGCGATTTCTCGCCATGAATGTTGGAAAAGAAGAGGCCATATGCTGGAAAATTTGGAAGAACCTCCACGACCGATTTGGAAAATCAAATAAGAGGTCGCCATTGTTTACCTTTTTCTTCTTCTTCTAGTGTGTAGAAATAGCAAAGTCGGTAGCCTTTCCTCAGTTGCCACACCTCTGTTCTAGGGGTGGGCGATATATATCGTTTGCGATAATATTGTCATTGTTGTTTTGACGATGTGCAAATTTCCATTATTGAGTATTTAAATTACTTCGCCAAAAATATTGAAACACACGCGGAAACTCCTCACATCCACTTAATACACGGTGCAGCAACACTCTCTACAGCACGGCAGGATTCAGTCACAGGACTAGAGGGCCTACATGATCACATGACGTGATCACATGACCTCTCGTTTGCATCCTCCTTGCAACAGTTTAGCAGCGCGTTGTGATGGTAGAGAGAAAGTGCAAGCACCTCCAGTCCCTGAAGCTACCGGTACTTCAGATGATTTAGTGCCAATACAAATCCTATGAGCTTCAGTGTTCAGAGCGCTAAGCGCCTTCAGCGGTAAAAAGATGTCAGCGGAGACGTTTTTTTAGCGCAGCGCTCAGAGCGCTTCAAGTTGAAATCTGTTCAACTTTTAACAACGCTGGGTGCTTGGAAAATGAGTTTTTCAGCGCTCTCAGCACTAAAAACGCATTTGGTGGACACAAGCCCTAACTCAGACAATTCCAAACACATTTTAAAGGATATCAACTGATTATCGTTATCGCCAAAATCCCAAAAAATATTGAGATACTATTTTTTGCCCATATCGCCCACTCCTACTCTGTTCAGGAGAAGACTGCAACTAGTGTCGCGACAACCACGCGCAAGTATAAGTAGTTACGGCGCTCCCGTGACGTCACATTGTCGCGCTACAGGTCGGGAACGGCGAGAATATAACAGCCTTTACACACTGGACCTTTTTAAAGGGCTATTTGTAATACAGATTACAAACTATGTCCTCTGGTTGGGTATACTGAGGTGTAAGCTATTTTGTTCTTTTGTCCTAGATGATAATTATAATTTAAAAACTGATTTGTGTGTGTGTGTGTGTGTGTGTGTGTGTGTGTGTGTGTGTGTGTGTGTGTGTGTGTGTGTGTGTGTGTGTGTGTGTGTGTGTGTGTGTGTGTGTGTGTGTGTGTGTGTGTGTGTGTGTGTGTGTGTGTGTGTGTGTGTGTAGGAGTGCCAGCGTTTGAAGCAACAGGTCCTGTCTCTCAGGAGGGAGAACAGCACTCTGGATACAGAGGTCCATGAGAAGGAGCGTTTGGTGAGCCAGCTCCAGATGAGAGTAGCTGTTCTGGAACAAGAGATCAAGGATAAGGACCAGCTCATGCACCGCACAAAAGAGGTGCTGGAAGCCACTCAGCAGCAGAAGGTAAGATCTGTAACTGTATGTGTGTTTTTTCAATCACCTGAAAAGCCACGTTGGGAAAAAAAATGCAGCACAATTACAATAATCTTCAGTGACACTTTGAGCATGTCCTGGTCTTATGCTACACACTATCACATCCACCTAATACACTTTTGAGACACGGTTCCTCATTTGTATTGCCTCGCATTGTGTGATTAAAGCTGTCATCTTGTGAGTTTCTAATTTGTATCTCATTCCTCTAGGTGACATGTTCCTTCATTACCATGAACACACACTGTAGTTTAGGTTGAGACAATCCTGCATACATAGTGCTGCTGTCTTTTAGAGGTGTAAATTCTGCAATTACCAGTATGGCAGTCTATATAGTTAATTTTTGAGCTTGAATGAAAATATGTGAGTTGTGCACAGATATGACTCTGCAAAGGTACTCGGAAGGCTGCTTTCTTAAATTTTATATATATATATATATGTATATATAAGTGTGTGTGTGTGTATATAAAAAGAAGTTAATATTCTTTATCATGTTAAATAATTTAAGACATTGCTGAGGGGAGGATTCTTCTTCAGGCATTGTGGTGATAGCTGCAGGTTTGTGCGTGGTGCTGTCAAAATTGGCCATAAAAGACTGTTCCTTACTCACATCACGTAGGTTTGAGTTAAATGTTGCAATTCCTCCTTTAGTGATAATGGTACAATGATTTTCTCACTACCAGTGCTCTCACTGTCTCTCTCATTTGCTGAAAAAGACACAAACCAAAAGAAACTGCTTGGTATTGCTATTTTGCAGCATGAACTACAAACCAGACACAGGTGTTGAAGACACATCTGAGAGAGTATCATAGTTAGTTCCATGAACTCTCACACTCACATTCTCCACCTAAAGATAGATATTTGCTAACAAGAAAATCCTTTAGGTGTGAGAGCCACAGACAGCGTAGAGAAATTAGTGAGAAACACTAACACATTGTTGTAAGTAAGAAAAATAGACTTATTCTTTAAGTAGGTTCTCTTTCTAATAATTCTAAATTTTGTAATTGTATATTTTTTGTTTTGTAGGAATCAATGGAAGACAATGCTGAAAGTAAAGAACATCAGATCAGAAAACTTGAAGCTACGGTGAAATCACTGTCTGAGGAGCTGATAAAGGTTGGTAAAAGCAGTGTGTACTTTTATATCTGTAAACATTCTAAAAACACAAAACCAATGCAGTCTAACTGAACAGCCCTGTAATAAACCTTCATGAAGGTTGTAATGTTCAGTTTTTATTGAAACAGTTTGAGAGAGTTGTTGATTCAACTTTATGATCAGTTTTGAGGATGTACTTTATGTTGCTATTGAATGCTTTTGCATTTTAGAGGGAGTTATCTGTTACTTGACTTAGTTTTATTGATAATCATTGGGTGGACAAAATATTAGAAACAGATGTGTGGTGTACCTTATAAACTGGCAACTTAGTATACTGTTTAACTGCACCTTATGTTTGAACATACTCCAGTTTCTTACCTCCTTTATTCAATTTCTTATCCAGGCTAATGGTATCATTAAGAAGCTGCAGGGAGAGGTTCGAGGCCTAGTTGGAAAAATAAAAGTAAAAAACACTGTGACTGTGTCACAGGAGAAGGTCCTCCAGGACACGTCAGAAAAACTTCAAAATGTTGAAAAGGATCTACAGAGTGCTCAGCAGCAGCTCGTCAGCAAGGATGAGCAGGTATGTCTTCAAATCATGGAAACTGCACACACTGCATTTAACATCTTCAGGCCTTTCTTCATCTGTTAGGGTTAGGAATTTCAGATCATCTCAAATTCTGATGTACCAGATTTGGGATTGTTACGCTATAGATTTGAAAAGAAAAATATTGCAGTTGCTTTTTCTTAGTTCAGTATAGGGATGCGCGATAATTATCAGCCGTTAGTGGGAAATTTATATTATTCTAAATGATCCTACACCCAATAAATTAGCATTTGATATTAATAATAATTTATTTGGAATTCTAATCCAAACCATTTGATAGGCTTTATGTTCTATGAAAGCCAAAGTATGTTTTTGATGTTTTCTGATGAACTTCACTAGAAAAGAATAAAAGACCATTTCAAGAGTCAGAACTGGTGTTTATTGTTGTTTTGTTAACAATAGTGATGTTATATTTGATTAGAACAGAGCTAAGAGAATAATAATTAAGAATATTAAATCATCCAAGTGTGCATAAACTACAGGTTATGAACCTTTTAAAATCCCCCCAAAAAATCCATATTATACATCCCAATTCCAATATTTCCATTATGGAGATGTAAGAGACATTTTATTATGTATGCCTATGGGATAAAATTAATCCTAGAGACCAGTGTTGGCATTTCAAAGTAACACATTACTGTACTTTCGTTACTTTTGGCCGTAACTAGCAATCTAACTATTACATTTTCAAATTAAATAACACAATTACAGTTATTTTCTAACCTGAAAATAGTGGATCACTGCAGAAGAAGGCAGACATCTGAGCTTGTCCTCTGGATTTTCTGGTTCATGGTCTAACATCAGCGACCTTACAATGACCCAATATAGTTCAGGCTGTTCATGAAATAATTATATATTTACCAACTACGGTAGCAATGTTCGGTGAATGTGTACATTTGTGTGGGTCTAATACTAAATCCTCCTGTCTACTAACCAAAGCTGCGTTTCAATAGTCGTTTAACTTGCTATCGTTGACCTCCCCTCTACACTCCCCTCAGAGGACTGAGGGAGGTGAGGGAGCGACTCAACAACGATGGTCACTCCAAAGGTGTAAATCACCCACAATGCATTTGGTGCAATGTTTAGATGATTTAATATACAGTATTATTTAGTTGATTTTTATTTCAATTACCAGGGGCAATGCACATTAAACAGTATTCAAGGTTACACAGCAATGTAAATGTGTCGGAGTTAATGAACTGATTTTCATCCAGAGGAAAATCACAGATCAAATTGCTTTTCAACAACCCACATTAACTCTGACTTACAAACGCCAACACAGAATATGCACCACTGACACCAGTTTGTAGACTAGATATAGGTTAATTTATACAAAAGAAATTATTTAATATTAACTTAATGATGCTATCATTTGTATGTTACAGGTTTCAAAACTGAAAGAACAGTTGGAGGCTACGGTACAGAAGTTAAATGAAAGCAGAGAGGTGTTAAAAACCAATGAGAATGGTGAGGAAGCTTCTCATTTCATCTTGTCTCATTTCAGTGATTAATCGACTAACTATAGTTATGTCACCCAATGGCACTGCAACCTTTCTCACAGCAGCCAATTTGACATTAAATAGTAGCGTAAACACAAGTGTTACCAATGATACTAATGAAGGTTCCTTCTCATCCCTCAGTGTTGAAAACCCACTCCAGCCATGATTTAAAAAACATAAAAATACTCTGAAATAAAAGTTCAATTACCTTGTTAAAAAATTATAAAGAAACAATGAAGAATGGCATGTTCTCCCTCACTGAAAATCAGGAAGCTATGAATATGTATATATCGTTCATTTCAAAGGTTTAACTGTTAACTAACACAAGACGCCTCCATTTTCATTGAAAAGTCCAATGTATGTGCACTTTAGGTGTCAGGTTCAACAGCACACTTGTGTAAGCTGCACACTGGACCAGGATTGGCTTCCAACTAGTTGTGATTAGAGCTTTGTTCAGGCCCAAAAATTCAGAGCACAAAATATTCTGTGCGATCCCGAACAACGAGAGAAGTTTTGGGCCAGAGCCTGACCCAAACCTGAATTTCGGCATTAAAAAAAATTACAAGTTACAAAATAAGCAGGGGAGTCGAGTAGAAACAGGACTTGCTGGGTGGTCAAAGTCTGAAAGTTTGTATTCTGCTTGTTAAACAGGTGTTTAATAAATGAGTCTTATTTTCTTCTTTTTGTTGCACTAATGTATAATTAGCATTGTCGGCATTGACTGCAGTTAAATATATCATAAAGTCTATTTCATTCCCTCCACTACTGTCATGCCATCCAAAGGTGAAGCCTTAAATGGGTAAAAGTCCGTTTTTTTTTTTTTTTTGTTCTTTTTCAAAAACACACACTCAACTTGTTGACATTTGAATAATTGATTTGCCAAGAAAAAACCTTTCAATCATTAACAGAAATTGCTCTATAATTTCTTGTAAACTCCAGCAGTAGAAAAAAACAACTAAAATTTACAGGGACAAGAGATAGTGGTCAAAATTGGCATAAAACTATGCCCAGCCAACACTGAACACATACCTGGCTGGTTAGATGAGTATATATTGCCGTCATTCAGTCACCTTATTAAACAACAAAGCCTCCCGGTATTAGATGATTAATAAATGTAATATATATAATAATACAGTACTTGACTGCAGTAAAATATACCATAATGTCTGTTTCATTCACTGCTTTAAAGCTACTCTGTGAATAATAATGTAAATGGCAACTGTGGTCTATATACTGTGGTGGTGGTCAGAGGTATAAATGCTCAGAAATCTTTTGTATTCTATTTTAGCACCTTCTACGTTTCATGAAACATCAAAAACACATAGGCTATTTGTGAAAAGTTTTAGGCTGAAAAGTTTGTAGTTTAATATAACAGTCCATTGTCTCGGATTTAGTGGCATCTAGTGGTGAAGTTGCAGATTAAAACTAACTGTATTTGACAGGGAATGAGAATTGGCTGTGAAGTTTGTAGAAGAAACTACTGTGCCTGCCAAACTCAAAATTAACAGCAACATCTCTTATCAGAAACGGTTTCTCTATTATTTTGTACAATCCACAAACTTCACCTTCAGTAGTTTTCTAGGAACTATGAAGTATTTTTAATGAAAACTGTTGACCAGAAGCATGTATGCAGCACATGTGTTAATAATCTCTTATATTGTATCATGAGAGTAAGCCTGAAAAACAATGGTGTATTCCTGCCATTAGAAAGAAGAAACAAATTAAAGAGAACTGGGTATGTCAAAACAGTGATTTTGCAATTCTTGAAATATCACATTGCTAACAAATTAAAGTCTAAAAGTATGAGGATCAAAGCTCCTTGTCAGGTATGCCTGTTTTTAACACCAATGTAACATCCTGTTATGTTTTTCTTTTTACTACAGTGATAAGCTGGCTTAACAAACAGCTAAATGACAAGCAGCTGTCCAGAAAGCCACAGTCTCCTGAATCTTTGGAGAATCCTTCAGTTTTATCCACATCAACAGGACTGAGGGTAGGAGATACTTCCTGGCTGAGCCAAAATACTTCCTAATTAAACACTGTTTTTGTGTTCTGTGTTCCTATAACAGTTGAGCAGTCAGAATCTCAGTCAACTTCCTCCTTTCCTTTACTTTGATATGCTCTTTACAAAGCTCATCTATGTTGAAAAGACAACCACATTTTGAACATGGTTAAAAGATAGACATATATGTACACTGCGTGCACAATTGTTGGGGAAGTTGTATTCCTGAGGATTCATTTTATTTTCAATAGTACAGTGCTTTCACTCAATCCAACATGTTAATAAACCTCAAACCTGAGTATTTAACAAAGGAAAACTGAGTTTTAGCTTTCTCAGGAGAATATTGATGGAATGTCGTAAATATCACAACTTTTAATCGTGAATGTCTTCAGATGGCTGTGTCTGAATCTGAAGTCGATCCGATAAATTCCCTAGGAGGCGCTCGTTCAAATACGTGTGCAAATTGCCAAAAATGGCTGCTAAATCCAAAATGGCGGACTTCCTGTTGGGTTTGGGATATGGCACCCACTTGATTTTTTGTGCGTCAAGATAAGATCTACGCGTGGGCTGATTTTTATGCATATCGGTGAAAGGGGCCCCGGGTGGTACAGTTTATGGGCCCCCGAGGGGCCATTTTGCCATGCTCAGGAAATAGGAAATAAAAAAATATTTGTCACGACTTCCACGTTTTCATTTTCAGTTTTTGAGCCTGGGAAGGCCTCCAAAAATGCGATTCATTTGTTACTAAAATAAGAATCCCTTATATAAGCCCTAATAATCCTTACAGATCCAATAGGACCTTCGGCTCTAAAAAGAATTCCTTCAATTACAATAGGGCCTTCGCACGGTCAGTGCTCGGGCCCTAAAAAGAAGAGTTCCTACAGATACAATAGGACCTTCGCACGGTCAGTGCTCGGGCCCTAATAAACAACTCGAAATTTATATATATATAGACTTCTGACATGTCAACAAATATTCAGTGACCAATATAGCCACTCTTCTTTTCAATAATTGACATGAGCCTTCCACCAATGGATTTTCTTAGTTTCTTGATCTATTGATGATTGAAGTTTTGTGCAGCAGCAACCACAGCCTCCCTAGTGTTGTCTTCCCTCACTGTAAATATCACGTTTAAGAAGGTCCCACAAGTTCTCAATAGGGTTTAGGTCAGGTGAGAAAGGGGGCCATGTCAGTATTCTTTAAGGCCTTTGCTGGCTAGCTACGCAGTGGAGTACTTGGATGCATGGATAATAATGTTAAATAATAATGTTATAAGGAGTTCGGTCTAGACCTGCTCTATTTGAAAAGTGTCCTGAGATAACTTCTGTTATGAATTGGCGCTATACAAATTAAATTGAATTGAATTGAAATGAATGGAGCATTGTCCTGCATAAAAATCATGGCCTTCTTGAATGATGCAGACTTTTTCCTGTACCACTGCTAGAAGAAAATATCTTCTAAAAACTGGCAGTAGGTTTGGGAGTTGATTTTAAGTCCATCTTCAACCCGAAAAGGTCCAACTAGCTCATTCCTAATAATAGCAGCCCATACCAGTACCCCACCTCCACCTTGCTTGCGTCTGACTAGAAGTGGAGCTCTGTGCCCATTAGTGATCCAGCCACAGGCCCATCCGTCTGGTCTGTCAAGAGTTAAAAATATAAAGTATCTATCTAATCTAATCTAATCTAATTTCATCCGTCCATAAAACCTTAAAAACCATAAAAATCTGTCTTCAGATATCTCTTGGCCAAGCCTCAACGTTTCAACTTGTCTTGTTCAGGGGTGGTAGTGTTTCAGCCTTCCTTACTTGGGCCATATCTGTGAGAACCGAACACCTTGTACTTCTGGACACTCAATGTAGGTTGCATTGCTGGAATATGGAATATATTAACACTGGAGGTTAATGGGTTCCTGGTAGCTTCATGTTTAATTCTTCTCAAGTCTTTAACAGTTAATTTACGCCTTTTTTTTCTCCGCGCATTTCTTGACTATTTGCAACAAAATGTACACATCACCTGATAATGCTTAAATCCAATTAGCATTCAAGTTTATATAGCTTGGAGTTGGAAAATATGCATGAAAATGATGAGGTCAAGATACTCACTTGCCTAATAATTGTGCATGTTTTATGCAATGCCTATATGTGAAAATATATATATACATATATATGTATGTGTATGTATGTGTGTGTACATATATATATCCAATCCAATCCAACTTTATTTGTTAAGCACTTTAAAAACAACCAAAGTTGACCAAAGTGCTGTACAGGAGAATAAATAGGACATAATAAATGTAAACAGTGATGATGATGATGAAGACCACTGTGAGGAATATAGACAGTGATGGCGACAACACTGGAAAGTTCCCGTGGCAGACAACACGGACGAAGTCCGACGGCGATGAGCTCGATGTCCGGGCTGCAGACGCTCTTTCACACAGAGTGCCCGGCGTTACACCACCTGTTGTTTATGAGCACGGATAGTCCCCCTCCTTTCTTCATGCCGGTCGCGGTGGTGTCCCTGTCGGCTCGAACCGTCTGGAAGCCGGGAATGGTGACGATGGAGTCCGGTATCTGCTCGATGATTGCAGGGATGTAGAGTTTAAAGCTCCTCTTCTTCATCCTCCGTTTAACCCCCGCTCTGCAGCCTCACCGTCTCCTCAGCTCCTGCAGTATGGAGGGTCTCTCTCCAGTCAGGATGCTCGGGTACCTCAGGGCGATCATCTGGTCGCGGGTGAAAACAATGCGACTCCCCGTCGCCATGGAGATCAGCGTAAACAAAAAATAAAAAGTGCTCAAAAACGCCAAAAAAGTATTTAGGCGACATGAACAAAGTAGTAAGAGAGTGAGAAAGTAAGAAAAGAGTTCAAAATAGCAAAAACACACTGAAAACACACTAAAACTACAACAATGAAAGGAGCTGCCATGACAGGCTGCCGTTGTCGCCGGCGCCATTCCATATGTATATATGTATGTGTGTGTATGTATGTATGTATGTATGTGTATGTATATATATATATGGGTATCCAGGTGGTGGTGTCATGGCTGATCGGTATATGTATTTATATATGTATATTCATATATAAATATATAGACACATACAGCTGCGTTTATGTCTTTACATAAACTAGCTAGCTAATTTATGTAAATTAGCTTTTAGGTGTAAATGATTGATTAATAGACGGGACATTTATAAACATCAACAGTACAACTTTATTTTCCATCAAATATAGACTGCAACTTAATTCAGTAAAATGATTGGTGCTTATTTATATCACAAACCCTCACTTGAATAACAACATATGACATACTGTACATTTGTACACCTTTCACCAACTATTGCAACTGATGCAGTTTAAGATATCCCTGTATTTTTTCCAGGCACAGTTTTATCCTCATACAGGCAAACCTGCTGTATCTCCTGTGGCTGCTGCTGATGTCACTCCTGCTGATCAGCGAGCATTGCAGACAGCAAACCAACAGATGTGAGTGTATAAACAGTTTTTGTGTATGTATAAGTGTTTATATAGCTATAGGCAGTAGGGCTGAAAAAAACATTTCTCGGTTTTGTTTTCTTTTTCTCCTCAGTGGAGACCGTGCGGGTCTGGATTCTAAGTATTTTGAGAGGAGAGATGATAGCATCCCAATCTATGGTCTGTCATCTAATCAGCTTCGCAGAGGTAAAAGCGCTCATTATTCAGTGCACTGCATGGACAATAAGCTTAAGAATATTCCACATAACTACTAAACACCACAACACTAAATACTGGTTTCATTTGAGAAGGTCTTGCAGCGTTCGTATCGGTATCGGGACCGATACCAGCATAATTCACGTATCGGAATTTCCCGATCCAACCTGCGCAGATTTCCGATATCCATGAGCCATGTGTGCGCTTTAACGTTGTCTGCTGAAATGACTCCACAGGTGATTCCTGCCGGACTGTCTGCTAGCTGGCTGCAAACTGTGGAATGGATTTCCTGAACGGAGGCGCGGCTCAATGAGACACAGAGTTATGAGACACGCCTCCGCTTAGGAAATACATTCCGCAGTTTGCAGCCAGCTAGCTGGATAGCATTGAGCAGCATTGTGGCTAGCCAACATGTCTGCTGTGTGGAAATACTTTACACTGGAAACACCGCAGAGCAAGACAGCAAAATGCAATGTTTGCAAAGCCGCAATTCAGTTCAGAGACGTGGAAGCGTCCTCGCGTCGTACAACACTACGAACGCAATCAAACATTTAAAAAAGCACCACACGAAACAGCACGAGGATTTTTTAGGCGAGCTGTCAGGAATCACTTCTGGAGTCATTCCAAAAACAAGGTAAACTCCAGGCAGACAACGTGAAAGCTAAAGGGACCGAGTGTGTGTGTGTGTGTGTGTGTGTTTGTGTGTGCGTGCGTGCGTGCGTGCGTGCGTGCGTGCGTGCCTGTTAGATGTTTACAGTTATTGCACTTTTCTTATATTTCAAGACTCAAGACATTTTAGGAATTTAATAAATATTGACATGACAATAAATTTGAAACCCTAACAGTTGCATATTTGTTTTCAGAATGGGATTTTTCCTGTTAACAGGATTTCCTGTTTTTCTGACTTTTCTGACCTTATACTTACCTCAAGTTGCCTTTTGGGACATACATGCATACATACGTACATATCATACTTGCCTGTTGAGGAGTTTATTCATATTATCTCATATAAAATCAACAATAATGATGATAATAATATTAAAGAAAACAGAGCTCTGGTATCGGAATAGTATCGGTATCGGCCGATATCCAAATTCAGGTATCGGGATCGGATCGGAAGTGAAAAAATGTGGATTGGTGCATCCCTAGTTTGTAGTACATGGATAGCAAAATGTTTGGTGTAGAGTTTTAACGGGATACCCGGGAATCCCATTTGTGTGCCAGCTGTGGCTCAGGAGTGTATCGTCAGTAAGTATCCAATCCAACTTTATTTGTTAAGCACTTTAAAAACAACCAAAGTTGACCAAAGTGCTGTACAGGAGAATAAATAGGACATCATAAATGTAAACAGTGATGGTGATGATGAAGACCACTGTGAGGAATATAGACAGTGATGGCAATAACACTGGAAAGTCCCGTGGCAGATAACATGGACGAAGTCCGACGGCGACGAGCTCGATGTCCGGGCTGCAGACGCTCTTTCACACAGATGTGCCCGGCGTTACACCACCTGTTATTTATGAGCATGCCAAGTCCCCCTCCTTTCTTCATGCCGGTCGCGGTGGTGTCCCTGTCGGCTCGAACCATCTGGAAGCCGGGAATGGTGACGTTGGAGTCCGGTATCTGCTCGTGTAGCCACGTTTGTAGGGTTTAAACTTCCTCTTCTTCATCCTCCGTTTCAGCTCCTCCGGTATGGAGGGTCTCTCTCCAGTCAGGATGGTACCTCAGGGCTATCATCTGGTGGCGGGTGTAAACAATGCGACTCGCCATCGCCATGGAGACCCGTGCAAACAAAAAATAAGAAGTGCTCAAAAACGCCAAAAAAGTATTTAGGCGACGTGAACAAAGTAGTAAGAAAGTAAGAAAACAGTTAAAAATAGCAAAAAACACACATTAGCTTTAAATAGTAGCAATACAACAATGTGAAGATACTCCGTCACTCCATTTACTACATACTCCAATTTAAAATCTTACCAGTATTGGCAGCAAAATCTACTACTACTATTAACAATTAAGCTCTACTTTTGGGTAGTTTAATCTATAACAATGCTATTATATCGTAAAAAAAAAATGGAGTGGAGTATAAGTACAAAGTAGCCTAAAAGGGATATTATTGTTTTCTTCATAGCTGATCTATATGTTGAACAACTTGGTGATAGGTAGCCTTTGAACTCAGTATTACACTATTGTGGTTCTCAAAATATTTTTACCAAGGTTGGCATCACAACTTTGACTCTGATTTTTTAAGGATTCAGCTCTCAGCATTAATCAGTACTCATTAATGCTATTTATTCATTACACTTCAGTCTGTCATATACTGTAGCGTAATGCCCTACAAATGCAAAAGACTTCAAGTTGCCAGAGTGTAGAACTGAGAAAAATTACTTTAAAGTTGTTAATTGTCTGCAGAATATGAAATGTGGTTGTGTTTTTAATGAGGTTATTTGTATACAATACTGAGGTCAAAACTTGCCCTTTGACCCTTTTTTTGGAATTTAAGGTAGTTTGAGTTTGCATTGTCTGTATAATAATAATAATAATAATAATAATAATAATAATAATAATTAAAGCTGCAAGCAGCGTTGGGCGGGACCTCACATTCCACACAACTCGGGGCGTGCTGCGGCCGCGTCACGTGCCGTCGTAACACGTGCAGACCACAACATGAAAATTTCACGTAAATCAGCTCAAAATCGCCACACAGCGCTTACTTCCGGTTGCCAGTAGGTGGCACGATCACTGTGTCTGAATATTGTCATGTAGATGTGTTCAGGGCGGGACGTGTGAAGTTTCATTGAGATTGGACCATGTACGCTGAAGTTATGAGGACGTGTTCAGGGTGGGACTGTACACTAAAGATATGAGTACTGTCTGTTTGATGGCCAATCGGTGGAATTCGACACGTCGTCACAGGCAAGCGGTTAAATGTACAGTCACAAATAGCACAACTTTTGATCACCAATGTGTCTAGATTGCAGTGATCGAAGTCAATCTGATCAAATCTGTAGGAGGAGTTAGTTAAAACAGAAGCCCTTAAATGCCGGAAATGGCATCACAGTTTGACATTCGATTCAACCTGGCCAACTTTGAGGGCACGCCACGGACACGCCCTTTAACGTACAGTCACAAATAGCACAACTTTTACTCAGCAACATGTTTTGACTGTACTGACCAAATTTAAAGCAGATCCGATAAATTCCCTAGGAGGAGTTCGTTCAAATACAACACGAAAAATCTAAGAAAATGACGAAAAAAATCAAAATGGCTGACTTTGATGCCACGCCACGGACACGCCCTTTAATGTACATGCACAAATAGCACAACTTTTAATCAGCACCATTTTTTGACTGTACTGACCAATTTTTAAGTAGATCAGATAAATTCCCTAGGAGGAGTTCGTTCAATTACAAGCCGAAAAATTCACCGAAAATGAGCAAGGAATTCAAAATGTCCAACTTTAACGGCACGCCACAGACACGCCCTTCAACGTACATGCACAAATAGCACAACTTTGAATCAGCACCATTTATTGACTTTACGAACAAATTTTTAAGTAGATCAGATAAATTCCCTAGGAGGAGTTCATTCAAATACAATGCGAAAAGTTTGCCGAAAGTGAAAATGAAAATCAAGATGGCTGACTTCCCGTGGGGTTTGGGGTATGGGTCCATGAGGCTTTTTTGTACGTCTCGGCATGTTGCATGTGCCTACCGAGTTTCATACATATCGGTGAATCGTGGCGCTGGGGCTGCTTTTTTTTTATCCTGTAGGGGGCGCTACAAACACTGAGACACAGAGCTTCAGGCTGGACTGGTCTACACGTGCCCTGTGAATTTCATGCACAGTGATTTACACTGCCACCAGAGCGCCACCTAGTGGCGGATTGTTGTCACATTTATTAGCTAGCCTCAGGGAGCCGTGGGCAAGCATCGCACCAAGTTTCATTTTAATCACACATGCCGATGCGGAGATAAAAACGTTTGATTTTGAAAGAGCGCCACCTTGGAGTTATTAGCCTAAACACACTTTTCATGATAGTAGCGCCACATAGTGGCGGACCCGAAAGCGACGCATAGAATATCAAATTTTTCACCAGGCCTGACCACTTTGCCAAATAAAATTGACTTTTCGTATATGTTCAGGGGGGCAAAAACGCAAAGTGTTCAAAATAATAATAGGTAAGAAGAAAAACAAAGCAAAAAAAAATAGGGACCTCCCGGTCGCTGGCTCGGTCCCTAATAAGGGCTCCTGCCAAGGCAAAAGGCTTTGACTTCCATCTGATCACTCACTTGGTTAAATATCACTGTATAAATCAATCAATCATCATAATAATAATAACAACATATGTGGTGTCTATTTGTTGAATAAAGCATAAAAAGTTTTCATCAAGTCATCTATGAATGGATGGAACTGTCACGTGTGTGAAGTCTCAAAAGAGTGAAGATTCAAAGAAGCAGTATAGTCCTCCCCCCCGTATTATCCCTGTTGGAGCATTACTCAAAGACGATGGCTCGTATCATGTACTTGCCTGACATCCCGCTGTTTACTTGGACATTAAGTGTAGTAGAAACCGTGTTAAAAGTTACATGCATATAATAGCAACCGTTAACAGGTTGTGTATGGTGTTACAGTGACCAGGTCAAAGGATCGTGTAGTTTCTTAAAAATTGCCGTTAACATAACAGCTACATAAAACACAGTGTTCATAGCACAATTAGGCTAGCAGTTTTGTTTGGTTAGCCTAAGTTAGCTAACAAGTAAATTTATCACCTATTTATATTATTAAAAGAAGAGAAAAATTAAATTCAGCTCGTCATCAATCCAGCCATTTACATCCATATTGTTTCTCTCAAGGAAGTTATAAAAGATGTCCCAAATCTTCCAAAACTTATCATGCCTGTTTTTTGCAGTGTAACTGATCTTTGCCAAAGCCATGTAAAATGTCATTCCCTTTAGCCTTGCTAAATATAAGATTTTTCTCCAGAATGTGAGTATCTGTGGGCATTCCCACATACAGTGAAAGAGCCTTTTGGTCTTTGCATTTGAGGCAGGTATCAGGTATGTTGGGATTAAAGTGGTGCAACTTAGATGGTGTTATATATAGTCTACTTATCCATTTATATTGTAATAATGGAGTTTGTATTTATTGATTGAGTTTGAGCTAGAGAGCATGCTTCTGTTTCCTTCTCTGTTAAGTTATCATTCTTTAGACTTGCTTTCAAAGAGCTTGTACAGTAAGGAAATCTGTCCCCTGGAGTATAGAAATCTCAATCTTCCAAAGTGGATCTGGGGGGGACTGTCAAACTATTACTTTGTCTGGACAAGATAAAGCTTCTAAGTTGCAAATATTTTAAGAAATGTTTTGCAGGAATCCCATACCTACAATCCTGCTCACCATTATTGGCACCCCTTCATTTTTTGCCTAACCTCTACACCATAGGTCGGCAATAGGCGGCCCGCGGGCCAGATGTGGCCCGCAAGCAAAAACATCTGGCCCATGAGATTGTTTGAACTAGAGAATGATAATAAAAATATAAAATATACTTTTAAAAAATCGGACTGCCAGTCTCAAAAATGCTCTTTATTGGAACCTTCATTTTCCAGAACAGAAAAATTTCCTCAATCTAAATGCTTATTTGTTTTATCTGGATACAGAGTGAATACGCACATCAGCGAGCTGCAGCGTGAACGCTCAACATGCAAAAACAAATGAAGTCAGTGGACAGCGCCTGGTGCTGAAATTCCAAACTAGTCCCTAAAACACAAGTTGTCATTCAAACAACGGACATAGGCTTCATATTATTGTGAAAATTAAAACACGACTTCTTTCAAACAGGCCAGACATCAAACATAGGCATTTCCGTACATAGAACTGTGAAATGTAAAACACGAGTTTCAAACGTGCGTGTTATTTAGGCCTTTATATGACTGTGGTGGCACCAAAAATGTAAACTGATAACAATGCATTGCACTGTTAAATCGGAGCAAATCAGAGCAAAAAAGTACGAAGCAAAAAAGCTGAATCCACTCGACCATGGGCTGGAGTGCTCGGCCCCTGAAACGACAGAGCAGACGTGCTACATTTACTGCCTGAATTATGCCTAGCCTACAACGAGACATTCATTAAAAATACAGTTCAGATTTTAGACACAATTACTGGTTTAGATTACTCACCTAGTGTGAAAAGTGGCATCTCCCACTGGTCACTATTTGCTGGATATCTGGTGAAATAGACGTCACTTTAATCCTCAGGCAGTTCTCGAGATTTTGGTGAGTCAGTCTATTCCTCTCATGCGTTTTTATTGCATTCATAGCTGAGAAGGACGACTCACATACGTAGGTGGAAGGGAACATTGTCAGAATGTAAAGTGCGACTTTCTTGAGGTTGCTGTATTCCTCGGAGCATAGTAGGCCTACCCAAAAGGCACTCACGGACTCCGCACTTCTGAGCGCATCTCGCACAACTGAGGTGGTTTGGAAGTCAATAATTTCCATTTCCAGCGCAGCCTGATCCAAAGAGGAGATCATTTCTTTCGCCAGGAAGGAGAAGTTGTCGGCTGGTTTTACTGCAGGGTCACGTATAAAGTCAATGATGTCTTTTGGGATGGAGTAGTCATCAAACCGAGAAGTGAAGTTGGCTCGTAGCCTCTTGATGAAGTCAACCATCAACTCCGTCACTTCTCCCGCTGTCTTCTTCAGTGTGCTGAAATGTAGGAGCCTGCCGGTAGATATGTCTGCCTCAAGCATCTCAAGCTTCCTCGTGAATGACTCCAGTTTTTCAACCATGTCCACGATGGTTTTGTCTCTCCCCTGTAGCTGAAGGTTAAGCAGGTTTAGGTGGCCAAATATGTCAGATAAAAACGCTACATTGGACATGAACTTTTCATCTTCCAGCAGGATAAGGTGGTCAGCTGCTGCCTTGCTCTTGCTCATTCCAAGGAACGCTTTGATCTCATTCAGTAGCGCACAGAAGCGATCCAGTGCTTTCCCCTTGCTTAACCAGCGCACATCATTGTGAAGCAGCAAGTCATCGTGGGCGGCATCTGCTGACTCAGCCACAAGTTGTCTGAAAAGCCTATGCTGGGTGCTTGATGTACCTCTGACAAAGTTAATGACTTTCATCACTTTGTCCATAACATTCTTTAGCTCGCCATTCAGTCTGGCACAGAGGACACTTTGGTGGATGAGGCAGTGCAGCCCGTGCATTTGGGGGGGCGAGTTCTTTCAGCCTGCTCACCAGACCTCTGTGCTTTCCCACCATAGCAGGAGCCCCGTCTGTCACAATTAGGTTAACCCTCTCAAATGATAATGAATGCAACTGAAACAACTCTTCCAGTTTCGCAAATATAGCATCTCCAGTGGTGTGCCCTTCTAATGGAATAAGAGACAGCAACTCTTCCTTGAAATCCTTCCCATCAAAGTATCTCACATAAATGCACAACTGGGCTACATCTGTGTTGTCAGTGCTCTCATCAATGGCTAAGGAAAAGTAGTTTGCGTGACTGACACCGTCGATAATTGCACCCAGCACCGCATCAGACAGCGCTTCTATGCGGCGGGCAGCGGACCTCGCAGAGAGCGACATCTGTTTCACTGACCCGATCACATCATCCATCGACTTGTTGGTATCAAGTTCCTCCAAAACTGTCACCATCATCTCCTTGAAGACCTCTGCGTCAGTGAATGGCTTGTTGTGCTTTGCGAGCACCCAGGACGCTTTCAGAGACGCACTAGTTACCTTCTGTTGGGATGTGAGGCCTCGCACCAGGATCCTGGTGCTGTGTGCATAAGCACCTTTCAGGCCTTCGATTTTACGCTTTCGTGCCTCTGTCTTCTGAGGGAACGCAACCTTGAAATTAGCATGCTTCGTTTCGTGGTGCCGTCTAATATTGTACTCTTTGCATGCAGAGACACCCTCGTTACAGATCAGACATGTGGGCTTTGCATTAATAAAACTGGGGAGGATGAAGGCATAGTTCTCTGTCCATTCATCATGAAAGATCCTGTTTTCGCTGTTAATTTTTCTCTTGAGATTTTTTGATAGTGCCATTTTTCGATAGCTAACAGCAACAGGAAATGTTTTTTTTTAACAGGCATATAATTGCTACTAATTATACCACTGGGGCGCGCTACTGCCCCCCAGTGGTCAGTCCACAAATGTAACCTACATCAGCCCGCTTGAATGTCTCAGTGCGTCTGCTCTGTCATTTAAAGAGCACCTATCATTTTCACTATCACCCCTCCTCCCCTATTAATTCATTAAATTAGCCATTGTTTTGGTTGTGGCCCGCCATGTAATGGCTTGGAAAATATCTGGCCCGAGGCCAAACTTAATTGCTGACCCCTGCTCTACACTATCTTCAGAAATAAATAGAAATGTACCAAATTTATATCATCAGGATCTTTTAATTGGAGGTCCAAAGTAATTTAACAAAGAAAATTGTTTTTTCAACTTACATATTGTAATTTCAAAGAAGAAACAGAAAAAACAGCATGTGCAGCAATAATGGCACCCCTTTTTAATATTTGGTTGCACACCCGTTGGCAGTGATGACAGCCTCCAAACGTTTCTTGTAGCCATCTATAAGCTTCTTGCACTTCTCAGCTGGTATTTTCTCCCACTCTTTCTTTGCAAATTGTTCAAGCTCTTGAACATTTGCAGGTTTCTTTTCCCCAATGGCAGATTTCAGCTCATACCAAAGATTTTCAATCGGATTGAGATCAGGACTCATTGCTGGCCATTTTAAAACAGTCCATTTTTTCCTTTTCAACCATTCCTGTGTGCTTTTGGATGTGTGCTTTGTAGGGGTGGGCGATATGAGCAAAAAATTATATCTCGATATTTTTGGGGATTTTGCCGATAACGATAATCAGTTGATATCCTTTAAAATGTGTTTGGAATTGTCTGAGTTAGGGCTTGTGTCCACCAAACGCGTTTTTAGCGCTGAGAGCGCTGAAAAACTCATTTTCCAACGGCCAGCGGTGTTAAAAGTTGAACAGATTTCAACTCGAAGCGCTCTGAGCACTGCGCTAAAAAAACGTCTCCGCTGACATCTTTTTACCGCTGAAGGCACTTAGCGCTCTGAACACTGAAGCTCATAGGATTTGTATTGGCACTAAATCATCTGAAGTACTGGCAGCTTCAGGGACTGAAGGTGCTTGCACTTTCTCTCTACCATCACAAGGCGCTGCTAAACTGTTGCAAGGAGGATGCTAGCGAGAGGTCATGTGATCATGTCATGTGATCACGTAGGCACACTAGTCGTGTGACTGAATCCTGCCATGCTGTAGAGAGTGTTGCTGCACCCTGTATTAAGTGGATGTGAGGAGTTTCCGCGTGCATTTCAATATTTTTGGTGAAGTAATTTAAATACTCGATAATGGAAATTTGCACATCGTCAAAACAACAATGACAATATTATCGCAAACAATATATATCGCCCACCTCTAGTGCTTTGGGTCTCAGTCTTGCTGGAGGACCCATGATTTTCGACTCAAACCAAGTTCTCTTACACTGGGTAGGACATTTCGCTCTAAAATCTCTTGATAATTCTGATTTCATGATTCCTGTGATATGGTCAAGGCCTCTAGTACCAGATGCAGCAAATCAGCCCCACAGCATTATGGATCCTCCACCATGCTGTTTCATCCGTCCACAGAACATTTTCCCAGAAGGATTGTGGTTTGTCCAGGTACTTTTTGGCAAAGATTAGTCGTTTCTTTTTATGTCTTTCCTCAGCAATGGTGTCTTCCTTGGCCTTCGCCCATGAAGCCCTGTTTGGTTTAGTGTGCAGCGTATGGTACATGTTGAAACCATGACCCCAGACTGTTCCAGGTTGGCCTTCAGGTCTTTGGATGTTTGACGTGGTGTTTTGTCCACCATTCGCACCAACCTTTGAAGACTTCTCTCATCAAGTTTTCTCTTTCCCTTGCTTGGCAAACTTCTTAATAACATTACGCACTGTTGAAACAGGGATACCAAGGTCTTTGGAGATGACCTTATACCCTTTGGAGGTCTTGTGTTTGCTAATTATCGCACTTCTGATGTCCTCAGACAGCTCCTTTGTCGTCACCATTGTGACAAAGGAACCGGGGATAACAGATGGCTTTTTAAAACACGGAAGTCATCATTCTCTGGCTAATTCATGTCACATGGGCACAGACAATTTATCACAGGTGATTCTCATTTGTGATTTACCACAGGTGAGTCACAATGTGTTTCCATACTGATTTACAGCAAAGGGTGCCAATACAGCAGTGACACAGCAAGCTTTAAGTTTTTCTATTTTTCCTTCCCATTGTTTGTTTTAAATTGTTGTTTATCATTTGCTCTTTTGTATCAAACACAAGTTCTCTATAGAACAGAAATGTTTCACTTGATTCATTTTTTCTTTCAGATATTCCACATTAAGTACTTAAACTTCATGGGTGCCAATAATGGCGAGCAGGACTGTGGTTTTAAGCTCCTCAACTGAAATAAAAACCAAGTTTTCATGGTAAAGGTCAGCTACTTTGGCTATTCCCTGGGAAGCCCAGGCTTTAAACCCTGGGTCTGCTCTACCAGGTTGAAAGTCATCATTGCCATAAATCGGAGTAAACAGAGATAAGGTTGTATTTTTCCCAGGTATGCCAGTGAGTTATGCCAAACCCTTTAAAGTGTTTTTTAGAAAAGGGTTTTTGATATTTTTAATTAGTTTAGTTTTGTTTGCAGAATTTATGTACAGATTTAGAGGTAGGCCAATTAAGTGTGACTCTATGGAGACCCACGCAGGGGGATGATTCTTCTCAAAATAAAACATTCCTGAAACTTTTGGGCAGAACCTTGCCATCGACCCACGTTGGGGTCTGCACGGCGGTTGCCCGCCACGCCACATCACACCACGCCCAAGCCCTTATCGCTGGAAGCCGAGGGAGACCGCTCTACATTGTCACGCGTTTCAGACACCATGCAAAAGACTTATGCGTTTTGATCACCAACTGGTCTAGATTGCAGTGATCGAATTTGAAGTCAAGCCGATAAAATCTGTAGGAGGAGTTAGTTAAAATAGAAGCCCTGAAATGCCGGAAATGGCATCACAGTTTGACATATGATTCAACCTGGCCAACTTTGACAGCATGCCACAGACACGCTTCAACATACAGTCACAGATAGCACAACTTTTAATTAGCAATATTTTGTAACTGTATTGACCAATTTTGAAGCAGATCCGATAAATTCTCTAGGAGTAGTTCATTCAAATACAAGGCGAAAAATTAGCCAAAAATGAACACCAAATTCAAAAGGCCCAACTTCCTGTTGGGTTTGGGTTATGGGTCCAAGAGGCTTTTTTGCTTGTCCCATCATGATACACATGCGTACCAATTTTCGTACATGTCGGTCGTACGTGTCTTGGGGGCTGATCCTGGAAGGCGTGGCTAAGCCATTATGTGACGCCCATCTGCGGGACCAAGACAATACCTTAGCCTTCGCCAAGACAGAATTTTGTACAAAGTTTCATGAGTTTTGGACAAGCTGCTAGTAGTAGGACATGGAAGTATAAAAAATGACATTTACTTTCACCAGTAGGTGGCACACTCACTATTACTGAATATTATCACATAGACGTGTTCAGGGCGGGACTCTTATCAAACGTGAACTCATTGAGATCGGATCATGTACGCAGAAGTTATGACAAATCCGTCTTTCATGGCGAGTCGTTGAAATTCCACACCACCAGGCCTGACCACTTTGCCAAATAAAATTTACTTTTTGTATAAGATCAGGGGGGCAAAAATGCAGTCGAAGTGCTGAAAAATAATAATAAACAGCAAAAACAATAGGGACCTCCCAGCAGGTTGCTGGCTTGGTCCCTAATTAATCATATTGTTAAAATAAACGTGGGATGAGACTAAGGATAATGTAATTGACATTGTGATTTTCTTTTCAGAGTTCCCTCAGCTAACAAAGCCCTCCGTGGCTTCTGCTTACTTCTCTGCATGAAGCAGACAAATAATGACCAGGATGCAGAATGGTCTTCATTCCAGTTCTAGGAGGAAGTAAACTCATCAAATGTCATGTTTTCAGCTCCCGTATGAAACTGTTACTGACCTGCTGTGTTCAATAAAGTTGTTTTTAAGTAGAATTTCAACTTATGTGCTAAATGTCTCCATGTCTACTTTCTAATTTGTTGTTTAAGTAAATGCTGTTAAACCTTTCTGTTCGGTGGATTGCAGCAATCATGGTGAATATGTCTTCAAATTAAAAAAAAAAATTCTAATACAGTATATTAAATTTGCCATAGTAAGTGTTTATATTGTGTCTTTGTTTCATGTTGTATTTAAGTAATGAAGTCTTTAATAAATAGCTATTCCATGCTCATTGGTGTTCATTGTCAATAAATATCTGCTGAGATTTATTACTATTTTTTTTAAAACGTGTCAGTAAATATTGGTTGTGTTCAATGTTTGTCTACTTTACGATTTAATTTTAGAGTTATTTAATGCTACAATTTAAAAAAGACTTAAAATGTCTCAAATCCAACAATCAGAATTGCAGGCTTTAACTGTCTTAAATATGTGTTATGTTTTTGGAAATAACATGAATTGACTATGCTGTAACAACTACAAATTGAAACTGACATTGAACCAGTACTGGTTTTCCTTCATATCCTTTGTACTTTTTTTTTTTTTTTTTTTTAAATTAGTCCCTCACTGGGATTGCATAATTTGTGTGTCCAGTTAACGCTGACCACGTACATGTAATGGACCTGAGTCACTTCACATGAACTCTGTGAGGGTTAAGGTGACCCTAGAGGCTCAATAACTGCACCATTACTTTGGGCATAACATGACTAGTTTGGACATACAGTCATAACTAAGGCAAGCGGCCAATCAGTGACCAATATATTCCATCATGGTTCCCGTGCGCATTGCCTTTCTGGCTGGCATGAGCCACTTCATAGCACATCATAGCAAGCTAGATTGATACTGAAATATCTCAATACATCTGTACTCTACTCAATGAATGTGTTGCAAAATGGCTGCCATTAATTTAAAATAATGATGCTGTGTGGCAGAAAAAATGCATTTTTACCATCAGTAAGTATAATTCTGTGACATTTTTATGATTTTCACTACTTTAGAGGCATGTGTAACTATTTAGGTTTTACCAGGAGTGAAGGTGTAACATCTCTTTGATGCAACCGTGTTTATTGATAATGCATAAATCACAACTTAGTAATAATTTTTGTTAAGTAGAGTCTGAACTTAAAACAGCTGCTGCAACAGACTGCTAAACACAAGCTATATTCACAGAGCCTTCACTGAAAAAACAGCCTTTTTCTGCATTAGAAAAGTTTAAACAACCAAGAAGAAAATTCTTCCAAATTTCTTGTTTATCAGTTTTTCTGTACTGTTATTATTAGGCATTGAAAATAATATGAAATATACTTGAAATATGTATGTTACTCAAGAAAAGGGCTCCCTTAAAGAAAAACGTTTGGATCCATTACATGTCTTTAAATTGAAACAATCATGAAATGCAAACTGCATGTTAATGGAGCAAAAACTAAACCGTGATATAGTCACACAGGTACATGGAATTTACCTAAATACCTAAAGTTTATAGTTGCTTCTTTAGATATATCAATTCATTGATCGATTACAATTAAACATGGAAAAGACTGTAATTCCTCCACACGGCAGGTCAACAGAAGAAGTTAGCATCACACTGATTGACACCTTGATGGTTTATTTGACGTGTTCTGTAAGTTCTCTTAAGGACTTTAGCATTTCTTACATCTATAAGAGACTGTTTGAGAAGTCTTCTGAACAGTGACAGTCATGTTGTGTGTATCTCAGGACTCTCTTGGGTGTGGGTGGGGGCGGGGTTCAGGAAAAGGCCAGGGGCAAATAGGGTGGAGAGCTGGGTCAGCATCAGTCATCATTCTATGGCAGGAATGGAAGTGTCGGAAGGGGTGGTGGGAACTGAAGGGGTGCTGATGGTGCTGTCTTTCCTGGCCATCTTGATTGTCACTATGGGGAGGGCGACCTCCATCGCCAGCATGGGGAGGGGACCCATGACTATGGGGGCGGGATCCTCTATCACCAGCATGGGGAGGGGTCCCATGACTATGGGGACGGGATCCTCTATCGCCATTATGGGGAGGGGGCCCATGACTGTGACTATGGGGACGGGATCCTCTATCGCCGGGGCGGTCATGTGGGCGAACATGATGGGGCCTACATACAGGCTCCTGCTCACCAGGGCCGAGGGCAGTAGTGTTCTGTTAAGAACAGAGTAAAAAGTTAATTGAAATATATTGTTCAATGATGTGACTGTATTACTGATTTCCTAATTATGGTTACAGAGTGAATTAATAATGTAGAACAAGACATTCCACAAGAAGTGGAGTTTTGGAGAGACGACTATACGATTTTTAGCTTGAAGCAGATTAGCTGAACATACGCTGTGCTGTATGTTTACAATGTGGACTTACCGTTGGGGGATAGAACTCGCACTCAACGGATCCAAGTCCATTTTGAGTGGTAGAAGATGAACGACAGAAAGCATGATGCTTTAGAGAGAGAGAGAGAGAGAGAATGAGAGCAGTAGTAGGAAGTTCCAAGTAAGAGGTGGAGTGACCAACATTGAATAAAATAATCAAATCACACTCATATTGTTACCATCCTTGAACACAATGAAGTGCCTAGCTCTGATCTAGGACTGTCAAACTGTACCGATCGATCACAGTCCCTAATACTGGCTGTCTAATGCGGTGGTTCCCAACCTGGTGGTCGATACCCCTATAGAAGTTGCCAAAGCTTTACGAGGAGTTGTGAGGCCTTAATTTTAAGCAATAGGAGGCCTATATCTCAGCATTTCATTCATTTCTGTGGGGAAGATTTACATAAATTGATTGAATTGTTATTGTGAAAGTTTAGATTTTTATTTAAGATCTAAACTTTGAAGACCTAAACACAGACTGTATTTTGCCTTATCCTGCATTAGAAAAGTATGCAAGCAACATGGAGCAGAAAACACTGAATTTGTCCAAAAAAAGTAGCCTATTAGGTATATTTGATTGTTAAAAATAGATTGTTAAAACTCCATGATGTAATATTCACAGGATATAATTTGCTCAATTCATCATACAGTTTATTAGTTGTTCTGTACTGTTAGGCATTGAACATAATATGAAATATCCATGAAATATGTTACTTGATAGAAAAGGGCTCTCTTAAAAAACAGGTAGGGAACCACTGGTCTAATGGGAACCCAGGCATTCATGATTTTTGATTGATTGATTTTATTTATATAAGTTATCTATCTACTGTAATTATTTCTGTCTTTGTGCTGCTGTAACACCGAACAGAAATTTTGCCTCTTGGGGAGCAGTAAGGGATTATTTCATTTTATCTAAAATGTGGATTAATTCGCTGCTGAAAATAGTCCACAACAACTCCTGTTTCAGTAATGATTGCAAAAAACTACAGCGGCCAGCTGTTTGCAGAGTGGCCATTTTAAAAGTAAAACAATATACAGTATATGTTAACCAGTTTAAAATAAATGATGTCTTCAGCAAGAACCAATGAGATTGGGACAGGAAGTACTGAGAGAGTAATGCTTGATGGTTTTAAACATTAAACTTTTGACAGGATTTGGTGACAATAAGAAAAATACAGAATAACACCAGACTGACCCTTTAAAGGACCTGTAAGTGGGAATTTAGTGGCATCTAGCATCAACCTTGACAATGCTTATGTTCAGGCACTTATACAGTAATGAAATCTCTACTCCTAAATCGTACACATTGGACTTTTAATCTTGTGTTAAGTGTGGTTAAAGTAGCTCACAAGCTCACACAAGCCTGTCAGCAGCAAATGGTTGTGAGACAAGATAACCAAGTGGCTGTTATGAGACAGAGCCACACAAAGTCAGTATGTTCTAGTTGTACTTACAGCTCTGTCATGGCAGAGGGGTTTGCATGCCTCAGGAACTATTCTGGATCCCCATGGGCAAGGAGTCTCCACAAGGACAAACTCAGCCCAGTAGCCCATCCCTGCCGCCATCATGTACTGAGAGAAGAGAAGAGGAGAAAGAGAAAGTAAATTGAGAAAAAGGTACAGGGTTTAAAGGGATGTAATACAGATGTGCTACTGCATGATGTTGTGGCGCGCCTTAACACATTTTTTAAACTGAAAACTAAGTCTTATCTAGGATATGGAACATAAAACACAATATTTTTAGCAAACATTAATTCATAGTTGTTTGTCGTACATTGTGCAAAGGTCACACTGTTAGTACTTAGTAACACTTTAATTTCCAGTCTTACACAGCTTCTTAGAGAAACTCTAAGAATACTCTGAAGGATCAGAGTATTTGTAAAGCCAACCCTAATGATAATTGTTGACATGCCTCAGGCCTAAGGACCAAATTAAGGTGCTGTGTTTGTGTTGCATTGCAGATGTCATGCCATGAATATGTGATGATCAGCAAATAATCCCACTTAAATTGAGGGGTACTATCTGCTGTGAAAAACAAAATCGAGAAAAGTACCTGGTACCAAAATTGAGTCAAGCTGTATAATGCAATGGAAACATGGTATAAATGCATTTGTGTATGTGTGAGATTCTCTGCACCCCAGATTGTATCCGTCCCACTTCCTGCAGGACATAGTAGTGCGTGTTGGAAGAGTTCTGGTTGAATTTTGTCACAGCTTCATGAACAGACTTGAGACCATTAGTGTTGTTGAGTGGGATCAGTATGGGACAGTCAGGGCACCTCATCATTATCTTCACTAAACACAGAGAGTTATTGTTATGAGTGAGCCTGCTTTGTGGACGTTCCACAGTCTGTGAATAATCATCAAAATAATAGTCATAGTCATACACAACAACAAATACAACATTCAGTAGACCTAAATTATGTCTACCTCTACACCAGAACATTGTTCAACAGTGAGAAAATATATATTTTAATGCTTAATGTAAATGAGCCCATGCAGCCACAGTGATTTGCATTAAGTGTTGCTAAATAAAAGGCTTACTTTCCCTATAGGAGAAAAATAGGAAATATTAAAGACCCCCTCTAGACATGTATTAAGACATATATACAAATAGTCTCCTGGGAACAGTAATGTGTGTCTGATATATTTTTTCTGCAACAAAATCTGTAAAAAGTCATCTACTCCTCCTACCTCATTAAAAATTCCAGAAGCTATAAATGGGCAAATGTAAATTTTAATTTTTTTCCTGCTGGACACAAGATGTCTCCTACTTCACTATACCATCCATTCTCAGTTTATGTGCACTGGTGGCTTTGAGTTTTTACACCGTACTTCCAATCTATTTGTGAAATCATCCTCGTAGGCTTCTGGCTCCACCCACGATTTTTATTTCCAAAACTGTCTTTCAGGCTTTTGAAATAACTTCAACTACATGGATTTCTTTTTTTATCCAGGAAAACTGGAAAATATTTTTTTTCTCTGAGGGAGAATATCTCCCAACCCCCTTTCACTGTAAAACCTGACAACACATCTTAACCCCCCCCCCCCGTAATAGGACCATCATGTCCTATAACAGAGACTTGAGCATCTAATTGGCATTAAAGGAACTGCACTAAGCTGGTTTAAATCCTATTTATCAGATCGTTCTCAGTTTGTACATGTTAACGATGAATCCTCCATAAACACTAAAATTAGTCATGGAGTTCCACAAGGTTCTGTGCTTGGACCAATTCTATTCACTTTATATATACTTACCTTAGGCAACATTATTAGGAATCACTCCATTAACTGTTATGCAGATGATACCCAGTTATATCTATCAATCAAGCCCGATGAAATTAATCAGTTATCTAAATTACAAACATGTCTTAAGGACATAAAAACCTGGATGAGCTGCAATTTTCTTGTACTTGGCCCCAAACACCTCCGAGACTCCCTGTCTAAAGATATAGTTACTCTGGACGGTATTACCTTGGCCTCCAGCAGCACTGTCAGGAATCTTGGAGTTATCTTTGATCAGGATATGTCCTTTAATTCCTATATAAAGCAGACCTCTAGGACTGCCTTTTTTCATTTACGTAACATTGCAAAAATCAGACACATCCTATCACAGACGGATGCAGAAAAACAAGTCCATGCATTTGTTACTTCAAGGCTAGATTACTACAACTCCTTATTATCAGGCTGCCCCAATAAGTCCATTAAAACACTCCAATTAATTCAGAATGCTGCAGCACGAGTACTGACAGGAACTAGGAAAAGAGATCATATGTCTCCTGTACTAGCTTCTCTGCACTGGCTCCCTGTAAAATTCAGAATAGAATTTAAAACCCTCCTCCTCACCCACAAAGCTCTTCATGGACAGGCCCCATCATATCTAAAAGAGCTCATAGTACCCTATTACCCCACTAGAACACTGCACTCTGAATGCTGGGCTACTTGTGGTTCCTATAGTCTCTAAAAGTAGAACAGGAGCCAGAGCCTTCAGTTACCAAGCTATCTATTCCTCGCCCTCTCTTTCTGCACACATTCATGTCCAATTAATGCATGTTATTGCTGTCCTTCTGTCACTGAATTCAGTGCCGGCCGTGGCATAGGCAGTATAGGCAAATGCTAAGGGCGCCGTCCATCTATCGGGCGCCACAATGGGGGAAGATAAAAAAAAAAGGTGCAACTTTCAATATTTTTATACTAAAACTATTTGGTGCTATTATTTCTTAGTATGAAAAAAATAAGCCCACATTAATTTAACTGCATAATAATAAGACTTTATTAAGCCCCCCGTCCCCCCTCCTCCTCTGACTGATTAGACTCTACCTGCTCTCTGAGAGATGGTGGAGTTTTCTGACGTCACCCCAGAAACCTTTAACAATGTGAAAACAACCAAAACTTTCCGGTGCCCAGGGAAGGAAAAAAAGAAAAGAAGAGGAGGAAAAACGCGACAAAGACAGAGATAGAGTAAAGATAATGTCATGAAATGATTTGTCTGTTGCAGAACGATAGTAACCTTTAGTCTAACACAGGTTGCTAATCAATAAATAGCGTTAGCTCGTTTTAACGTCAGTTCATGTTTTGTATGGGGCCTAACAGCTGTTATGGTAAAAAGTAATACTCCCACCTTCTATTTCTCAGGGACATTTGTAAAGAGTAGATCTATTCAGCAGCTGTTTAAATTTGTTTACATTTTTATTTTTATTTATTACTGGTTAGCTAACGTTTGCTCTGCTTGTAACAGTCAGTCAAATGCTATTCCTTTCACACACCTTTATATATTAGAGTTGTAAGCCTTTTTGTTTGTTGTGTTCAGTATCGTCTAAAGTGTGTTTATAGTGTTAAACTTTACATCCATGTTAAAGTGCACATCATTAATATTAATACATTCCCATATGTTATATTATACTGCAGTTTACTGCTTCTTTGCATTCTGCTAATCAGCATTTACTGTAATGACAATAAGATTAAATCTAATCTAATTTGCATATCAGAAAAAATTGCAGTGTATATCATTCATGTACAGTACAGTGAAAGTAATGCATCTCTTAGGTTTTTCATTTTTGTTATTGAATTGTATTCTTGGAATCATTTCTTTTATTATTAGACTGTAACACCCAACGGTGTCACTTACTCCTCTTCTCTCTTCAGATGCGCTGTTGAAATATCTAAATCCACCTCCTGCTAATCCTGGGCCATCTACAGTCATTGCTGCTTCAACAGCATCAAGTGATCCTCCTTTATTTTATCACTTGTTTACAGTTTTTATTTTGTAGGTAGTTAAATTTTATTCTTTATGTAGACTATTTATATTACATTTCTTGTATTATTTATTTCTAATTTATTATTTTCTTGTTAACCGTTTTGATTGAGCAACTCTCTAAAAATAAAATAAAATGTCAAAGACAAAGCTATTCAGTATCGTTTGTGAGTATATGTATGTATATAACTGGCAGTGGAATTTACTGCGATACAAGGGGGGCGCCACCTAAAATCTTGCCTAGGGCGCCAAATTGGTTAGGGCCAGGCCTGCATGAATTAAACCCAACTCAAAAATGAACTGTTGAAACCACTCAGTTGTTTTAAGTGCACTTAAATTTGTGAAGTATATAAGCGATATAATTTGAGTTTGTTCCATTGACTCATTTTCTTGTTGACTTTATATCATTAAAAAAATGTAAGCATTATAATACTGTATAGCTCAGGATTTTCAAATTTTTGTTTTTATTCCAGTTTATGAATCATCATAAGCCCAAGTATGCATCCAAATAATATTTAATTATCCCCCAAATTGTAAAGATTTGATGTTAGTCACATAGAAAAACTGAGAAAATGTATTGGCTACATTTTTGATAATCAGTTATTTATAAATTGTTGTTATTGTTCGTCAACTGCTTTGAGAGGTATTAATTTGCTTTAATGGAAAAAAAAATGTAAATTTAAACTTGGTAACATTTGTATAAAGATCCATATAAGTTACTTTATTCAGATCAATTCTGTTAACATATTTTAAATACGTTTGGAGAAATGCTTCATATGAGTGTAACTTCAATTAAATGAATGTAATTGGGGCGGCTGTGGCTCAGAGGCAGAGCGGGTCGTTCCTTCATCGGAAGGGTGTGGGTTTGATCCCTGGCTCCTGGTGCCACATGTCAAAGTGTCCTTGAGCAAGATACTGAACCCCAAATTGCTCCCGATGCCGTGCATCGATGTGTGAGTGTGTATGAATGTTAGTTTATGTTCGATGGACTTTGCCATCACTGAGTGAATGTGTGTGAAATGGTGAATGTGGCACGTAGTGTAAAAGCACAGGTCCATTTACCATTTCACCATTTAATTGGCACAATTAATTTACCTTAATAATAATACTTGAGTTACTCCTACTCAAATCAAATATGTTTCATGTTTAAACTGTTGATAAACTGTTAATAAACATTAATGGTTTAAGGCAGTTTCCTCAGAATCTTTATAATGTCTGGCTCCGGCCTGTTGTCCAGTATCAGTCTTCTATTGCAAATGGTTTTAATACACAAAAAAAAGGTGTTCACCTTGCTTTGTGTCACACTCATATTTGGTGACCTTGGCGTCATTATTTGTTACAGTCATCATCACGGTGCAGTTGGCCTCCACTGCCTGCACAGGAACATAGACAGTGACAACATTTTACTGAAGATAGCTCACATCTCCATTACGGGAAAGATGTCAAAGTCTTCACATCAGTATGTATGTGAATGTGACTGGCTGTTAAAGGAGAATTGGATTAAAGAAGCATTTACCTGATCAGTCTCCATACGGGTCTCACAGTCTTCAAAGTGTTTGGGGTTGACTGTGTGGCACGTTGTCTCCAGAAGGTGCAACTGCAGCTCAATGTTACAGCCTTCATCAACCTGGAAACAACAGAGAATTTATTCAGGTATAGGGTAATGTAGTAGCTTGTTTTTTCCAAACAGGCATTTTTTCCTTTCATTAATAAACATGTAGGAGAAACTGCGGTGGCTGCAAAACTTCTGAAATTTTTAATACCTTACAGCCAGTGTTGCTATTGCAGCCTTTCTGTGGTTTGTTTCCATAGCTGGTCTGCTCCGTGTGCAGCTGAAAAGAGCAACTGAAACTCCTGTTTTATCATCTACGTCAGTGAATTAAAGATTTATTTTCATCAAACCAGACTTTGTGCTGGTTGGAACAGTGGAAAGACTAACCAAGATGGTTTTAGTGTGTTTTTAATTGTTATTTATCTTACTTTATTTTGTATTAAGATGTTCTGATGATATGCAATTTAAAATTAGTGTTTTTGAGACCCAACAGTTCCCATCTGCATCTAGTACAGTATCTAGTACAACACCATATTTACTAATGTATTTATTCAATAGGGACAGATACAGTATAGTCTACTGAGAGAATTGCATTACAATTATCCAATACAACGTATCACAGCATTTATAGCTGTATATACAACTAATTCCAATGCACATGCCTAGAAGGTTGAAGTTGAATTCGGAAGGTTTTAAAAAAAAAATACAACTGGCTATTATAAGCTTCATAAAGGTGGAATATGAGGCAGAGCTGAAGACAGAAATGTAATTGGTTATTTATTTATTTACACATATGATTGTATGTTCAAATATGTGTAAGTCTCTTGCTGAGGGTGGCAGCAGAGGACCATTTATAAATGAATTATTCCCTTGAAAAATAGTGTTACACAGTCCTGGGTAGAGCAGTCAGACAAATATGTGAATAATGTGTAACATGGATCTTTAGGGACTTGTTAATGTTAACACCAGAATCAACCTCAAATGTCCTATATATGGTGTCATTAACAGTTAAAATGTGTTTTACTCCTCATACATTTCCAGTTGTGGAGATTGTTGTGCTTTGAGATCAGTTAGTGAGAGAAAGAGAGAAAGAAGAAAGTAAGAAAATAAGAAAGAATTGCAGTAATAGTAAAATAATTTACAGTAGTAATAAAGAGAAGAAAATTATGGAAAAGGAAGAACTGAAGAAAATAAAGTACTGTAGGCTTGCCATTAACATAGAGAAAAAGGAAAAAACAATCTGTTCTATTCTTTGAATAATATTTAAATTGAATTGTCACTTTGCTGGACATATTAGTAGAAGATGTAAATGCATGCATTTACTACTTATTTCTGGTTCCCATACCTTTTCCACTTTGTTGCCTTCGAACTCATTGAGTCTGAACTTATAGCCATGCTCATGGTTCTCATCAATGTGATGCATTGCCAGACGTGCTGCAGTTGCACTACTATCCTCACTGCATGTTACTGGCTCCAAAGCTGGAGCCGCGCTGAACATCTGCATTGCTGAGGACAGCAGCACCAGGATGGGTAATGCCTTCATAGTGTAGAGGAAGAGCTAGATCTGTCCACTGCAGCCAGGGACATTATATAGACGTGGAAAGGTTAACAATCCATAGAGAGAGGGAGACAGTGGCAAACAGGAGGAGAGATAAAGGACATGAGATCAGACACACAACTGGTGTAGCATGAGGACAGAACCACAGAGCTGGCCAAGTCAAACAGCAAACACTAGACTTTAACCTTGACAGTGCAGCTTGTTTTAAAATGTCAACTGAAACACTATCAGTTTCATCATAGTTTTATAGTCTTGACCTGTTTCTGGCACTATACAAACTGTTCTACTGAAGCTAATTTAAAGAGAAATTATCAGCTTCATAACAGCTTCGTAATATTTCATACTGAAAATATTAATTTGGCTAGGAAATGAAGTAACAAAGTTTTCATGCTGGGGTGTTGGTAGGAGACTCAAGTCAATTGTCAGACTTAAGATTCACAAGAAGAGATGCAGACTTCATGGTTGTAGAACAGTGGAGCAGCTTTTTCCCTTTGCAAGGAATTTTGAGAGTCAAGAATAGTCTGCAAATCAATTGTTTTGTGGACTTGAAGAAGGTTTATGACTGTGCCACTCAGGATATCCTTTGAGGGATCTTGTCGGGCCTGGTCACCAATTCTGTTTATGACTTGGTACTGTAGCGCCTTGGTGGATTACTGAGCTTCAGCTCGCCACAGCGATGAGCAACACCCTACCAGGCTTCTCAAGAATAAGCCTCCTCAGTTGGCATTCCCCTCAAGATATCTGCTGCTTCACTACTTGACATAAAGACACATGACATAAACACAACATAATAATTTACTCCAACCATGGAGGTATTCACCAAACACTGCTTTGGAGACCGTCATAATCACATCTGGGGATAACCTTTAAAGGGCTTATCGTCTGTGGCTCTAATCCAATGGGTAGTGGAAGATCAAGTTGAAATCAATTATAATTTGAGGGGTAAAAAATATTGGGTATTTTGTTCACAATCAGTGGAAAACAGCTTTCAGTCTTCTCAAACTAATTTTCAATTTGCTGTCCACAAAATAAGTAAATAAATAGTCCACTGCTCTCTGACATACCTTTTCCTGTATTTATTTTGCTAAAGCTTTTCAAAGTAAGATCATTTAAAGTTTGGTTGTCTCGCGTTCATTAAAGTCATGTCATCCAGATAATACTGAATAAAGATGCTGTAATATTTTGGTAAGGTTAAAAAGTATTTTGTATAATGAGGCCTGTTATTGTTGTTATATTTTGTGTTTAAGAAGGCTTAACAGTATTAATGCTACAGGGTAAAGGTGATTTTGGAGCTAAACAGCAGTCACTGTTGGTGAACAATAGTACAAATAAGTATTTCTGTTTAATTCAACAGTACATTTATAATTTGTAAAAGATGTCATTCCAGCGGGTTAATATATGAACACAAGTAACATCTCCTGTCTCTGCTTTTCCTGTACAAAACAGCTTACTGGTCACTCACGCTTGAGGCCTGTAACACATAAGGCTGAAAAACACAACTGGCCAGCTGGTTTTTATAGTGACCCTGCAAAATAGTCAAAGTGGAAGGATATTCTAAAATATGAACCCAAGCCATCCTTTGGGGACTTTGATGTTTTTGTTTGTTTTGTTTTGTTGGCTTATCAAGGTCCATTCTGTTGAACATTTGATTTTGTGTGGGTGCTTTTGTGTGGATGCCACTGATTATTAACTAATATCGTTGTACTTGTTCCAACAAAACCACAGAGTGCGAATTAAACTGTGACCATAGGGTTTTTTTAAGCCTGCGTTATTGAGCAGTTCATTTCAGTTCAATTCAGTTTAATTTATATAGCGCCAATCTCATGACTCTTTTCGAGTAGGTCTAGATCATACATAAAATTATTTACAGAGACCCAACAGTTTTCACCATGAGCAAGCACTAGGCAATGTCACCAAGAGACCTCCAACAGACACCAGCTCTCAGTGGGTGGCCTCTGCTGTTTGAGAGAGAGGGGGAGACAGCAGGGTGGAGGGGTAGGGGGGTAGAGGGGATAAGTGGTAAGGAGAGAAGGACAGAGACAGAGACAAGGGTGCACAGCAACAACAATAGCAACAACTATACTAGTAGAAATGACTAACGATGATGACGATAATAGCCGCAACAATAAGGGATGAATAATAATAATGACAATAATATCAGTAGTGTTAGCAGTATTAGCAGTGGGGGTCAAGCAGGATATGGCAGAAGGCACAACCAGGATCCATGATAACCTGTGAGACAAGAAAGCACAAGAACTGAAGTAACATGCATTCATGGGACATGAATGTGCACAGAAAGAGAGTGAGAAGAAGAGAGGGGGAATTCCCCTGGCAGTCTACCCTATAGCAGCATAACTAAGGGATGGTTCAGGACTCATCTGAACCATCCCTAACTATAAGCTTTATCAAAGAGGAATGTCTTAAGCCTACTCTTGAATGTGGTGAGGGTGTCTGCCTCCCGAACCACAACTGGAAGCTGGTTCCACAGGAGAGGAGCTTGGTAACTGAAGGCTCTGGCTCCTGTTCTACTTTTAGAGACTATAGGAACCACAAGTAGCCCAGCATTCAGAGAACACAGTGTTCTAGAGGGGTAATAGGGCACTTTAAAATATGAAGTGCCCTGGGGAAGTTTCATATAACGTATTAGCATAATAGGGAGTTGATGTAAAAGGAATATGTTTATTTACTCACATAAACTACTGTGCTCTGCAGCAAACAATTGCAAACAACATACCTCAAACTATAAGTTAACTAAATGAATTCATTAATGCAAAACCCTGTTGCTAGCAAACGTCACCGCGTTTGTAATTAACGTTAGTTATCAAACATTTGCTATCAAACGTTGTTATCAAAAACGTTGTTTTGATACCAAAAAGCGACCCAGAATAATATATATACACTGAGAATCAACTTATTCGAAGTATTACACAAACACAACAACGTTAGCTTGAATAGTAAGCTATCTAACTGACCCATAAGAGAGAAGTAGTAAGACATTTTGAACTACAGTTAGCTAGCAAATTTGCTATTATAGGCTAACGTATTTGGAACTAAATAAAATAAATATCAACAATAATTTGGAACTTCATTTCCTAATTTCAGGGAACTTTTCAAAATCTCCTTGACACCAAATGTTACATTACCAAGACATACCTTTATCTTGTCGTTTTTTCTCCTCTTCCTCTCTCTTCCTTTTTCTTTTTTCTGCCCCTGAAGGTTAACGTTAAGTCCTTTTTTGCGACATCTTTCAGCTGCTCCTAGCTGCTGGATGCTCAGTGCGCACTTCACGGTTGGGGGGGGGTGGTTTGGACGAGAATGTACATTTGATAATATATGAATCATCATCACTCACACATGGAAAAAAATAATTAATAACTTTTTTTTAATTGCTCTTGGGGGCCCCTTAGTGGTCACAGGGCCCTAAACAGCTGCTTAGTTGCTTATGCCTTGGGCCGGCCCTGTGTCAAAGGCACTGGAAAAGTCGAAGAACACGATCCTCACGGTGGTCTGTGACTTCTCCAGGTGGGTGTAAGCTCTGTGAAGCAGGTAGATGATGGCATCATCCACACTGATGTCGGCCTGGTACGCAAACTGCAGAGGGTCCAGGTAGTCGTACCAGGGGTCTGAGATGCTGCAGAACCAGTCTCTCAAAGGTCTTCATAACCAGTGTTGGGCAAGTTACTTTTAAAAAGTAATTAGTTACAGTTACTTCTTCCAAAAAGTAACTAAATTAGTTACTCAGTTACAAATTATAAAAGTAACTAGTTACTTCAGAAAGTAACTATTGCGTTACTCTCAAGTACATTTTTAAATGCTCAAATGTGACCCCACCTCCACCTCTCTTTAATGAAACTTAAAATACATGTGCATGTTCAATTATTTATGATAAATCTGAATATTATAATGAGATGGACACTTAATACAGTCCATTATTAACAGACACAATGTACACAAATCTAAACTATTTTAATGTTGCTTTGGGACAAAGTGAGACTAGCCTCCAATCAAATGCCATGTATGTAGATATTATGTTTATATAGTGGATTGATACAAACTTTGATATTTATTGCCCCTCAACAGGCCACAACTGGGCAAAATTAAATTATGCTTGTTAAGAACTATACCAAAAATAAATAACAAATATATACACTCTTTGTAGTGCAAATAAAACGAAAAAAACTTGAACAGAACAGTGTAACAATATGAGGTGCTTTCAATCTAACATAAAAATAATAGCATAATGTGCATTTCACGATTACATTTGTTCCTTTAATTTCTTGGAGGGAACAGTCAGGGCCGGCCCAAGCCTCCATGGGGCCCTAAGCTAAATTTGATTTTGGGGCCATCTATTACTGCCATGTGTCTTTTTGGGAATGTGAATGTGTCCTTTATAGGCAGCGGCCCTCTTAAAATTAATTGTAATGTGGATTAATGTACTAGTGAAGTTACGTGTATGATATATGAAGCTCAGAAACCTCAGAAAGTATACGTAAGACAATGATAATCGGGAATAAGAGAATTATGCCATGGTGGAATGAAATGTGTAGCCTGGTTGTTAAAGAAAGAAATAATGCTCTAAGAAACCTCAGAAATAATTTGAATTTGGACAATTTGATAGAATATAAAAGTGCCATTTATCGCAAAATAATAAAAAATGCTTAAAGGAATACCTGGAGACAGTTTTGTTCTTCTATTGGAAGAGAGAGAGATGATGGTCAAGTATGGAATATGATTAAAAAGATGAATGGCAATAAGATGCACCAATAAGATACCAGTACTTGCAGCTGGGGATAATGTAGCAATTACAGATACTGAGAAGGCCAACCATCTACTTAGAGTATTTGCTATTGTTCATAGTGGAAATCATCATACAGATTTCAATAAACAAAGGAAAGATAAGTTTTTAAAAGATAATGAAATGGTGCTTGGGAAAAAGGTAGAAATCAGTTCAGCTATTGATGTGGAATTTACCATGAGGGAATTGAGAAGTAGAAGGCAGTTGGTATTCTCCAGGACCAGATCAGTTATGTTATGCCATTTTGAGGCAGTTACCAGAGGATGTAATACAGGTAGTTTTGAAACTTTTCAATAAAATATGGACAGCAGGAAGACTTCCTATAAAATGGAAGATGGCATTCATTTTACCATTTGTTAAACCAGGGAAAGATGCAGCTAATTCTATTAATTATAGACCTATAGCACTAACATCTCATCTGTGTAAATGGATGGAAAAAATTATTGTTCATAGGTTATCATATTTCTTAGAGAAAAGAAGGCTGTTTAATGAATATCAGAATAGATTCGTCTAGAGAAACTTGAAAATTAAAACCACACCCATTAACGCATTGCTTGTGGAATCCAGTGAACTTCCATTACAGTTAAGGAGATCGACATTATCACTTACATATTGGATCAGAATTCAGGGAAGAGGAACTGGAAATATAGCATCAACGGTTCTACAGAACTGTTGGGAATATATAACTTTTTCAGGTCGAGGTTTTGAATGGGAAATAAATGAGAAAGTAAATCAGTGTAAACTAGACACTATTCAAGGAGTCCAGCAGTTATCATTAGTACAATTCCATCATGGTTATTTCCACAACCAAAAGTTAACCTACAAATATTAGAAAAGAGAAGAGATTGGTCGGCTAAGAACTTTGATATTGAGAGACTGACTCAAGAATATTTGTCCAAAAATTATTAAAAACTATTTAAATATACTTACAGATGGGTCGATTTGCTATTGCTTAATAAATTAGTAATAGGTTATAAAAGTAGTAATATGTTCAGATTAAGCATCTGTACTTCAAAGTATACAGTCAGGACAAACAGTTAAAAATGATTTAATATTGGAAATTTACATGATTTTATTGAACCGCTATGTATATGTTCATTTTTGTTTGAATAGAGGAAAACGAGGCTGCTGATAAACTAGCTAAAAGTTCATTAAACAAAAATCATAGTGATATTTTAGAAATATGTTCTGGAAGGTCAGAGACCAAATCAGTAATTCAGCAGGGAATAGTTGAAACATAGAAAAACATATGGAATAATGACATCATCGGTAGGGACTATTATACAATTCAAAAATCAGTTTGAAAAGAAGAAAAGAAGACATAATTATATCAAAGTTAAGATTAGGTCATACAAGGTTAATATACATAATGAAAAAGATAGATTCTATTGTAGAAGGTTTAAAGCAGAAAACCGAAGAAAAAGAAGAAGAAGAAGAAGAAGAAGAAGAATGCACGTCTACAAATGACCTGTGGAGGGTAGCAATACGCATTTGCAACGTTTAGTCTGCCGAAAAAAACAAAAGAAGAAGAGGCGGAAGTTGTAGGAGTCAGTCGGCGTGTGTCAGCGGGGAAGATCCAGGTCAGTGCCGTGGGATTGAACCTGTAGACCCTGAAGGTTTGAACCTTGCCCCACCGCCGTGTGTTAGTCTATGTGAATTTGAATTCTGTATTAGTTTGAGTACTGTTAATCTGGATTTAGGTAAATGATTAATCCAGGAAGCTAACAGTTAGCTTCAGTCCAGTCAGCCTTTCATAACCACAGCTGGTAACCTGACGTCAGCCTGAAACGTGGCGGCTGGCTGTTTTTATTGGAGCTGGATCTGTGGACTGTTCAAAGGATTAATCTAGTACTTCATCATCAGGAGTGAAGTGGTAAACTCAGCGCCATTTCGGTCCGTGTATGTTTTGGTCATTGGATGTTCCTTTCAGAAACGAGTATTAAAAACAGAAAACGAGTGCTTATGTGATTTTCCTTTTAAAATACAAAAAATCAAATTGAAATACAAGGCGTTTTTCTTCTTCATGGTCAGAAAGGGATGAGCGAAATTAATAAAATGATTCGAGTTTCATTTTCTATTTCATATAACAAAAATTAAAATCACTAGAAAACAGAAACAGAAAAAAGGCCTGTTTTTTCATATTCTGAGACCGGATGTTGTCATTAACAGGACGGTGCTGTGTAGAAGAAACAGTAGGCTAGTAGACTGCGGTCAATCCAGCCGTGAGTCCGATCTCCGTGGTCAAATCAGCCGCACTTAAATTCAGAGTGTACAAGTATTCTCAGCATTATGGTAAATGCGGAGAAACAGCGTATTTACTTCGGGTTTTCAAAATAAAGGTATTTAGAACAGTAAGCTATAATTCGAACCTAACATTACATTTAAAATAAAATATGTTACATTAAAGTGTTTCATGCGCCCCTGATGAATAAAAAAACACTTTATATCAAGTATCTTTACTGCACCAGTGTGGAGAAATGCCAAAATAAAAGTCTCATATTTATGCCTCCAGAGATTGCATATTTGACCATATTTGAGGTACTGTAAAAACATATTGCTCAGTGTTTCCTGGCTACTGACTTTTACACATATGAGACTACAAGCATACTTAATATCAAGTATTTTTACTGTACCAATTTGGAGAAATTCAACAATAAAAGTCCATATTTGTACCTCCAAGTGGTATTTTCATATATTTGAGCTACTGTAAAAACACTTTGCTCAATAATTCCTGGCTATGGATGATATATTTGACTTCTGCACATCTAAGACTACAAGTATACTTAATATCAAGCATACTGCACCAATTTGGAGAAATTTAAGAATTCAATTAATGTTATTAACTAATTCAAATGAAGCCCTTTAATCTGATTCTATTACACTATAACATGCTTTATCATTGTCTATACATTTCTACTGCAGTATTTCATCAGGGGCCATATGGTCCTGATTGGGAGTTAAACTGTGGTTTTCATCATAACAAAACTGTGTTTGCAGAGCAAAATATAATTCAAATTTTGTTTTTAAACCAAAACCAGAAAACAACTTTTTTCCCCCTTTGATTGTATATTATCTGCCCCTACTGCATCCCTACAAAAACATCCATTATGGGCCTAAGACCAGTTCACATGAACTTGGGGTGAGGAATAAGGATAAGTTGTGCTGAATGGTGTTTTTTTTTTTTTTTTTTATAGATACCCAAGGGTTAGCAGTGCAATTGACTGTGCAGCTGATTATTTCAATTCAATTTTATTTGTATAGCGCCAATTCATAACAGAAGTTATCTCAGGACACTTTTCAAATAGAGCAGGTCTAGACCGAACTCTTTAAAACATTATTTACAGAGATTATATGAACCACAAGTAGCCCTGCATTCAGAGAGTGCAGTGTTCTAGTGTGGTAATAGGGTACTATGAGCTCTTTAAGATATGACTTTCACCCCTGACAAGATTGCTTGGTAAGGACGACCAGGCCCAATCACAGCCTGCAGTTAATTTTTCCTTTTGTTTTAAACAAGGAAAAACGCCATCCAACTGTGTGTGCTTTAGGCATTAATGTATACAACAAAGGTAGGCTGTAGACCTAGATCATTTTTACAGAAGTCAAAGAATGCTTTTTGATAGTGAGGTTAGTGTTTCAGAATTATATAAACTCCAATACTCTATTATTTCTTTCACAAGCCAATATATCTATAATATAATATATCAGCTTAACTCTTCCTGTCTGTCTGTCTGTCCATAACATGCATAGCCAAAGACAGTGTTTCTGTAGAAATACTATAGATATAACAATAAAGACGAAAAACCTTATGTTTCCTTGTTTGGGTTTAACTTCTGTTCCATCTGCCGATTTTGAAGACTAAAACCGGAAACACAAGAGGATTTCTGTTTTTTTAATTAACTGGAAAAATGGAAAAACAAAATGGATTTTTTTAAAAAAAGGTTTCGATTTTATTTCTTCAGAATGACTATGACTATCAGAATAGTTTCTGTTTGATTTTCTGTCAATCATATAATTGACCAATCCCTGCAGCTTTACTTTTATAATCAGCATATAATTTTGCAATATATAAAAGCAGAAGTGGTTTAAAGAAGGAGCAGCTAAAGTGGCCTAGTTAGATAATAATAGCAGGCAGCAGGGGTGTAATTAGGGCTGCACACTAAGGATTATTTTCATTTCCAACTGATCTGCAGATATAGTCTGTAAAATCTACACAAACTGTGAAAAATGCTCTTCACAATTTCCCAGAGGCCAAAGTGCAGCTTCTTTTGTTCAAAACCCGAAGAATCTTCATTTATCATAAATGACAAAGAAATACAGAAAATCCTCACATTTAAGCTGCAACCAGCAAATGTTTGACATTTGTGCTTGAAACAAAAAGTTTCAAAAGTGTTTTATTTTGATCGAGTAGTTGATTAATCGGCTAAACTTTGCAGCTCAAGGTGTAATGCGGTTTTCACAACAGCAAACCGGATACGTGTCTCCCTCTGCAGCAGTATGGCCAGTGTCGAGCAGGTGGCAGCAGTTGGACAGGTGGCAGCAGTTGGACAAGTTTTGGTGGACCCAGGAGTGGACCTGACCCGGCGGTTCAGAGCCCTATTCACCCTGAAGAACCTGGGAGGTAAAACATGTCCACAAAACAGTTAAACATCCATAGATTCTAGAACAAATAGATTTTAGCCCAAGTCACAGCAAACCAAATGCCAATGCGCTCTTCAAGTGCTCAGTGTTGACAAATTGACTTTTAGGCCAGATGGATGAAAACCTATTTTATATATTTTATTCCTCTACTCCAAAAACCTGACCTTCAGTCTGTTAGAGGAAGTCTCCCTGGAAGAAGAAGCCAGATATTTTTTTGTTGTGGCTGGCCGATGCCAATATTTAGAGAGCAAGGCTGCCGATGGCTGATAGAATGCCCATATAAAAAAAAGAAGAAAAATTATTTTGTTCTACAAGAAATTCATGCAAATATTTACAGCAGGATGCTGCCTGAAGACATTTTTTTGTCCGTCTGCCTCGTGAGCGCAGACCTCAAAATGCCAAATAATTGGCCCGATTAATCGGTCTGTCACTACTAGGATAAACTTTCAAAATGTCCAGTGTTTGTGTCAAGTTTGTTAAGTGGGACCCTTGCACTTTTCACAACTGTTAGAACAAAAGTCTTGTGAACAAAAAGCCAATAAGAGTAATTACTAAATGTAATCTGCACATAAAATGTAGATATAACAGAAATAAACGATGAACAGAATACAACAATATTGGATCAGCAGATACTGGATATTAAATTACTTGAGTCGGATCTGGGGCTAAAAAACCTGGATCGGGACGTCCCTAGCATACAGCCATTAGTGGAGCAATGCAATTCATCTCTCAGCTTACTGTATTTTGCATCTTTCATCCCTTTCCCACTTTTCAACTATTATCTGCCCATTCCTACTTTACCTAACTACTAAAACAATGGATGAACACTTCAAACAGGAAATATGTGTAATGTCTTTTATGTATTATGTTTTGTATGTAATGTATTATCTGAGCTTATTTAAGCTGTAACCTGTTTGTGTCAGGTGCTGAAGCTATAGAGTGGATCAGTATGGCCTTCACTGATGAGTCTGCCCTACTGAAGCACGAGCTGGCCTACTGCCTGGGACAGATGCAGGACAGACGGGCCATACCCTCACTGACTGCTGTACTCAAAGATACACAGCAGGAGCCAATGGTCAGGCATGAAGCAGGTGAACTTGCACTATGATGAATGAAATGAGTCAGCTACCAAACACAGTTCTTTAGTGCATGTACTAAAGGTACACATGCATGTACACGCTCATGCTTTGTGCATTACCCCTACCACATCGCACACACGTATGTTTGTATGCATATTTGTCTTTTTACATGTACATGCTTATGATTCTTTGAACATAATGCAAAAACACGTACAAACGCACACATGGCTCTCATGGATTTCCATCAGTTAGGGCTGATGCAGTCTGCCACCCTGTCTCTCCCAGCCAATTGCTTTTGGTCCAGTTCATTTTAACTTTATGCCCCACCCCTTTTTATCTCTGCTTGGTGTTTAAATTTGAAACATTTGCATAAATAGTGGCCCAAGATAGAAAAAAAAGGAAAAATAAAAATAAAGGTGGTGCTAAAAAACAAAAATTCAAATAACAAATGTATTATTATTATTATTATTATTATTATTATTGTTGTTGTTGTTGTTATTATAAAATGTGGTGACATTACTAGTCAGTCATTACAGTTTAGTCATCCTGATGGCACTGGCAGCAGAGAGGAGAGAGAGCAGCCCATTGAGCTCAGTGATACTAGTTCAGCTGTCAAGGTTTTGCAGATGATACAGTAAGACAGAACACAATAGGGATAAAATAATGTTTGGGTTTGGCTAGCAGGCTATTTAGCAATAGCAGGAGCCTTTGTTGACACATGTTCAAGTTTTCATAAAGTTTCTCTGCTCTTTAATGTCACACTCATTATCTGGATGTGGTGGGACATTAAATGGTGAATCATAAATAGACTGTACTTATATACTCTACTTTCTAGTCTTCCAACTGCTCAAAACACTTCTACACTACATGCCACATGAACACATTTCATACAGTGAATGGCAGAGGACATCACAAACATTGATGTGCAGCATCAGCATCAGGAGCAAACCTCCAACCTTCTTATTAGTGGAAGACCTGCTCTACTGCCTGAGACACAGCCAACCATTACAAAAAGGCTGATGTGCTACTGTGAACCAACCAAACTGTCGACATTTTGAACTCTGTGCATGAATAACTATGTAACGGATAATGCCAGACAAGTAGAGCTGGGTGATCAATTGATTAATTCAAATGTACAATGCAAGACATGGCTGAGATGTAGACTCAATTTCCCATGGTATCCTATATGAGAGGTAGGGTTCCAGTGATAAGACATTGGTGGTGTTTTATATTGCAAAAGATATGGTGTCTTTTGTAGTTTGTTTAAAAAAATCAATTAAAACAGGTGTGGTGTGAAACATTTTATTTTTAGACTATATCACCCAGCCCTACTGACAGTGGGTCCATTATCAGGAATTAATTGGATCACAGAAAAGCAGCAAATTACTCAAATTGCTTTCTTGGCATAAGCCAGACAGCCTTTGTTAGCAGCAGAAAATGTACAGATGATTACAGTAATGTAGACAATGTGTGTGGATATAACAGCACATGATCACAAACACATGTATTTACTTAACAGGATACAATTACTGGAGCTGCATAAGAACTAGAAGCAACACTTCTGTGTCTGTCTGTCTGCCACTCTGACTGTGTCTTTCTTTAGGGGAGGCTCTGGGAGCAATTGGTGATCCTACGGTTCTGGACTTACTGAAAGAGTACAGTCAGGATCCTGTGATAGAGGTAGGAACATAACACTGAGCCTGTAACCACAAATGCAGTAGTATCAGGCCAGTAAATACCAAGAACACTGAATAAGATTGTCAACTTCTCACGGTTAGGATTCCTGCAGTGTAAATTGTTCAGGGGGTTTCTAGTGGGAGCCCAATTATCCACAGAGGTCTCTTCCTCTCTAAAATTAACCAAAAAAAAACAAAGCACCAAGATCTAAACAGTGGATACTAAAAATGTGGCTTCAAACTAGATAAAAACAGCTTCTGGCAGACAACCACAATGCTGACGCACAAGAGGGATATGACGCCATTGACAGGTGAAACACAGCGTTACCTGAATAAAGTGAAAGATTTCTCTGAGTTTGAACATTGTTGGAAACATTTGGGATAATGTAAGTACACAACTACATATAGAACATAGCTCTAATGTTTATAGAGATTCTAAATGCAGAAATGTTATATATTATCTGTCCTTAACTGTCACTAAGAGTAAATGTTAGCAGTGAGTTCCCTGGTATTTCATTGTAGCCACTTTTATTGAATAAAAACTCTTAACTCTCAGGTAGAGGCCTTACAGTAGATTTTGTGCGCTGTTGAAATGCTGAAATGTCATTATCCATAGTTCTGTCTCTCAGAACAGTTGGATGGTAATGAGATGTGATGTGTGAGACATGGCTACTTGCCTCTGGACACACAGCTTGATCAGCTACTGGGATGCCTCCTTAGCCAGACAGTAGCAAAGAGTTTGATTTTGTATTTTTGCCAGCTCACAGACAGTAATTAGAAACAAATGATTAAATTAGCCAGCGACACCTCAGCTGACGAAAGCCACCTGATAATCGCATCGACTTGAACATTTTTGGCTTAGCCTTTAAAAATGAAACCAATCAGACATCATTCAATGATGTCTTCAGCAATAAAGCCTGAAATAGCAATTATTGTCACTGCGTCGTCAATGTTGGACATATTTCAACACTTTTTACCCCATTTTACCTTTAGAACACGTGCACCAAATTTGGTTCAGACAGCTCAAAGCAAACTTGATTAATCAGGGTTTAGTCTGCATTGTCACAACTTTGAATATGAATTGCAAAAACAGCCTCTCATAACGACAAGGTATAACTTATGTGAGTCCAGACTTTTAATGCGAAATATTGGATGAATATTGGAACAAATATGAAGGCTGTGAAAACTATTTGTTTTGGATTAACTTCATACCTTCAACTGATGGGAAACCACATGGCCGTAGCTGTGAGCTGACTTCTCACTTGATTTATTAGCGTAGTAAACGGATTCCTAATGAATTATTTATAGTCTCAATCTCTATTTTCTAGACTCGTTCATACAGCATGTTCATTTAGTAAATTATGATACAATTTAGAGTAAAATAGACGTTAAAGAGGAGTTTACTTAGAGTTTTACTTAGAGAGTGCTTTTGGGCGTGGCTATCTTGTGATTGACAAGTCATTCTCAGAGAGTCTATCCAGCTCAACGCACCAAACTGTCAAACTAGGCAGAGCTGATCTTTTCACAAACACATTTAAGTGTACTGTTTAGCTGGAATACGAGAACGAGATACATGTGACCCCCATTCTATCCTGCAATTAGACGAATCTATGCACCCATTAAGAGCATCTTATCTTGTTGTACATCACTGCTGCTGACTGCAAACAAATGGCGATGACTATAAATGCAAACTCAAGGCTTCAAAATGGTACTCCACAAACCAGTGAGTTCAGTCATGATAGGGCTGCATCAAAAGATGTGTAGTAATCCATGCGATCCAATAAAAAAACATTTTTTTTTGTTTCTTTTGCATAACTTATTGAACTGTTTTATTATCTGAGTAGTGGGGAGACTTCTGACTTTGGTGTAGCAACGATAAAGCCAAATTCATATCTGCTTCCCAGGTTGCAGAGACGTGTCAGTTGGCTGTTCGTCGTTTGGAGTGGCTGCAGAGTGAAGGAGGGAAACAGTCGGATGGTGAAAATACAGATAAGAACCCCTACTGCTCTGTAGACCCAGCCCCTCCAGCAGCAAAGAAGTCTGTGTCAGAGCTGCACTCCAGCCTGTTGGATGAGAGTCTGCCACTCTTTGAACGCTACCGTGCGATGTTTGCCCTGCGTAACCTGGGCAACGAAGAGGCTGTGCTGGCACTTGGAGACGGTAGGATATTACACTATAGCTTACTTGAAGTTTTCACCTGAAATTCATATTTCAAAACAGTTCATAATTCTTTAGAAAGTTTATCATTAAATCATGAATTAGCTGTAGAGCTGACGAGATGATTTTTACACTGTAGATTTCCTTGGTTATTTCCTTGGTTCGTATGTGTCTGGGTTTAAAATGTAAAAATGAAAGGGTATGATATGAATCCTGATATGGGTTGGAGTATTATCAGGTTTTAGCTAGTGACAGTGCATGACAGTAACAGCGAATTGTGATGGCTAGACGACTGGGTCAGAGCATCTCCAAAACTGCAGCTCTTGTGGGGTGTTCCAGGTCCGCAGAGGTCAGTACCTATCATCAAAAGTGGTTCAAGGAAGGAGAAGAGGTGAACCGGAGACAGGGTCATTGATGCAGGTGGGGTGTGAACAGACAAGCTACTGTAGCTCAAACTGCTGAAAAGGTTAATGCTGGTTCTGATAGAAAGGTGTCAGAACATACAGTGCATCACAGTTTGTTGGTATGGGGCTGCTCATGGATAGTGTTATGCAGCTTATCGATGTAAATCAATGAGAAGATTGGCTATTTATATATAGTGATTCTTAATTACTGCCATAGGGTTGCATTTGGTCGGATTCCCCTTGAAATCACTGAAATGTCTGTTTTGTTCCCAGGGTGCGCCAGAATCAACACAAAATGAAAGTGTAGGCGCTTTAAAGGCATTAACTCTTTATTTGTGAAACACCTCAAAGTGTAAAAACTGTTTTTGGAAAGCAGCCCTGTAATGATAAGAGCAGGGTGTGACCACGGCATAAACCTTTAATTTTTTTGTCTGTAGGCCTACAATGTTCCAGTGCTCTGTTCCGTCATGAGATTGGCTACGTCCTGGGTCAGATGCAGCACCCAGCAGCCGTCCCAGCTTTGTGCACAGCTCTGGAACGTTCAGGCGAGAATCCCATGGTCCGACACGAAGCGGCAGAGGCTCTCGGGTCCATCGGCAAAGAGGAGTGTCTGGCTGTGCTGCAGCGTTACCGCGGAGACAGGGAACGTGTTGTCAAGGAGAGTTGTGAGGTCGCTCTGGATATGCTGGAGTATGAAAACAGTGACCAGTTCCAGTATGCAGATGGCCTAGTCAGGTTACAGGGTTAAAAGTAAACCGAAGTAGCTTTCACTCAGATCTTTCTATTCCCTGTACTATTGTACTACATTATACAGCAGACACAGCTGGGACTCTCTGGGATGGAGCTTTACAGTTTGTATTCAGCACATAAAATCAAAAATGAAACCGTTAAAGCTTGAACAACAAGACTTTGTGAGCTGCAGTGAGCTCTTAGGTTTGGGCTGTGTGGGTGTTGCTGTATAGGGGGACCAGGAGGAGCAGAGTCCTTTTGTATTCTTCCCTCCTCCATGACACCAGTGCATTCATTATTTGCTTTTTTCTCCCTACAGCCAATGACAACAGAAAGTAACTAACTGTACATCAAATCTTTGTTTGTGGAGAATGCAGTAACTCAGGACTGATTTCACAATTTACCTGGAAGTGTATTTTCATATTTTTGTCCAGGCCACATACTTCTGTTCTGCTATCATTTAGAGTATAGATAAAACTACAACACCTCCACTTTGCTCACGCTGTCTGGTCACCTTTTGTTTGGAAGTTGTAGGTAGGCCCTACTGACCAATGTGATGGTTTCAACTTTCCTTTGCAGAATTATTTCTATGTTCACTATACTGATTCTAAATTTAAGCATTGTTTCTGATCCAGGCTGCACCACAGTTTAGTAGGCCTGATGTTCATCTGCTCTAACTAATTACAATACAAACTAAATACAATACAATATTTTGGGATGCACACAGCTCTCATTGTAGGGAAAACTGTAAATCTGTAATCTGCTACAGATTAACAGAGAAATTGTAGTACGACCTCAATCACCCATGCTCCTCTGGTTGCTTTTTGACTAGATTTCTGTAGAAAACCATTTTAATCAGTTTTATCATTTACAGCCAGGTGTGTACTGTATTGTGTAAAATTAAAACTGCTGTATACATTTATGTTTTCTGTCATCATATAAATTTATGTTAGTCCTTAAACTCAAGTTCTCCACAGTAATGCGATATAGATTTTAATTTGAAGACCTCCCATCTTATTCTTTTTCTACCTTTCTACAAGATTTGGAGCCATGTGTTAGAAGCTCTGGACCACCATCATCACAATACCAAATGAGAGAATATCTTTTGGAAGAATAGGAACATGGAAGCAATGTATTTAACTGTGGTTTGTCAAAGTATTACTAGCAGAACAGTAGGATAATGATGGACAGTGGAGAGTAGTGTACAATGAATTAAAATATTATTGAATCACCATGTGGCCAAGTGCAGTATCCAAATCAGAGTAGCTACATTTTGTTTGATAAAAGTAAAATGGGTGTCAAACAGAATTAAAATAAAGTACTGCCGTTGCCCTGCCCTACAAATCGATTACCCAATATTGCACATCTACTTGGTTTAATTTTTTTCCAGTGAAAATGACATTCGTGATTTGTGCAAAAATGATAATTCCCACGCTATGGATCATATCATAGTAACTGTCAAAATAATGGCAATAATATGCTCCTGCAGAAAACTCCACAGCTTGACATATTCTCTAATTTGGTATTATGTTGATGGTGGTGGAGAGCTTCTAACACATGGCTCCAAATCTTTTCTTTTCCCTTCATGAAACCATTCATCTGTGGTTATTGTCTGAATCCGTGAGGGAACTTTTTATAGTCTCTTTTAATCAATGTGGGACATTAACAGTGTGTGTGTGTGTGTGTGTGGTGTGTGTTTATATATGTGTATATATATATATATGTGTATATATATATATATATGTGTATATATATATATATATTATAGATCAGAATCCCAATCACCACGTCATTGGCCAGGCACGTGCACACACGCAAGGAATTTGACTTGGTTTTTATGTTGCACTCAATGTACATTCACAGAATAAGCATACATTAATAGAACAAGATAGATATCAACTTGTTAAATCATAATCCTGACACACTTGATAACAGTAATACTAGTTATTATCATTGCTGTTAATAATAATGACAGTTATGTATTCGCGTTGTCGTATTTTCTTTACCTTTCCTCTTGGGGGCTCGTTGTACTCTCGCGAGCCTAGCAACCGATCTGTTACAGTAACCGTGGCAACCGGTGACATTTTAATCTAATGTTACTCTACCACGGTTTGCCCGTAACACGAGTAATCTTTTAAATGCTAGCTAACTACAAGTTTGAACGTCTTGTAGCTGCAGTCTATTCCCATACTGACTGAAAGATAAAATTCGGAAAAGGAAATAACGGAAGAGAGGAACGATGGACCCTGCGGATGGAAACCCAGACAGAAGCCAGCAGAGACTTCAGACAGCAGCCTCGTTCAAGGCTTTCATGTTGAAAAATAACACACAGGGCAACATTAACCTGTAAGTAACGTTACAATGGATGACACAATGATGCTAGCTCAGGGCTACAGTGTCGAGTTAGCTCTCTTGGAGGTTAAAACATTTTGTGAACTGAACGAGAGTTAACTTACTTAACGTTAGTTACCCATTCTCAACCTCAAAACACAAGATTAGCCTTAAGAGCTGTTAATGCAAATAAATACTTACAGACCAATTTTGTATCATTTAGTAAACTGTAGTAAAGTGACATTTAATGGATATTTAATATTATCTTCAAAACTGTACAATGAACCCAAATAGTGAACTCTTTATGTAACAGAAGTAATTCGATTAGTAATTAACGTTAGTAACGTTATATTCATTTTGAGCAGATTATTGCCCATTTAGGGAACTTTTTTATAAAATTCTCTGCCTATATTATTTTAACTTTTCATTCTACAAATTACAAAGTATTTTCTTGTCCTGGTGCTTGGCAATTGTTTGTGGTGACAACCTGTATACTTCTACTGACACTGGACACCTTGATTAGTGTTGACATTTTATTACTCCTAAATAGTTTAATTAAAGCTGTATATATAGTGGTTGGTAACCATTGCTACCAAAACTTAGTTTTTCACGACTTTATTCAATTTTACAACCAACATTGATAGAGAAAGAATGGCTGTTACTATCCATATGCTGGCATAATACAATAATGATAACCATGAAACACACTTTTTAAGGAAAACACCTGTGTTCTGTACTGTGGGAAATTTGAATTATACACATGTGCTTAATGTATGAATAATATTTCTGGGTTGACATTCCATAAAACGAGCAACAGAATCCTTCACTGTTGTTGTTCTGTAATGTTCCAGCTATGACCACCTCACCCGGCTGCTGATAAAGGTGATGGATGAGCACCCACATAATGCTGTGGATGTGATTGAGGACATGAGCTGCGATGTGAAGCGGGGTTTATTTGAAGACAAGCAGAGCACCCTGCAAGACCTTCCACACACCACAGCTGCTGAGCTCCTGGCTGAGCAGCAGCGCCTGCTGTTCACTCGGCCAGAGGAGGCTGAGCAGGAGGAGGAATTGGTACTATACACCTACACTGTTTTCATTTGTAGGAGAAAGAGCACAAAGGCATTTTGGTTTATCTGTGTAACATTTGATGGAAAAGTACACTACTCACTATCTGAACAGCATTTCATTGACTGTTTGGGACGGCAGTATCTCAGTCCATTGGAACTTACCTGAGAACCAGCAGGTTGTCGGTTGGCTGTTTTTTGTTGTTGCTGGGTTTTTTTTGTTTTGTTGTCACTTTGTTGAATACAAAAGGTCAAACAGGCATCTGTAGAACATGACATACTGTAGGTTCAAGCAAATAGATAGCACATAACTTCCAGTCATTTTTAAATGCTTCAAAAACAGGTAATGTACATTTGCTTAAATATTCTATTGCCAGCAGAATGAAAATGTCTCTGTGCGCGCTTGTAGGTAATGCGCCATGTCTGGAGGCCCATAAATACAACTTAAAAGCTGTGTCTGCGCCTCATTGTAAAAGCGTCCTGAGGATCTTTGTGCCTACTTATTTCTATTAACTTTCTCACTCACTCAGGGACAGACTTTTGTGTGTGGCCCTGCTTCAAAAATAACAAAGTCAAAAGAAATGTATTTACCCAAGGTGATTCATCAAAATAGTTATTCTTCAATGAGTGTCATTTTCATTTTTAACACCTATCACACTTCAAAGAATAACTATTTTGATGAATCACCTTGTGGAAATACATGTCTTTTGACCTGAAAATATGTAAATAAAAGTATGGGTATTTCCTATATAGTATGTGGAACTGAATTTGCATAATGTCTTCATCAGGTGGAAACACCTCTTCCCAATGTGAGTGAGATTGGCTTCTATCTGGAGCAGGCTGGAGTGGGTCTGGGCAGAGAGGAGATGCAGAGGGTCTTCCTTGCACTTAAGCAGCTCGTTGAGTCTCAGGCGCTACCACGCTGCCGGCTGTGGGGCAAGATTCTGGGAACAGAGAGCAGCTATATCGTTGCTGAAGCTGAGTACAGAGAGGGGGAGGAAGAGGAAGAGCAGAGCACTGAGGAAGATGCTGAGGAAGAGGAGAGAGAGGCTGAGGCTCAGGAGAATGAGGTGAGGAAGTGAAAAGTACTCAATCATTATACCAGATAATCTGCAATCATTCTCCAGTTATGGCGGGGTCTTTATTTGCCTGAGCTGCAGAAAGAACCTTGCATCTGACCACCTTTCCATTCCAACTGATTTCCACCATGGATCCAATCAGACCAATGACGGCCATTTATTTAATATGGGGTGGACTTTATACAATGATTGACAGCCGAGTGTCACCAGTCCAGATTTGAAAAGTCACGATTTGCTGCTTCGATTGATTGTAGGTCTGTCCAATTGCATCCAGTTTGCGGGTCCGTCCAGGGCAAGACAGACTTACGAAACTGAAGCTGTAAAAGCTAGGCAGTGCTGATTAAATATAAAGCAACATTCTGTTACTGCATTGCCGATTTCTCTCCTCCAATGTTTTCATATTTTAGTGTGCTGTATAGCTGTAATTTAAGTTTGTGACCAGGTCACCAGTTTTTTCCTGTTTCACCGCACCGTCTTTCATGGCTATGTTCTACTTTTTGTTGCTTTGATTTGTTGTAATGTATACAGTTGAGTTCAGAGTCATTTTGATCTGCACCTGTTGATATCCCCTGGAAATCATAAAACTTAGGAGTTCCAGACTAATTTGCAATTGAGAATTAGCCATGCTAGAGAGAACCAGGCCTTTATTTGGATCGTATGTTCCTGTTTTATATATATTTGATCATACTACAAAGCAAAACTGAGGTTTGCATAATAAGTCAGAAATAAGTCAATGTAACCTACCTCTTTTTCAGGTAAATATTCAAGTTATTGTGGTCTACAGGGGAACATAGAGAGAAGAACCACATAGAATAATAAGGTTGTACATCAACTACCATTGCCATTCTCATAAACTTCAGTGTTCATAATACCAGGCTGGAGTGTTCTCAGTACACAGTTGTATATATTGCATATATTGCATGTACACAGGACCTGTGTGTAACAAAAACAATTCTTTTTTTTAGGCAATTATACGCTAATTATATTCCATTCTAACAATTGATCCTCCTAAATGAACTGAACCTTTAAATATAAGAAAGACATCCCAACCACATAAATCATCTGGAAATAGCACATCTATATCACTCTGCCCTACAATATTGCTGTATAGTTGTACCCATATATCTAAGCCTAAGGTGTTATTATTAAAATGTGCATGAACTGTGAACATATCTTAACTAAACCTCTTGAAATCATGAAAACAAGGACACATGATGAATAATTTTTTTGAAAATGAAAAAAAGAGTGAATGTAATCTTTTCAAGGTAAAGAAAAATGAATAATCTGGGAGTAGTTTTTCTGGTCTTTGTTTTCAGATGTATCCACTTCCTCAGTCGACCTATAAACCCCTACCAGAGGTGCCAAAGGAGGCCATAGGAACAGGTGCTAACAAGTTTCTTTACTATGTATGCAAAGAGCCTGGTCTTCCCTGGGTAAAGCTCCCTTCAGTCAGTCCTGCACAGATTACTGCTGCTCGCAGGATTCGGAAGTTCTTCACTGGGAGGCTGGACAGCCCAGTTGTGAGCTACCCTCCTTTCCCTGGGAATGAAGCCAACTATCTGAGAGCGAAGATCGCTCGGATCTCTGCTGGCACACAGGTTAGCCCCCAGGGCTATTTCCAGGCTGGGGAGGAAGAAGGTGATGAGGAAGACGAGGCATCTCGGGACAGCTACGAAGTAAATCCTGACTTTGAGGGCGTTCCAGTTGCTGAGATGGCTGAGTCCTTGTCCACCTGGGTGCATCATGTTCAGCACATCCTGCAGCAGGTAGTCTGATCACAGTTGACAGTATTCTCAGCTGATGTATGTATGCTTATTTAATGTGTAAATACGGACTGTTTTAGGGCCGTTGTACTTGGGTGAACCTGTCTGTGAAACCAGGAGATGACTCTAATGAGGAAGGAGAGGCTGAGGAGAAGGAAGAGGAGCCTGATGAGCCTGAACCAGAAGTTGGTCCCCCTCTGCTCACTCCCCTGTCCCAAGATGCAGGTCAGTCTTTGGCTTTGGGCATGTTCCCGTCAAACCAGTAACCAGTACCAGGCTACCAAAGATAACAAAGGTAACAAAGGATGTAATTTCCATTGGGGATATGAGGATTTGTTTCCAATTTTAAAATACCTTTAAAATCTAAATAACTTTCATAACCTGATGTGACTAATGCTAGATGGATACTCATGTGATCTTATAAATCTTGCTGCCTCACAAGGTTAACACTTTTTTTTAAAAACACAAAATCTTTTTTTTTATGTGATAAACTCTTAACACTCTTGGGATCATTAAGAATCTTATAATGATTTATAATCATATAAAGTCTACTTCAAGAAAATGAGTCAATGGAACAAAGTCCAATTATACTGTATCATCAACTCAAAACAAGTAAGTTGATTCAACAATTGATTTTTGAGTTAGGTTGTGAGTGACTCAAATGTTTTTGGAGAATTAATGTATGTTAATTTACTTACTCAGTGTCAGGTTTTACAGTGTAATAAAAAATTATAATAATAATAAATATCTTGCCCAAAGCCACTTTGACATGCAGACATGACGAGCTGGTGATCCAACCCCAGACCTTCTGATCAGTGGACAAGCCGCTGTACCTCCTGAGCCACAGTTGCCCCTAGTACACTGAACGGTTATCAATGTGATATTATTAATATAGCAAGTTTGAATGATATCGTATACATTGTTTATTGGCCCTACCTGGATAATCAAATTTTAAACCAGAAGTTGCTCCAAGATCATTTCTCTTTATTATCTTCATCTCCTCATTCTGTTATAATTCAGGAACTCAGATTAAATAAGCTCCTGGTTTTCTTCCATGCCATTTCTGTGGTTACTATTCTCACACAAGTTTAAAAAAGGTCAACCATCATCAACTCAGACTGCACTGGTACAGTACTGTGTACAGTCCCCTTTTTTCTGGTTGATCCCATGATTATGCCTCCACTTCTGATGCTATGCTACCTTTTTTGTGTTTCTCAGAAATGTTCAACACCCCTCCCTGGAGTGCCAAGATGTCCTCCACTCTCACCTCTCAGCATGCAGTAGCTGTGCTGCGTTCAAACCTCTGGCCAGGAGCTTATGCATATGCTTGTGGAAAGTAAGTGCAGAGTCAGAAACAAATGTGAATATTCTGACTTTCTCTGTTGGATTTCTCACAGTAAGCTGCTCTTTATTTAGGAAGTTTGAGAACATATATGTTGGATGGGGTCTGAAGTATGCAGGGGGAGGGTACAACCCACCTGTCCCCCCACCACCCCAGAAAGAATATCCCAGTGGACCAGAAATTACAGAGGCCCTGGACCCATCACTAGAGGAAGAACAGGCGCTGAAAGAATCTTTAGAGGAGCAGCAAGCTGCCAAGGAGGAGTTGGAGGACACAGACGAAGAGGAGGAGGAAGATGATGACTGAGAAAACAGTCATACATTTTAAATTTCGTTTGATCTTTCAAGTATTTCTTTGTAAGTCACTGGCCAAATAAATCAGTTTATCACGCAGCGTGGCTTGATATTGTAAACTCTGATAAATATTATATATATTATATATCTAGATAAATATTGTTTAATATCTCAAGAGGGCAGTAGTGTAAAGATGAGGCAGTGTAAGTCATCCATCCATTATCTGTAATTGCTCATCCTTTGGAGGATTGCAGAGGGCTGGAGCCAATCCAGGCTGACAGTGGGCAAGAGGCAGGCCGCAATTCATCCCAGGGCTGACACATAGAGACCAACAACCATTCAGACCTACGGCCAATTTAGTCACCAATTAACTTGTTAACCTGGATGTCTTTGGCCTGTGGGAGGAAGCCAGAGCACCCGCAGGAACCACAGTTATTGTAGTTTTGTATTTTTTTAATGATTTTTTATGTTTATTTTGTTTTTTAATTAGTTATTTAATTATTTTTTTTTACTGTAGTTTCAGTTTCCAGAGTGGGATGGTTCATTTGTTTAGTTTGTATTATTTAAAAATGTTTAGTTTTAGTTTAGTTTCAATTATAACATTGGGATATTTGTCAGTGGCAAGATTTAAGAAGATCAGAATAGGTATTACAATATGAACACACTGTAGGAGCCATTAATTAATAACTAAGAATTAATTTTACAATATCAGGTTTGTGATGGGTTTATATTTCTTGGTATATGTCATGAGTTTGTGTTTCTGATATATTTGTCAATACTTGGTGGTGATTATTAAAATATGGGTGGTAACACTCAGTAATACACAACAGAGTGTAATGTGTGGGAGGGACAGTGAGCGTGGCCGCCTTATTTTCTTGTTCTTGTTTAATCGCCATGATTTCTTTTATAATGAGTTTATGCGCTATTCCGGGTTAAGTCTTTCTTTAATAAAAGTTATTAAATGTAACAAAGAACGGCACTGAAAGAGGCATCCAGAAGCTGAGCGATTCAAAGTTTTGAAGAGGATGAAACTCAGCAAAGAACAGAGACAAATCACGGAGGTCGGCGCTGGCTGTTTTACTGCAGTCAAGTTCTGTGTGGGTGCCTCTGTATTTTACTACACAATATTCACAACAGAAAGGAGTGACTGTAAATCATAAATCCATGCCTTTGTGGTTAGGATATTACCTCTTTTTATTCAACTTTTCCTGTGGCAGTGTTGGCAATTATTTTGTCAATTATTTGACAATATTGTCTCAGTTACATTGTCACTGTTTTTCTTTTTTGTAATGTGTAGTGTTGTTAGGGGCTGTAATGCAGTGATAAATGTGACCATAGCCTAGAGAAAAACTGATAAAACATTTTAAGTAATAAAGAAATACCAGGGAGCAATGCAAACCAGATGATGATCAAGTTGATGACAATGCTGTGCCAAATATAACTGTGATTAATGATAATATTGGTCCAGGGGATAGCGCTTCTAATTCTTCTTCAAGGTCAACAACCATGCCTCAAAGCAGAGGCTGAAAGAGCTGTTTTTCTCGCTATGGCAGCAGCCTCCAAAGACAAACATGAGCTGGACATGTTTCTACAGGAAAGGACAGAGCAGGCTGTTCTTTCTGAGGAGGCTCAGGTCATTCAACGTGTGCACTCAGATACTACAGATGTTCTACCAGTCTGTAGTGGCCAGTGTCCTCTTCTTTGCGGTGGTTTGTTGGGGAGGAGGCATCTGGACTAGTGGTGCCAACAAGCTGAGCAAGCTGGTGAGGAAGGCCAGCTCGGTGGTGGGGATGGAGCTGGACAGTGTGGAGGCTGTGACTGAGAAGAGGATGAAAGGGAAGCTGAAAGCCATCATGGACAACCCCTCTCATCCTCTCTACACTGAGCTGAGGCAGCTCAGGAGCATCTTCAGCCACAGACTGATCCACCCCCGAGCCTCAAAGTGGTTTGGAGGCTCGTTTGTACCATCTGCCATTAGACTCCACAACGCCACAGCACCCAGTACCTCCAACCCCAGCAGACAAAGACTGGTTTAAACTCCAACCTAAGACGCACAAACTATTTATATTTAATTTCTACATGTACAGTTTAGTTTTTAGTCAAGCTGCTCAAATATTTGCACACCATTCTTACTTGCATATTGCATAGTGTATATACCTTAATTTAGTCTTATATTTTTTATTATATTTTGTAATATTTTATTTTGTGATATCTTGTTGTACCTCCACTTCTGTACTCATGTTCATTCCCCCATACTGCTGTGTCAATTTTGAATTTCTCCTAAGGGGGATCAATAAAGGAACATCTTATCGTAAGACAACTGTGGGCCCTCCGTCCATATCCCAAATCAATTAGCTGAGGCCCACAAAAAATCTGTCCCCACATCGCGCAGAGGACTATTCAGCAGTGTAGGCAGATTGCAACATTGCACTAGCCTACTGTCTACAAATGTTTGTTTATAGATATGTAAAACTGTACATATGAGTCTATGTCTTTCTTTGTTGAAATTCAGATTCTGATTCTGAAACGGCACCATCTAGTAGCGTGCCAAGCTCCACCAGTTATATGCAGAGATTAGCTCTCTACCTTTCCTTCTCTCTTTTATTATCCTGTTTTTTAAAAATGACTAAAGACAACTGTTTTTGTATCATTGTTTATTTGTTCATTTCTCCATGATGAATATTTAAAAAAAAAAAAAACATGTTAAAAAAAAGAAATTAATTAAATGATCTGTTATGGCCACATTTTAGACTCTGATAGGTTTAAGTTCAATGAAAAAAAATTATTTGGAAAAATGTTTATTGTTTTGGAAATAAAATACTTAGATCTTAGATATTTGTATTTAATGCTTTACGTTAGCCTTTATGTGCTGCAACAATGTAATGTTTTTGTGTTCAAATATCTTTATTTGGGGGCTTTTACCAGCAAATATTTGGATTAAATCAGCATTGTGGCGGCTGTGTCTCAAAGTAGAATTATTTGCTGAATTTTGGACCGATTTCCAAACATATTGATTTGTTGAAAACGTCACACATGTAGTTATGATACAGGGTGCTTGGATATTTTAAAAATGCTGGTTTTACTACCCATATACAAATTCTACTTAATGTTATCAGCAGACGAACTTCTGACAGAAGATTTGTGAATGAAAAGATGCCGGACTTCTGTGCCGCGTATGGATGCTTTAATGAGCGGAGCATACAAACCAGATCTCGTGGGAGACAGCAGATCCTATGTCTACAATAATAATAATACTAAGAATAATGATGATAGTGATATAATTATAATAATAACAATAATGACTTTACTCAGGCCTTACTGTAGGATATTTATGGTAGTAGTAACAGACTCTGAGCCCTTGCGATCACTTATAGATAATACTAACATACCAAATAACTCCATATAGGTTATTACAGTAGCCAGGTAAGGTTTGACCTTAAAGTTTGCCGCTGGTGTAATATTTAGACAAAGAAAGAGGGCGACAACAACTTCCTGAAGTAAATGCATCCGCTGCAGCACTAGCACAAGATTAATTTGTGTATGGGAGTATTATAGTAGTAATATCTAAATGTGAATACTCCTTTTACTTTTTATGAAATTTTATCGAGTTTGTAAAATATATAATATGCATGCAGTGTTGGGTCAGATAACTTTGAAAAGTACTCAATTACTGAATACAAATAACATGGCAATTTTTGTAATTAGTAACATAATTCACTGGATTACAAACCAATTTAATCTTATTATATGATTACTGATCCATTTTTGTGTTGAAAACTATTGTTGTTGTCAGGGCCGGCCCAAGCCTCCATGGGGCCGTAAGCAAAATTTGATTTTGGGGCCATCTATTACTGCCATGTGTCTTTTTGGGAATGTGAATGTGTCCTTTATAGGCAACGGCCCTCTTAATACCTGTTCAGTCCTTTCTGAGTCTGACAGGAAACAGGGACACTCAGCTGGGTCAACTGGCGGAGCTGCTGATCCCTGCTCCAAACTGGATGCTGAAGAAGACACATCAATCTCCATGACCAAAGATGAAGGACCTATTGGGAAATTAAAATAATATTTTTGGACAAAATTATTCATCTCAGAATATTCTGCAGTACACTGAGCAATTATAAAGGCTGTTTTATTGTTAACTTACCAGGTACAGCTGAGGTTACAGAGAGGACAGTGGGCACAGTGGATGGAGCAGAGGATAGAGATGGACCTGAGATGAAAAACATGTCCCTTGTCATATGATTATATCTTATATTAGTATATCTTAATGAGATCATTTGACTAGAAATTAAATATATATGGTGACAGTTTTTGATCACCTGATTCATCAGCCTTGCTGCTCCTGAGGAGGTGGGTTGCCCCTGGGCTGAGTCAGTGCCTCCTCCAAAATATTTTAACAGTGCTCCTGGGGAAGTTTCATATAACGTATTAGCATAATAGGGAGTTGATGTAAAAGGAATATGTTTATTTACTCACATAAACTACTGTGCTCTGCAGCAAACAATTGCAAACAACATACCTCAAACTATAAGTTAACTAAATGAATTCATTAATGCAAAACCCTGTTGCTAGCAAACGTCACCGCGTTTGTAATTAACGTTAGTTATCAAACATTTGCTATCAAACGTTGTTATCAAAAACGTTGTTTTGATACCAAAAAGCGACCCAGAATAATATATATACACTGAGAATCAACTTATTCGAAGTATTACACAAACACAACAACGTTAGCTTGAATAGTAAGCTATCTAACTGACCCATAAGAGAGAAGTAGTAAGACATTTTGAACTACAGTTAGCTAGCAAATTTGCTATTATAGGCTAACGTATTTGGAACTAAATAAAATAAATATCAACAATAATTTGAGACTTAATTTCCTAATTTCAGGGAACTTTTCAAAATCTCCTTGACACCAAATGTTACATTACCAAGACATACTTTTATCTTGTCGTTTTTTCTCCTCTTCCTCTCTCTTCCTTTTTCTTTTTTCTGCCCCTGAAGGTTAACGTTAAGTCCTTTTTTGCGACATCTTTCAGCTGCTCCTAGCTGCTGGATGCTCAGTGCGCACTTCACGGTTGGGAGCTCTGCACACGTTACTAACGGAGCTCTGACAGTTCGAGCAGAGAGGCAGTAGGAAACGACACTCTGTTAACATCATACTGTTGTTGGTTTTTTTTGGGGGGGGGTTTGGACAAGAATCTACATTTGATAATATATGAATCATAATCACTCAGGGGGCCCTAAGCAGCTGCTTAGTTCGCTTATGCCTTGGGCCGGCCCTGGATGTTTTCATTAGTGCATAATCCCTTGAATACAGGAAATGTTGTGTTTCTATTACCTTAGGATGAGCAGTTTTATGTACAGACGCCATGGGTCAACTTCCATGTTTCTGGTTCAGTAGCCCAGAAGGGACAAACCACACACTGTCTCTGGATAGGCCCTTTTTAGTGAGTTTTGCTGCCACCATAGTTTCTCCTCTGCACTTCACAGCCTGTTCTCAATCCCAGGTCATCAAATACAGATTCCACTAAATACACTCTGGACCTTTAATAGTAACATATTTTTTGGAGAAGTTGACATTACCAGGAATAAATGCACAAATAAAAATAAAATTAGGAATTACATACAGACAGTAACTCTGCCCTCAGGAAGATTCTTTTGAACTTAGCTCAATGGAGAAATTGGCACAACAGCTTTGTCTGAGTAATAAAGTTGAAGAGGTTTCTTTGGAAATCTTACATGCAGCAAAAAAAGGGGGAAAATGAATGAGAAAAAGAACTGGATGTTGAGTAACCTTTCTCGAACCTTCTCGATACACAGATCAAAATTGTAGCTTTAAATGTAAGGCAGTCTGTACTACGTCATCAAACGTTGACGGAATAAGGTCGGTCACATGCTGTAGAAAGCTCCAGATCAACATGGCCGTCTGCTTGAAGATGCTCGGCGCTGTGAGACAGCTGAGCAGAAATTCTGCACTTGTTGTCAAACGAAACCGTCCCGGGACGTTTAAGACCGTCACATCCACGCCGAGCCGCCTCCAGCCACCACGGTTCTACAGCAGCACCGGGACCTCCCAGAAAACATGCCCCCACCGCTCCCCTAACATTCGAGTCAGCGCAGTGATGACAGCTGGCTGTAGGCTGACCGCCGGGTCTCACCGCTGGATGCGGGTGGGGGCCGTTCTCCGCGGCCAAACCGACCTCCTCACACCGACCTCCAGACCCTTCATCATACAGGACCGAATGTTCGGGAATCGGGCCAGTGGTGCAGGCTTTTCCGGGGAGGACGGCGGGGACAGTGCAGGCTCAGGGGGAGAAGAGTCTGGGGGAGATGGGGGAGTGCCGTATAACGGACCTCAGATGACGGCTCTCACCCCCATGATGGTCCCAGAGGTGTTTCCCAATGTGCCATTGATCGCTGTGAGCAGGAACCCGGTGTTCCCCCGCTTCATCAAGATCATAGAGGTGAGGATGATGTAACGTTCCACCTCCGGTCCGCTCTTTCAGTTGGCGTCAAGGACGACGGATGATGCAACCTCAGCACACTGTTATATGTCCCTAACACCAGGCAGGTCTGCTGGTGTTCATGTAGGAGGAAATGACGTGGTTTGTGCGCATATATTCACTGACTGTCCCTTCAGAGACGTTGACTCTTAGTTTGAAGTTGTAAAAAACCTGTAAACCTCTGTCATGCAGCTGGAGCATATTTTTCAATAGAACCCTGTTTTAAGTTAAAGTTCAGGTGTTCAGTTGTACAGGTCTATATAATGTGCTCTGTGGCTCTGGGTGAGCGGGGTCAAGTCTGATCAAATAACCCTGATGATGTCACTGTGATGTATCAGTGTTTCCCACAATGTCTTTCTGTGCTAAACATTTGACAAGTAGTTTCTTTAAATATGGAAACTTGTGTGCTAAAGCTATTGAAGATAGGCAAATAAAATGTATGGCTGTGTATTAGGAATATTAATCGCAATATTATCAAAATTGCACTATGCAAAAGATGAAGGTAAACTGTGTGACAAACAGCATCTTAATGAAGTACTGTCGTGCTGCAGAGATTCCCTGGTCTACAAATCTTGTTCTGCAGATGTAAGAAAAAACATTTTCATATTTGTTTTGTACATAACCCAACAAATGTTACATCATGATTTTATTCGTTTTTAATCCGTACAAATGTAACTGCAGAAATGATAATTTCCAGTAATTGTGAATCGTGGTGCAATATCTGTCCAGATATTGTGCAGCTCTGCAGGGTTTTGAAACCTTAGCATGTCTTAAATAGAATTTTGATTAATTGAATTCCAATAATTTAAAAAATACTGAATACTCGATTTGATAATTGTCAAGCCTGATGATTGGTCATCCTTACTTTTTTGTCAGTATGGACATATATAGATTTAAATTGCTTTCATAATGGTTTTAAAAAGCAGAAACCCTGGAAACCCTCAGCTTCTGCGGATCACCACATCATCTGCTACTCTGTGCACCAACTCCATGGTGCTGTATTATATACAGACGCAATTCTGCTATTCCAGGCAAAGACCAAGGCTCTGAGGTACAGTATGTGTATTCAAGTGCTGTGCGTGATGTATCTGTCTGTCTCTCAGGTAAAGAACAAAGCACTGATGGAGCTGTTGAGGAGGAAGGTTCGTCTGGCTCAGCCGTATGCTGGAGTCTTCCTGAAGAGAGACGATAAGTAAGATTTAGATATCCTCTACTAGAACCAGGAGATCTGTACTCACCTGTGTGCTTAGTGCTTGCTCTTCACTAATCTTACAGTCACTGGTGTTTACCTGATTGGGAAAACTTTGTCTAAATAGCATAGCTGGCCTCCTTTTAATGTAATGCAAACTGAACATTTCTTGTTGATGCTGCTTCACATGAAAAGCTTTCCATCAGTGTGCCTATAGGAAACCTTTATTGTGAAGCCGCTTCAGGAATCCAATGTATTTGTCACTGAGATTAGTGGGGCTTTATTAGATGTCTTATTTGTCTCTAAATATTGGCCTACCCAACAGAATAAGGACTTTGTGGTCTACGAATTACTATTAGATGTCTCAGCCATCATTGGTACCTGATGCGATCCTTCTGATGTGTATCATTGTTGTCCATGCGTGTGTTTTGTTAGTAATGAGTTTTTCTATCTCTTGCAGTAATGAGTCAGATGTGGTGGAGTCTCTAGATGCCATCTACTCTACAGGAACTTTTGTTCAGATTCATGAGATGCAGGACCTGGGGGACAAACTGAGGATGATTGTCATGGGACACCGCAGGTTAGAAACACTGCTGTGGGGGGATGAATGAAAATCTGTAGAATCTGCTCCCAATGACACACTATTGCCTGTAGCTTTAGTAGACCTCTGCTATATGCATACTAGTGCTTTTTGTCTGTCAGGATCCGCATCACAAAACAGCTGGAGGTGGAGCCTGAGGAAACTGCGACTTCCCCTGAGTGGTCAGAGTCTGAGGCGGAGTCCCAACCAAAACCTCAGAGACGGAAAGCAAAACGTAGCCGCAAGGACCAACCAGGAGCTCTGACAGAGCAGTTGGAGGACAAGGTCTGTAACGTGACCCACATCTGTAATCCTCTACACATGCTGTCAGTCATTATCTCAGACAAACACTAAAAAAGGATATGCAACCAATCAACACCTTCAGTCTTTAAAGGCAGCATGAATAGGATTTGTCAGGTACTGTTTGCAAATAATAATAATAATATTATTATTATTATTATTATTATTATTATAATGATGATGATAATTGATTGGGTCCAAAAAGTCAGGCCTGACTCTACCCGAGCCCAAAAATATCTGTGAGAGCCCAACTCTAGTCTGAACCACAGAAGCAGTTTTGGGCCCAAGTTGTGTGGCTGCTGCTTCCGACAGCCCTATCTTTCTATACTGAGTTTGCCTTTGATAAATACCATACAATAAAAGCCTTGTTAACATGTGAATGGATTCTGTCAGACATTGAAACTGTAGTGAAAGGTGTATATGTGGCTGGTATAATAATGATGATATAACTGGAACAGAAAATAGACCCTTTTCACTGTCTATTTTTGCTGGGAATCTTGGAAGCTAGCGGAAAAAAATAGGCGAGACCTCGACTCTAGTGAAACATTGAGAGTCATGAGTGAAACTGGTTTGGTGGAAATAAATCCTTAAATCCTCCTGTACAGATGCAGATGATAAAAACAGCAGTTTCAGTCACTCTACTCAGCTCAGCTGCACACAGCAGTGTGACACCATGACTCCATTGTTTCTTTACATAGCTAACAGTTGTTTGCTGCTATCTCATATATATAACTTTTAAAATTTACTTTTAAGCCAAGTATTAATTTTATTTATATTGTGCTCACATAGTGCATATTTAAAAGTTATAGTTGTGTATAATCAAATTGCAACAAACTTAAGAAAACTGTGTGCTCAATAATTGTGCTCTGTGTGTACTAAATGGAAACTTGAAATGATGTTTGGTCTGTCATCTTCCACATTCGCACCACTGTGCATGTTTATTTTGTTATTCCAACAATTATTACCATTAGTACTTCACTTTAAATGCTCCTATAACACCATTATGTTAGAAATATGCACCATGTGATCAGAATATAAATTAGAATAAGAATCAGCTTCAAGCTAAATTTTGACATAGGCTGTCAGTTTAAAGACTTTTCCATTTAAATATAATACAATATTTCAATACTTGTAATACATGCAAGGCATTGTTCTGCCTCTGGTAAGGGTATCTAAAAGACTACAGCACTTTAGGGGGTCTTCCCTCTAGCCTGTAGTTCATTAGTGGTGGTGGTAGAAGTGTTTGCTGTTTATATTATTTTCCACATTGATGTGTTTGTAGTGATTTAAACTCTGTTGTTGCCCAGATTTCAGAAGCAGACCTGAGTCCAGAGCTTCAGCCTCTGCCCTCCTCCGACATCCTGATGGTGGAAGTGGACAATGTTCAACATGAACAGTTCACTGTAACTGAAGAGGTCAAGGTACAAAACACTCACTAAAATAGGCATCACAGTACAAAACGATGGTTACGTATGTAACCGCGGTTCTATGAGTTTCAGATGACTGCCAGAGGCGGTGATTTCAGCACCTGGATATCCTATTCAATTCAATTCAATAAAATTTTATTTGTATAGCGCCAATTCATAACAGAAGTTATCTCAGGACACTTTTCAAATAGAGCAGGTCTAGACCGAACTCTTCAACATTAATTACAGAGACCCAACAGTACCACCATGAGCAAGCACTTGGCGACAAGGGCAAGGAAAAACTGCCTGTTAAAAGGCAGAAACCTAGGACAGATCCTCCGGCTCTAGGTGGTTGGTCGTCTGTCTCGACCAGTTGGGGTGAGAGAGAGAGAGGCAGAGAGAGAGAGAGAGCGAGAGACAGACAGACAAACAGACAGGTGCACAGCAACAACAGTATTGGCAATGGCAGTCAAGCAGTACCATGGCAGGAGGCTCCACCAGGATCCATGAGAACCTGCGAGACGAGAAAGCCCAAGAACTCCGGGGAAGAAGTGAAGTTAGCAACATGCATTAATGGGACATGAATGAGTGCAGAAAGAGAGAGGAAGGGAGGAGCTCAGTGCACCATGGGAAATCCCCCGATAGTCTAGGCCTATAGCAGCATAACTAAGGGATGGTTCAGGACTCACCTGATCCAGCCCTAACTATAAGCTTTATCAAAGAGGAATGTCTTAAGCCCACTCTTGAATGTGGTGAGGGTGTCTGCCTCCCGAACCACAACTGGAAGCTGGTTCCACAAGAGAGGAGCTTGGTAACTGAAGGCTCTGGCTCCTGTTCTACTTTTAGAGACTATAGGAACCACAAGTAGCCCAGCATTCAGAGAACGTAGTGTTCTAGAGGGGTAATAGGGTACTATGAGCTCTTTAAGATATGAAGGGGCCTGACCATGAAGAGCTTTATAGGTGAGGAGGAGGATTTTAAATTCAATTCTACATTTTACAGGGAGCCAATGCAGAGAAGCTAGTACAGGAGAGATGTGATCTCTTTTTCTAGTTCCTGTCAGTACTCGTGCTGCAGCGTTCTGAATTAATGAGAGCGTTTTAATGGACTTATTGGGGCAACCTGATAATAAAGAGTTGCAGTAATCCAGCCTTGAAGTAACAAATGCATGGATTAGTTTTTCTGCATCTGTCTGTGATAGGATGTGTCTAATTTTTCTAATATTACGTAAATGAAAGAAGGCGGTCCTAGAGGTCTGCTTTATGTGGGAGTTAAATGACAAATCCTGATCAAAGATAACTCCAAGATTCCTGACAGTGGTGCTAGAGGCCAAGTTAATGCCATCTAGAGTAACTATATCTTTAGACAGTGAGTCTCTAAGGTTTTTGGGGCCAAGAACAAGAATTTCGTTTTTTTCTGAGTTTAACTTCAGAAAATTGCAGGTCATCCAGGATTTTATGTCCGTAAGACATGTTTGTAATTTAGATAATTGATTAATTTCATTGGGTTTGATTGATAGATATAACTGCGTATCATCTGCATAACAGTGAAAGTTAATGGAGTGATTCCTAATAATGTTGCCTAAAGGGAGCATATATAAAGTAAATAGTATTGGTCCAAGTACAGAACCTTGTGGAACTCCATGACTAACTGTAGTATTTATTGAAGATTAATCGTTAACATGTACAAACTGCGAGCGATCTGATAAATATGACTTAAACCAGCTTAGTGCGGTTCCTTTAATGCCAATTTGATGCTCAAGTCTCTCTAAAAGAATATTATGGTCAATGGTGTCAAATGCAGCACTAAGATCTAATAATACAAGTACAGAGACAAGTCCATTGTCAGAAGCAGTCAGAAGGTCATTATTAACTTTAACCAGAGCTGTCTCTGTGCTATGATGAACTCTAAATCCTGATTGAAAATCCTCAAATAAACAATTGTTATGTAGAAATTCAGAGGCCAGACCCAAAGTTTCAGCTGAGATGGATTCGGGTGCCAGATTTGGCCGCCCAACTGTGAGAGGAGATCCATTCTCACCGGAAGGCACCAAGGCTCTCCATGTAGAAGTTGGTGTAACACTGGAAACCATATTCTTCCTGGCCATCTGGGGGCTATTAGCAGTATCTTGTGACCCGCTGCAGACACCCTGTCCAGTGTTGGCAATATTAATGGCAGAGGCGGGAAAGCGTACAGCAGTTGCCTGGTCCATGCGTGTGCCAGAGCATCTTGGCCTAGGGGACTTGGTTCCCCGAAAGAAAACCAGAGGGGACAGTGTGTCATTGCCTGGGAGGCAAAAAGATCCACTTCCGCCTCGCCGTATCTGTGCCAGATGGCTTGTACAACCTGTGGGTGAAGTCTCCATTCTCCCGGATGGGGACGCTGGCGGGACAGGAGATCTGCAGCTTTGTTCTGGGCGCCTGGTTAGTATATTGCCCTCAGGCTCAGCAGGCGAGGGTGAGCCCACTACAAAAGCTGCTGAATCAATCTCATGGACTGCCTGGCCTTGGTGCTCCCCTGGTGGTTGATGTGGTAGACTACTGACATATTGTCTGTTCTGACAAGTACATGCCTCCCTACCAGCACTGGGAGGAAATGCTTCAGGGCAAGCAGAACCGCATGTAACTCCAACACATTTATGTGTTGCCCTTACTGCCAAAGATTCCATTGGCCTCTGACTGTCCGACATTGCCATACAGCACCCCACCCCTCTAGAGAAGCGTCTGTAGTTACCACTTCTCTGCAGGAAGGTATAGATCCTAAAGGGACACCCTGAATGAGATATGTTTCCTTCCTCCAGGGTTGTAAATGTCTCAGACAGCTGGCAGTGACCCTGACCAGCTTGTGTCTGTGGTGAATGGGATGTGGGACCACAGATGAGACTGATGCGAGCATCCCCAGCAGTCTCTGAAACGTCAGGGCTCTGCCTCCCCTGAAGTGCCTGACTTCCTGGCAGATACTGCTGGCCCATCGCTGAGAGGGAACAGCCTTCATCGCCTGGGAGTCTAGCTCGATACCGAGGAATTCTATCTGCCGACTGGGAACAGGGAACTCTTTTTGTAATTTACAGTCAGCCGCCGACCTGGTAATATGGGATATCAGCAATGCGGACTCTCTGAGGGCGTCTGGCTCTGACTGGGAGCATACAAGCCAGTTGTCCAGGTAAGGGAAAATACACATTCCCTGAGCTTGGAGTGGAGCTAGTGCTGCCACTACACACCGGGTGAAAACCCTGGGTGCCAGCAAAATCCCAAATGGGAGTACACGGAACTGATATGCTCTTCCCTCGAACGCGAAACGAAGAAACTGCCATGAAAATACGCATCCTTCAGATCGATGGTTGTGAACCAGTCGTTCTGTCGAATGCCCTGTAAGACCTCTATAGTGTGCAACATGTGAAACCTTAGTACCTTGAGATGGTCGTTGAGAGGCATCAAGTCCAGTATAGGGCGGGGGCCCCCATCTTTTTTTGGTATGGTGAAGTACGTGGAATAGAAGCCACTGTTCTGTGTATGCACGTCTAACGACTCGATGGCTTCTTTCTCCAGGAGAGCCCAGATCTCCTGGCGTAGGGCCAGGGCCTTGGTCGGATCCTTGACCATGGTCGGATCCATCTTGACCCCACGGAATCTTGGCGGTTGGCGTCGGAATTGTATGGTGTAACCCTGGGACAGGGTCGCCACAACCGAGGGGTCTGACGTTAACACTTCCCAGCATCTGAGCTGCTGGCTGGTGAAGCGTCCGACCGCCATGACTGCATGATCATTGTCTACCCCCTCTCCCCCTCTGATGCCTGGAGGGGCGACGGGCAGAGGTCTGGCCTCGTTGTGGAATGCGAGAGGGCCGTACTGGACTGGCCTGCTGAAATCGTCCAGAGCGTAGCGTTGCGTCACCTGCTGGACAGCTGGCTGTGGTATCACTGTAACCCTGGACGAGTAGGGCCTCTATCTACTGGGGTATTTACGGCCCAGACTTGCGAACTGCCGTCTCGCTTGTGTTACCTGTACACGGCGCTCCAAAGCCTGTTGTGCTGCAGGGCCAAACAGTTCCCCTGAAACAACCGGAAGGGAACAGAGTGCCCTTCTGCATGGCTCCAAAAGCGGAGACTGGGCCAGCAATATCTGGCGTCGAGCGAGGGTTAGTGAGGAAATAAGCCTTCCTAGCTCCCTGCTCATGTAGGCAAATGCCTGCACGGAGGTATCGCTTAACTTCTCGATAGACGGGTACGCATCTGAGTCCTGTAGTGACTGGGACAGGGCTAGGATGAGGTGGGACATAAAGTTTCCAATACGTCCCATGGGTGCTGCTGTGTCATAGCTCCTGACGATGGAATCATCAGTCAAGCGGCACTGCAGTCGGGGACAGCGAGCGTCTGGTCTGAGTGCTTCGTCAAGTGACAGCACAAGGGTAGCAACAGCCGGCTCTATATTGGGCATATTGCCTAGTCCGTAGCTGGACGCATCCTCCATGTTCGCTAAAGCCCTACAGTCACTCGGATGGTGAGAGAGACGTCTGGGGTCTGCCCAGCACCTTTGGAGCTCCTCAATGTATGGAGCTGATGGTGGGACACAGAGAGCTGTTGACTGAGGAGGCGTCTTAAAAAATGCACTCTGAGGAGTTACTACGACTGGTGCCCTATCTAACCCCAGACGCACCAGTGCCACCTTTAAAATGGGCCTGACTGATGGAGGTGGTGGCGACAGTCGTTGGGCTGTAGCGAGACCACTACCTGCCCCTGCACCTAATGGCTGTAATTTCTGAAGGAGAGCCTTAATCTGTGCAAATTCAGACGTTAAACTGTCCACCTTTCGTGATAGGGCAACCTTTTTAGGTTTACCTGTACTAGGGACATTTCTCAGTCCTTCGACGCTTGTGAGGACTTGGAGGTGGAGGACTGTCCCTGTGTGGCGGAGGCCGCTGAGCCCCAGTGGTCCTCTCTAGCTGAGCCAGTCTGGCTGACCGCGCCGGCTTAGGCAAGTGCAATTCATGCACGCCAGCTCCATTAGCCCCTGTCTAAGGTGGCCAATACCAAGGCAGGAAGGACATCTGTCGTGGCCATCATCTGGCTCAAGAGGGGCCCGGCAGTCAACACATGTCATAAACATTGTCACTGAACGTGCCTTCCCTCATGCTGCAAGTAGGTAGCCTACACCGTGGTTACCAGTGTGTCACACTGTCCCAGGTGCTGTTATTGTTGACAGTGATGCTAACAATATGATGTAGATAATCACTTCTAGCTTAACGCGAAATAACTTATTGCTACTATATAGCCTAACGTAGCGCCGCCTGGAGCGAACACACTCCTGTACAGCAATGAATTTCAAGACTGAATACCTCCTTCTCCCGTGTAACGGAATATGCGGAGCGATCGTGAGGTGTCTGAGCGAGCACATTATGCACCACGATTGTCAAACAAAGAAGGATCTATTAAACCAGGGGAGTGACAAAAGGTTGCTTCTTAATCAACTCAGTTACGGGGTGGCTTGGCTCACGAGCGACTGCCGCCAATGCCAACTTTATCTCTCACTATTAGCGTCTTCTCAAAGAAAAAAAAGCTGAGCCTAATTGGCCTGCAGCCTAACAGCGCTAACAACTACAATAATAACAATAACAAGTAAATGATACTCACCGCTCCATAAACCTATGAGCGCGTACCAAACAACTGAAATAGTCTCCGATGACTCACTGGGAGAATTTGGACAAACGCATTTAAAGCGAGACCACTACTGCGTTCTGTTACAAGAAAAGAAAGTTTGTGGGAGGGAATCTCCGCCGTATCGTCGCCTACCTCTCTTCTGAACACGAATGAATTGGCGCTATACAAATAAAATTGAATTGAATTGAATTGAACACCGACACAGCTGACTATAAGTTGGCCATGCGGCGTGGCTGTAACACAACGTTAACTCTTTTCTTAAAAAAAAAACAGTCTTACCTTATGTAATGAGTGCAATCGTTTTAAGGCGGCTAGTCGCAATCTTTTGGAGGGTGTAAATTCACAGCTCCAACCCGTTTGGGTAACAAGACTTCCAGCTACGCCAAAGTCTGTTTGAAAACTCGTGAAAATGTTGCAAGAGGTCACTTCCTGGGTGCACCTGCCTTTTGTGCCGGGGCACAGGGCATACGTCACCCAGGTCACAGGTGACTTTGATGATAAAAACACTCGACCTGCATATGCGTGCGACGGATATACAGGTGTAGAAACGAAATAGAACCTGGCAGAACCTAAAAACTAACTTGTGTGTGTGTGTGTGTGTGTGTGTGTGTGTGTGTGTGTGTGTGTGTGTGTGTGTGTGTGTGTGTGTGTGTGTGTGTGTCTTCCTGTCTGTCTTCCTGTCTGTCGGTTCTACAGGCATTGACAGCAGAGATAGTGAAGACCATCAGGGACATCATCGCACTCAACCCCCTCTACAGGTCAGTTCTGACACTGCTCTGTCAGACCTGTGCATGTTCATGTAGTGCTAATGTAGTAAGTACTCTGGTTAATCTGGTTAGTCTCCCGGTTTTGATCTTATTACGATATAGTTAGTGTGAACATTTTTTAAAACTAGATTGACAATCTGAAATGAATTACAGAAAATGCTGTCTTCTGTTTTGGTGTACCTCCAGCCCGTGGTACTCTAGGCAACAGGTTAAAGGCAATGCATGACATGGATTTTTTTTTTTTTTCAGCCAGTACCAATAACCGTTAATTACATGGCCGATAACAATAAGATAACTGGATTCTAAGCTAACCAAATTGAATTCATCACTATTGTTAACAACATACTTTGACTTTCATAAAGGCTATTAAACAATTGATTAAACAATAAATTTGGCTATAATTTAATCATTGGAATAATATGCAATAATTCAAATTTCCCATTATTGACTAATAATTAATCAGCCATCATATATATAAATGCATCCCTTTCATAAAGACTAAAGAAAATGTTTTATATTTACGACGAGGTCAGTAACTGATGATGCTGTGTGTTGTCTGCGGGAGAGACACGAGTAAATAACAGCTAAATGATAAACAGCTAGCAGCTTTTAGCTGTTTATTTACTCTTTTTCTTTTTTTTTTAGGTATATTTTTTGGGGGCTTTTTATTGCCTTTTTTATTGACAGTGACAGCTGGAGAGAGACAGGAAGGGGGGGCAGAGGGAGGGGATGACACGCAGCAAAGGGCTGCAGGTTGGATTTGAACCCTGGGCCGCTGCAGCAAGGACTCAGCCTCGGTACATGGGACGCCAGCTCTACCAACTGAGCTAACCAGGCGCCCCCTGTTTAGTCACTCTTACTTGAAGTCTTAGAAAGTCCAGTTCTCTCTGTTTGCACTACAGTCCTATATGCCTCTTCATTCAATTTAAAGTCAGTGATTGAATTAGTCTTAGGCCAGCAGGCTCAAGAAGAAATCCAAATGGAGTGATGCTTAAATAGAAGTGTTCTGAAATGTGTGTCTGTCTGTCTGTCTGACTGTCTGTGTGTGTGTCTGTGTGTGTGTCTCTGTGTGTGTCTCTCTCTCTCAGAGAGTCGGTCCTCCAGATGATGCAGGCTGGTCAGAGAGTGGTTGATAATCCCATTTACCTGAGTGACATGGGAGCAGCTCTGACAGGAGCAGAGTCACATGAACTACAAGATGTCCTGGAGGAGATCAATGTGAGCGGTCTGCATGCTTAAAGGCCTGTTTGGGACTGTCTTACAGTATCTACTGTGTGACAGACAGTCCTGGGTCATTCCTGTATAGTGGCCGGATGTTGCTCCTTAATGGAGGTGGGGAAGTTAATCAGACATGCATTTGTCAAACCAACAAGTTCGTCCTGATCCTTGAAGTCTTTACTCTTAAACTGAGCCATTCTGTTCAGATAAAGCTGATGTATCAGTTTTGTGTGGCTTGTCCGTGTTTGTTGTTTGTAGGATTATTACTGCCCCATGATGCAAATAGGGAAGGACACACCCAGACAAACTACGGCTGGGCTCGCCACTGTCATAACGGTTGTTTTTAGCCAATCAGAAGGGGCAGCATTAAGCCCATTTCACAATTTAAAAAAAACTTTGGCCTCATTAATAAAAGAGACTTAAGATCAAGTTTTTACTTAAGAATGACTTAGAGCCACTACAGAAAACCATGTATAAATAGTTTCGTTTGGCATCCATATAATCCATGAAGATAAACTGTATTTCCGTTGCTGAACCTCTGTAGGTTTCTTTGTATCTTTTATATAAGGGTCTCCTCACATCCTGGAAAAGCTGGAAATTAAGAGACTAGTTCTCCAATCTCCAAAAAACACCAGGAATTTCATTAAAAACACCAAATATCCTGGAAATAATCCATATTGAACTGGAAAATTGTGTTTTATCAAATAAGCTGCGTGGTATGAAATGTCAAAGTAGGTTTGCCAGACGGAAAGCGGAACAGAAGAAAAAAGCTGTTCACACCACTTGCAGCGAGCTTTTGGCTTTGGTCTATTTTGGAAATGCTGTAGACAGTCTTAAAGGAAAACTGTCAGTTTGGAGACAGTCAAGCGTGCCATGAAAGCAAGCTAACGTCCCATAAACACTGACCACCTACTGCTTACCACCGGTAGTGAGCAAGTGCTGTCCTGTATTGTCAAAAAAAAGTCCCAGGAAATGTTTTCTTAAAAAGAGTGGATGTAAGCACGCCATCAGAAATCAGAATCAGAATAACATTTATTGGCCAGGTATGTGTGCACATACAAGGAATGTGACTCCGGTTTTATGTTGCTCTCAATTAACATAGATACAGTACATACAGTATGAACAGCATAGGTAGATGTATTAGAATAGAATATGTTTTAAGTTTTTAAAAAAGAAATGGAAAATTAGTAATAAATGGTTTAATTAAGAGTCCTAGGGTTATTGTACAGGGCAGTTAACTGTTGGTCAGAGTGATGGCCTGTGGGTAGAAACTGTTCCTGTGTCTGTTTTGGCGCACAGTGCTCTGTTGTGCCTACCAGAGGGGAGGAGTTGGAACAGGTTGTGTCCAGGGTGAGATGGATCTGCAGTGATGTTACCTGCCCATTTCCTGACTTTGGACAAGTAAAGGCCCTGAATGGAGGGCAGATTGGCACCAGTGATCCTCTCTGCAGTCCTAACTGTCCGCTGTAGTCTGTTCCTGTCCTGTTTGGTGGCCGATCCAAACCACAGTGGTTGAACAGAGAACAGACTGAATTATGGCAGTATAGAACTGGATCAGCAGTTCCTTAGGCAGGTTGGGCTTCCTGAGCTGTTGCAGGAAGTACATCCTCTGCTTAAATGATCTTAAGACTAAGTTCAAGTGTAAACCTAAGAACATTTTTATAAGTGAGGCCCAGATCTGTACAAGTTATTGCAAGTTTTCAAACAGTATGTTTTGTTACAAGACTTCAAAGATAAGGACAAAGTGGTTAATTTGGCAAACAGACTTCTGGTTAATGTTCACACCTCTAATAAAGATCAGCACACAGACACTTCCCTGAGTTAAAACTTTGTTATTGCGCAGAGCGCTGAATAAAGACAAATTATATATGTTTGTATTTTATATTTAGGTTCCTCCATTGAAAGTGTACAATGTACAATGAGTTATATGTGCAGGTCTTTGAAACCTGTTGCTGTGTGTTGCCGCAGATCCCGAAGCGTCTCTACAAGGCTCTGTCTCTGCTGAAGAAGGAGTATGAGCTGAGCAAACTGCAGCAGCGACTGGGCCGAGAGGTCAGAGGTCACGATACTTCACCAAACATAAATGAGCTATAACCAGCCACTACTCACTGCTTATTGCCCTCAGTCATTCACTTCTCCCCTGGCTCTGTTCACAGGTGGAAGAGAAGATCAAACAGACTCACAGGAAGTACCTGCTCCAGGAGCAGCTCAAGATCATTAAGAAGGTAGAGCACTCTGATTCTGTGCTTGTCTGTCTGTCTGTCACTGTCTGTCAGAACACTGCCTGCAGCAGATGTGAAAATCTGTAAAAGCTTTAGACTTGCAACTAAGGCTGGGAAATATGGCATAAAAACATAATCTCTGATTTTTTTTTTTTTACACCACATCCAATTTACGATTTTAAATATTTTAAAAAGCAAACTATTAAGTTGAGTTGAGTAGTCAAAATCTAAAGTTTGTTTGTTTTTTGGATACAGTCTATCTTTCTTGGATTATATTGATGCTGAACTGACATGAAGACTGTCAACTAGGGATGGGCATCGCTTTTCGAATATTCGATTAGTCATTAAATCATAAAAAATCGAATAGTTCATCGTATCTGGAAAAATAATATGTTGTATTACTGGCGCCCTCCGCACGGGGGCAGCGTAGCACTTGATGATACACAGTGTGGCGGGCTAGATGCCAGGCTGTAGAAGGAAGCAAACAGAGAAGAAGATATGATGGAGAGATTACTGAAGCAACCGTCAAAAAGTTCCATGTGGGGCTATTTCAAAAAAACAAGTGACACAGAGGTACAATGTAAACTCTGCGAGGAAAAGCTTTCGTATAGCTTTTATAGCTTTTTGTTCTGGTGGAAAACCAACGACAACAAATATCCCCAACCGGCAAAATTAGCGAGTGCATCCTTGTGTGTGCCGTCGGAGAGGGTGTTTTCCACGGCGTTATTGTAAATAGACTTCGCTCCCGTCTTCATCCCGAGCATGTGGACATGCTCATCTTTCTAAATAAAAGCATGTAATAGGCTGCAGTCGTAAACTATTGCTCGGATTATGAAGACGGGCGGGCATGTTAAAAATGTTCACGTCAGCGATGCTGTCTCTCAGGTATGTTCAGTTGTTCAGTAAAATATTATTATTGCTTGAAGTCACCGCACTATGTGTTCAGTGTAACAGTTCTATAATGTTGTGCTGTGAATTGCATCACTGTCAAAATAAAAAGACAGAGCTCTGAAAAATCGCGGCGGATCTCTTTCTGAGCAAAGGGGGGGTATTATTAGATTAATATTCGAATATTAATCGATTAGTACCCCACGATTATCGAATAGTACTTTTGCCTGAAATGCACATCCCTACTGTCAACATGTATCCCTTTATCTTGTGATTCTAGAGTTATGTGTTTTTACTGACGTGGAGAATTGTTAATGTCATAATTCTTAAAGGCAGTTTGGCTTAATATTTTCCCAGGATAATGTGTGTGTGTGTGTGTGTGTGTGTGTGTGTGTGTGTGTGTTCGTTCGTTCGGTGTTTTCAGGAGCTGGGTCTGGAAAAAGAAGATAAAGAAGCTATTGAGGAGAAGTTTAGAGAGAGACTCAAAGAACGGACTGTCCCTCAGCACATAATGGATGTAATCAATGAAGAACTCAACAAACTGGGATTGCTGGACAACCACTCCTCAGAATTCAAGTTGGTCTTGTGTATTTTTTTTTCCCACTATCCAGGCAGGGCCTGTTGAATTATGATGTTACTTGTTTGGCTTAAGGGACACAGTACCTGAACAGAGGCAGGAAATGTAGTTTAGCTATTCATGATCTCTGGAAAATGATTGACCCCTGACCTTTTCATTTCTGGTACTATATTTAGCTCACTTACTTCCACTGGTGCAGAAAGTTTAAAATTTCAAAATGTTTCAATGGTGCATATCATGGGGACTGCAATTAAGAATCGTGGGCTTTGCTTTGCTTATGCTTTTTTGCTTCAGGGGCCATGCTTCTCTCTTGCAACACCTGCACCACTTTCTCCATGATACTTCTCTTGGCAATTGTATTTCCTTGTATAGAGAAATGGGGGCAGTGGCAGTATTAATTGCAAACACAAAGAACAAAAGTGACTGGTTCACACGTTTGATGACTGTGATGTTGCATATTCCACTTCATTTGTGCGCAAACGAAAAACATTTCTACACACAAATTAGTGAATGAGGCCCAGTGTGTTCTGGTGGGAAACACTGAATGTAAGCACAACTTTGGAAAACTCCACAGAGAAGCTTTAATGGTAATCTCTCTTTAGCTAAGCTCTGTCCTTTTGTATGCACTGAAGACACTGAAAACATTTCTGCTCTGTCTTCACTTCACACTTCAACAAACATAAAGAAAGAACAACTGTGTGTTTCAGCGTAACTCGGAACTACCTGGAGTGGCTGACCAGCATGCCTTGGGGTACCAACAGTGAAGAAAACTTAAAATTGGAGAGAGCCAAAGAGGTTCTGGAAGAAGATCATTACGGAATGGATGATGTTAAGAAACGCATATTGGTCAGCAAATGCAACACACCATTTCAAATATCCAGAAAAAAAATATTTTACTTAAATGGTTGCCATATATCTATCCACAAGTTTTTTTCCCAGTAAAAATGAACCTGACTTCCTCTCTGTCTTTGTGCAGGAATTCATAGCAGTGAGCCAGCTGCGTGGCTCCACCCAGGGAAAGATCCTGTGTTTCTACGGTCCTCCAGGTGTGGGAAAGACCTCCATCGCCCGCTCGATAGCCAGAGCTCTGAATAGACAATACTTCAGGTTCAGCGTGGGAGGGATGACCGATGTGGCTGAGATTAAGGGACACAGGTCTGGAAGTCTATACTGCCATTATTACTTAAAGGAATTTCTTGACAGCTTTGTCAGTATCAATGTACAGAGTGCTGTGTATTTAGCAGGGGCAGGGTGGGAAGAGGTTCAGACAGTTTGGTGGGTGAAAGCTGGAGATGGAAATGTAACAACAACGAGAGATGTACTGATATGGAATTTCAGGGCAGATAACTGATAATTCTGTTTGTTGTGGAGGATATGGATATGATGATACAAAATGTGAAGAGAACAGTAAAGGCTATACTTATTTATAAACTACTACTACATTTTTACAACAAAATACCAACTTTTAGAGATCCTTCACCATCCTTAGAATAAAGAATAAAAATATTAATTATAGTAATTTTAATTATTGTATTTGAAATAACCTTATTTAAAACTTTTTTTTTTTTACAAACTAACAGCAGTGGACACAGAAGGCAGAGAGGCAGACGTTATTATTCCATTATTGGAACAGTTATTTAGTGTTTTATGTATTAGGTAAATACATGCACACATGATTTTCTAAATTTTCTGTGTGTTCAGGAGGACATATGTTGGAGCGATGCCAGGGAAGATTATCCAGTGCCTGAAGAAAACCAAGACAGAGAACCCTCTGGTGCTAATAGATGAGGTCAGTATGGTGGTGCAGCTCCTGTGCTTGTGTCTGTTAAGTTAAGTATAAACCCATATCAATATTACCCTATATAATATCTCAGGACACTTTTCAAATAGAGCAGGTCTAGACCGAACTCTTTAAAACATTATTTACAGAGACCCAACAGTACCACCATGAGCAAGACCTTGGCGACAAGGGCAAGGAAAAACTGCCTGTTAAAAGGCAGAAACCTAGGACAGATCCTCCGGCTCTAGGTGGGTGGTCGTCTGCCTCGACCAGTTGGGGAGAGGGAGAGGGAGGGAGGGAGGGAGAGAGAGAGGGAGAGAGGGAGAGAGAGAGAGAGAGAGAGAGAGAGACACAGGTGTACAGCAACAACAGTATTGGCAATGGCAATCTAGCAGGTCCATGGCAGGAGGCTCCACCAGGATCGATAAGAACTTGCGAGACAGGAAAGCACAAGAACTCCGGGGAAGAAATGAAGTTAGTAACATGCATTAATGGGACATGAATGAGTGCAGAAAGAGAGAGAAAGAGAGGAGCTCAGTGCACCGTGGGAAATCCCCCCACTCACACAGTACTAAAACTCATACAATCTGAATGAGCGAGCTGTCAAGGTCCTGGACAGTAAACTTAAACATACCATAATTTCATTATACTTTCTTCATAATATGGTCTCTTTAGAAAATCATATTTGTTTTTCATGGTTTAGCACCTCTCCCATATAGCATACGCATTATTCATAAAAATGTTGAGGACAGATTTAAGCTGTTTTAGGCTAAACATGTGCAATCCTATCCAAAATCCAATACCTTCAACCTCTCTCTCTGCTCCTTTGTGTCAAATTATAAATATCAATACAAATTGTTTGCAGTTTGGTGTCCCTTCATGCTACACACACACACACACACACACACACACACACACACACACACATATATAAATGTGTATAGATATAGGTATATATTTATATCTTCCGCAAATACAACATCCATTTTCATTGCTACACGCATGACACCCAGCTCTACCTCTCCAGCAAACCCAATTCCACTCTCCCACCTTCCTCCCTTACTGACTGCTTCACCGAGCTCAAATCCTGGTTCTCCTCCAACTTCCTCAAACTAAACAGTGATAAAACAGAATTTCTTCTTATTGGCACTAAATCAACCCTCTCAAAAGCTGACAGTTTTTTCCCTCAACACTCCTCTGTCTCCCCCTCCCCCAAGGTTAAGAGTCTGGGTGTCATCCTTGACAGCACATTATCTTTCCAATCCCATATCTTTCCAATCCTATATCAATAACATCACCCGGTCTGCATATTTCCACCTACACAATATTAATCGCCTTCGCCCCTCCCTTTCTCCCCACTCCACTGCCGTTCTTGTACACAGCCTTGTCACCTCCCGCATCGACTACTGCAACTCCCTTCTTTTCGGGCTACCTCACAAATACCTCCATAAACTTCAACTGGTTCAGAACTCTGCAGCTCGAATCATCACCAGAACCCCCTCCATCCACCACATCACCCCTGTTCTGCAGCAACTCCATGGGCTCCCGGTCAAACTCCACATAGACTTCAAAATCCTCCTGTTCACGTTCAAGGCCATCCACAACCTTTCCCCTCCTTATCTGTCCGAAATCCTTAACATCGCCACCCCTTCCCATTCGCTCAGATCTGCCTCCTCTGTCCACCTTTCTGTCCCTCCTGCCCGCCTCGTCACCATGGGGAGCAGGGCTTTCAGCCGCTCTGCCCCCCCAACTTTGGAACTCACTCCCACCGGACCTCAGGAACCTGGACTCTCTTACACTCTTCAAATCAAGACTAAAAACTCACCTATTCAGAACTGCATACCCCACTTAACTATCTACATTGTCTTTTTTTATCTGTTTCTTATTTCTTACTGTTTTTATTTTTTATGCTTTGTACGGTGTCCTCGAGTGCCCAGAGAGGCGCCTTTAAATAAAATGTATTATTATTATTATTATTATTATATATTATATATATATATATATATATATAGATAGAGATAGAGATAGATAGAGATAGATATAGATAGAGATAGATATAGATAGATATAGAGATAGATATAGAGATAGATATAGATAGATATATAGATATACATAGACAGAGGGATAAAATAGGACTCTTATAACAAGCAAATTTGGGAACAGAAGCCTTGTATCCTGGGAATTGTGCTGAAGAATGATGATGAAAATTAGTCTTCATCTGACCTGCCATCACCAGGTGGATAAGATTGGTCGTGGTTACCAGGGCGACCCATCCTCTGCCTTGCTGGAGCTTCTGGATCCTGAACAGAATGCCAACTTCCTTGACCACTACCTTGATGTCCCTGTAGATCTGTCAAAGGTAAGAGTGAGTACAGTTCCGCAGTCCTACTGACAAATGCAGTTTTTGTAAGTCTTGCCTGTCTCTGTTTGCCCCAATAAAGGTTTTGTTTATCTGCACGGCCAATGTGATCGACACCATCCCAGAGCCTCTCAGAGACAGGATGGAGATGATCAATGTGTCTGGATATGTGGCCCAGGAGAAACTGGCTATCGCTGAGGTAACACCAACTTCTACCTCTGCAAATGTGTTTGTTAAAGACAAAGTGTGCTGTATAAACGATGTTATTAAGATTATTGTTGTATACTTTTAATAATAGCAGATTTCTTTTTTTTCATAGTTAAGGTATGAAGTAGTGAATATGCCTCACTCGTACATCATGCTTTTTTTTTTTTTCAACAATATCTTTATTGGATTTTTTACATAATAACCCTAGAGCTGAATGAAAGGATAATGTACAACAATATATCAAGTAGGTACCAGATCAGCCCATCCCACCTTCCCTCCCTCCCTCCTCCCACTCAACCCACCCCTACAGGTCCGACCATACATTCCTACAGAGTATGTACCAAGTCAAATAAGTAAGAGTAAATACAAGCCTTCAATATATCATAAAACAACCAAGCAAAAACAAAATTAGCCTAAAACAAAACTGTTGCAGAGAGAGAATAAATAGCAGGGGGAGGTAGAAAAGAAAATTAAAACAAATAAAAATAAAGCTAGAAACAGCACCAAATGTTGAATAAGCATGTTTAACAATCACATGACATTGTTTAAATATAAAACGATTACTGTATTGTGGACTCCATGTCCACATATGCTAGAAAACCACCCCAGATCTTTTGAAACTCTCCAGGTTTACCCTTCAAATTATACATAATCTTTTCACTTGATGCTAGTTCATTCGTCCATCTAGCAAATGTAGGTGGTGATACATCTTTCCAATGCATAGCTATACATTTATTGGCTGTAATAAGGGCAATTCTAATAAATTTGAGTTGGTTTTTATTGACTTTCATCATAGATGTGTCACCCAGGAGAATTACTCTTGGCTCTGCAGGGATGGTTAGTCCTGTAATATCATTAAGCACTTTGAGTATAGACACCCAATATGAATTAAGACAAGGGCAAGTCCAAAACATATGTACCAACGTTTCTATTCCCAATTTGCATCTTGGGCAAAACTGGGAGTACTGAGACTTTATTTTCTGTAATCTGTCAGGGGTATAGTATGTTCTATGAATAAGATTGTATTGTGTAATTTTATGTCTAGAGTTAAAAGAAAAACACTGACTACTAGTACACAATGATTCCCAATCCCCTTCTTCAAAATTACGCTCCAGGTCTTCTTCCCATTTACATTTCACTCTTAGCTCTTCCCAACCTATAATCTGGGAAATTCCTGAGTAAGAGTAGGATATAAACCCCCTCAATTCCTGTTTACTACGCACAAGTTTATCTAGAGGCTGCTCTTTTAATGGTTGAAGATGGCCACCTTGTTCGGAGATAACAAAGTGCCTAACCTGGAGGTATTTGAAAAATGGTTGTGGGGTAGTCCATACTGAGATGAGAGCCCTTCAAAAGTCTGAAGGGTTCCATCTTTAAACAAATTCCCAAAAGTTGTAATACCTTTTGTAAACCATAGGTTTGTAATACCATCTCTAAGGGCTTTAGGTAAAGAGGGATTGGAGTGGAAAGGGGATTTGTCATAAATAGGTTGAATACAGCCCGTTTTCTTCCGAATTTTCTGCCAGATCTTATAAGTATGGACAATGACTGGGTTTGTTGTTGTAACCAAAAGAGAGCTAAGCGAGCTGATATATGGAACTGATTCCAGTTTCAACTCTGTTGAATGGTTCTGTTCAATTTGTTTCCACTTAGGTGAATGGACTTGCACTGTTTGCCAAACCCATATTGCTCTAATTTGTGCTGCCCAATAGAAACCCTCCAAATTGGGGACTTTCAGTCCACCTTTTTCTAGAGGGTTTTGCAATATTGTCATCTTTATCCTGGGTGGTTTGTTTCTCCATATAAACTGTGTGATGCAAAGGTTGAGTTGTTTAAAAAAAATTGCTTCGGAACAGCAATTGGTAACATCTGGAAAAGATACAAGTATTTTGGTAATACATTCATTTTTATGCAATTAATACGCCCGATTAAAGACGGAGGTAAATCATTCCATCTCTTACAGTCCTCTTTTGTCTTTTTTAGTAATGGTGTATAGTTAAGGGAGAATGAATTAGACTCTTCATTTGGAATTTTAAGTCCAAGATAGGTAATGTGATTAGGGCTCCATTGAAACAATTGGCATTCAGGGGCATGACAACACTTTTATTTATATTGATCTTATAGCCAGATATTTTACCATACTCTGTCAGTGTGTCCATAAGAGCTGGGATAGATTCATCTGGACTTGAGAGGTATACCAATATATCGTCCGTATATAGCGGCAAAGTCTGAATACAGTCACCCATTTGTATACCATGAATGGCTAGGTTAGACCTTATAGCTGTAGCTAGCGGTTCAATCACGATAGCAAATAATATAGGTGAAAGGCAACAGCCTTGTCTAGTGCTACGTGATAGAACAAATCTGGCCGAAATGTCTTTTTTAGTTTGTATTTGTGCTGTAGGGTGTTTGTAAAGCAGTTTGACCAAGTTAGTGAATTTGGGACCTATGTTCATTCTTCCCATCGTCTCAAACAAGTACTGCCACTCTACACGGTCGAACGCCTTTTCTGCATCTAGTGATACTGCAACGCATGGGTAAATTATATAAAAAAAATAATCGTACATTGTCAATTGATGATCTATTCTGAATGAATCCTGTTTGGTCCATGTTGATAACGTCAGGAAGTACTTTTTCAAGTCTCAAGGACTTTAGAAAAAAAATTATATTCACTGGGCAAGATTGAAATAGGCATGTACGAGCTGCAGAGTTTAGGATCCTTCCCCGGTTTCGGTAAAACAATAATCAGTGCCCGCTCTAGTGACTCTGGGAGTCTACCTGTTTCTATGGCATAATTAAACATTAAGAGCATGGGCTCTATCAGTTTGGGAATAAATGCTTTGAAAAATTCCATAGGAAATCCATCATGACCTGGTGATTTTCCTGAGGCAAGTGAGGTCATAGCTTTCATCACTTCCTCTTTTGTAATACTGCCCTCTAGTATCTCCTTCTTATCATCAGACAGTGTAAGAAGAGCGAGCTTATCCAAAAAATGCTGTATACTCACAGTGTTACATCCTTGAGATGTATATAATGACTGCTAATAACTCAAGAAAGCGTCATTAATCTCTTTTAGGATTACTAGTAAATGTGTCATCCTTTTGGATTGTATATATTGCCATGTTTGTCTCCTCTTTCTTTATCTGCCAAGCTAAAAACTTCCCTGCCTTGTCTCCCTTTTCATAATATCTATGTTTCAATCTTTTTATAGCATTTTAATGTGTATTAAGCATGTTATATTCCAGCTGTTTTGCTTTCAGTTGTTGGAGAATGATACTGTCACATGATTGTACATGTTGTCTTTCTAGTTTCTTAATCTTATTTTCAAGATAGTGGATTTTGATTATATACTTTTTGCGTTTACTTGAGGTGTAAGCTATTATTTGACCTCTGAGGTAAGCTTTCATAGCATCCCATACAATGTTAGGGTTTGCAGTGGTTTAAAGTACATCATGCTTTTAAGTTCCATTTCTCTGTCTGTCCAGCGATACCTGGTCCCCCAGCTCCGCTCTCTATGCGGTCTGACTGAGGAGAAGGCCTCACTCTCATCTGACGCCCTCAGTCTGCTTATCAAGCAGTATTGCAGAGAATCTGGAGTCAGGAACCTGCAGAAACAAGTTGAAAAGGTAAAATAGTGTAAAGCTCTGTGAGGCTCCTCAGAATAAAGGTTTTAGAACATTCTGCATGAATCCTACTTCTGCTTCATCCTTTGATAGGGTAAGCAGTTAAAGTAATCTGAACAGTCACAGCACAGTAAATGGTAAATGGACTGTACTTATATAGCGCCTTTCTTGTCTTTTGAGCACTCAGTGCTCTGTACACTACATGTCACACTCACCCCATTCACACATATTCCTATACTGATGGCAGTGGCTGCCATGCAAGGTGCCAACTGCTCACCAGAACGGAACTAAGTATTCACACACAGTCATAGACCAATGCACAGCATCGGAGCAATTTGGGGTTCAGTGTCTTGCTCAAGGACTTGGACATGCAGCGAGGGGAGTCAGGGATTGAACAGCCATCTTCTGATTAGTGGACGGCTCTACCTCTATACCTATACCTATACCAATAGAAAGTAGCACATCCCCCAGTAATTTTCATGCAGTGATTGCTATGCCCAGAGGCATTATGTTTTCAGGTTGTCCGTCTGTCTGTCTCATTCTCGTGACCAGATATCTGAGGAGCGCCTCAAGGGAATTGCTTTAAAATGAAAAAACTGATTTGGGGGTCAAAGGTCACTGTGACCTCACAAAGCACAGAAAGCACACAAAACACAAGTGATGACCATTGGTCGGACACTGAATTGGTGACACTTTTGACTCAAAGGTCACTGTGACCTCAATATTACCATGACAAACAGGTTTTGGTCATAACTTCCCAAACCCAAAAGGTCAAAGGTGAACTTCACTCTGACATCATAATGTCCTGGAAATGTTTTTGAGCCATATTGAGGGGACATTGGGACCACAGAAGGGGAGATTGGGACCATATTTCATAGTTGGTTGGGCACTGAATTGGTGACAAATTGATTAAAGCCGTAATTTAAGAATGAACCAGGAAATTCCAGATTTCACATGCATGTTGTCTGGGACAACACAATGAGTAAACAGTAATTAGCACACCAGCACTAGTATTGGAGCACGCCTAGCGATGATGATTTTTTTTCAATGAGTGAATGAGTTGCGTGTGGATTCTTCCCTTCTAAAAATGTCATGAGAACACAAAGCACATTTACTCTAACTATACTCTACAAAAAAAACTATATAACTAACTATAAAAATCCATCTTTACGTAATCAAATACATGTGTACCTGATCAGCCAATACAAAACATGTATATACACTGGAATCATGCATATTTATCATCAATGTAGTGATAACTTCAATTTAGCCAAACATAAACTTCCTTCAAAGTTTTCACCACATATATAATGAATCTGGACAGACACCAGTTTAAACTGCAACTTGACTGGTTGGTGGAGGAATACAACCATCGGGCAGTAAGTCTAGTTTTTGTGTATAAACCTTTGTCCATCTGTCTGTTAGGTGTTCCGTAAGGTGGCATTCAGCATTGTCAGTGGTGAGCAAGCCACAGTGACTGTTACACCTGACAACCTGCAGGACTACGTGGGTAAACCTATTTTCACAGTGGATCGGATGTACAATGTCACCCCACCAGGAGTTGTTATGGGGTTGGCATGGACCGCTATGGGTGAGAGAGATGTGACACACACACACACATACACATATACACACACACACACACACACCCACACACACACATACACATATACACATACACATACACACAAACCTGTACCAATAGAAAATCTAGCATACTGACGGTTTGCCTGCATTTTGTCCCCTGTGTAGGAGGGTCGACACTGTTCATTGAGACCTCACTGCGCCGTCCCTCTGGAGGAGGGGATTCTAAAGGAGAGGGCTCACTGGAGGTTACAGGTTAGTCAGGAAGGCCAGCAACTGAGAAGCTCCTCAGGGCGGAGGTCAGTCTACATGGTGGAGGTCTGATACTGTACGGAAAGCGTATTACAGATGTTTGTGCTCCTCTGCAGGTCAGCTGGGTGATGTTATGAAGGAAAGTGCAAAGATTGCTTCAACCTTTGCCAGAACCTTCCTGATGACCAAAGAACCAGAAAATCTCTTCCTGGTCAACTCCCACCTGCACCTGCATGTTCCTGAGGTAACCATGGCAACACAGTACTGTAAATAAATTACTTATTGATTACTTTACCTTTTCTATTTAAATTTTCTACTAAATAGTATGCAAGGGAAGGAACATTTTATTTGTTTGAAAATGTCCTTAATAAAATACACTGTGGCTAATGCTCATTCCTGTATGTTAAATTGTCATTTGTTTTTAGGGGGCGACTCCAAAAGATGGACCAAGCGCTGGCTGCACCATTGTCACAGCCCTGTTGTCCTTGGCAACCAATCAGCCAGTGCGTCAGAATGTAGCAATGACTGGTGAAGTTTCACTGACTGGCAAAATACTGCCAGTAGGTGGAATCAAAGAGAAAACTATCGCTGTAAGTAGAACACACACTAGTGTTGGGCAGTATGACCAACATTTGTATCACAGTATTTTTTAAGATCCTGCCGGTTTCCCAGTAATATTTCTTATTAGGGTTTCTGTTTTTTAATAATAACATTTTTATTGTGCAAGCTGCATACGTAGTAAAAACAGAACTCAGAGGTCCAGTGTGTAGGATTATGTAGCATCTAGTGGTGTAGTTGCAGATCACAACTCCATCACATCACCCTCGCCTTTTAAGTGCAAAGGAGAAACTACGGTGGCTGCGAAATGCACGAAAAAAAGGTGAACACCCCTATCTAGAGCCAGTGTTTGGTTTGTCTGTTTTGGGCAACTGTAGAAACATGGCGGACTCTATTGAAGATGACCCGCAGTGTCTGTAGCTATAAAATGCTCATTCTAAGGTAACTAACACACAACAATTCTTATTTTCAGATGATTATAATCCAAAAAAAAACTGAATTTAAATCTCTAACAATAGAGCCTCCAAAATGTTACACACTGGACATTTAAAAATAAAGAATATATGCCAACAATTTGAACATTGCTTTCTTTTGGAAACAAAATATTTTAAAATACTATAAACCAACATATAATACTCAATTGTAGTTTGGTGGGTGACAGTACACAGCAGTCTTCACAGAAGCTCATGTATGATGTCACAGCCTCTGTGTACTTATCTAGACTGTTAGTAGCGGTTCTAAAAATTGTCAACATCTTCACCGTTTCACTTCTTTGATACCCTCACAACAGGTCTACACAGCTTTACTTCTGTCTGTATGAAAGAATTAGGTGGACTGTTATTAAAGGGCAACTCCATACAATATCTGGTGACCTGTCCAAGTTGTATCCTGCCTCTCGCCGTGTGTCAGCTGACTCCAAAGGTTAAGCAGGTCTGGCTAATGGATGGAATTAATTGATCTAAAATTAAAAATGTTGTTTGTTTTTTGAAATTATTCCATTTTATCTTGATATGATGAGGATATAAACATACAATGTATTAAATGTACAGTATGTAATTTCTGCCGCTCACAACAAAAGACAAAGTCTGATTATGTTGTGAAGTGCCGGGGTATCATCGGAGTTGTTGGGAGCCAAACGTTAGCTCAGCGTCCAATAACTAAAATCCTTCATCCGGTTCAAATCTAAAGTTGAAAAGCACCAAGATCTAAACAGTGGATGGTAAAAATGTGACTTCAAACTGGATAAACAGTCAATGTATGACAGCTTCTGGCAGACAACCACAACGGATATATGAAATGACAGATTTCTCTGAGTTTGAACTTTGTTGGAAACATTTGGAATAATGCAAGTAAACAACTCAACTACATATAGAACATAGAGCTAGAGTTTATAGATATTTGGAAATGTTACATATTGGAGCTTTAAAGGTCACTGGTATGATTTTAGACTATTTAGCAATTGGCAGGATGTGGCAGAAATGTGTTGTAATATTCATCCTCCTCCTTACACACTCCTGCATACTCCTCTGGTTACACTTACACAACACCCTTTTATACATCTACAACACTCCCACCAACAAACAAAATCTAAGTAGATTATATTACAATCATAAAGTTTGTTGGATTTGTCTTGTGTTAATGTCTGTTAATGTCTGTAGATTTTAGTAATCATTCCCCAGGGACCATGAATAATGTGACCAGCACTTATTCAGACATTTCTGTGGGAATGTGGGAATTTTCAACAAACAGATAATTACAGTCCCTACCCCACTGCTGTCAGGGCAAAAAATATACTTGTTTTTGCAGTCACTTCAAAGTCATTTTGAAACCAATTTCAAACTGGATTTTCTTGTCCCTGTCAGGCCCGTCGTGCTGGTGTGACCTGCATCATCCTGCCAGCTGAGAACAGGAAGGACTTCTCTGACCTGCAGGACTACATCACCCAGGGCCTGGAGGTCCATTTTGTGGATCACTACAGTCAAATATACCCCATCGCTTTCCCCCAGACCCAGTCGTAACCTGCTTCCAACTACAGTGATGAAACCAAGCCAGGATAGACTAGGATTTGGGACTACAAAACCCAGACCCTGTTTGTTGCCACATAACACTGATAACACTGTAATTCTGGTTGTAGTTAGTAAAAGCCCCCTATTGCTTTTTGACTGATTCAATCAATGCAGTTGGGACTCTGGGGTCCTGCTGTTGAAACTGTCACTTTGTTGTTCCAGAATCATTTGGGGGAAATATAATTAAGTTTCAACCACCACAGGTCCCCCGAATATACGAGGACCGCCACGTGCTAAAGGACAGCATCACTGGACTGAAAGCATGCAGCCGACTGTGTACACAGTGAAATGATGGTGGTGAACACTGACCTGTCATTACAGGATATGATGTCTTCGATGGGCAGAAGTTGAGGCAGCAACTTTGCTGCCGGGCAGCTTCTTTACCCACAGTTTTCGATACACAGGACTGTGGATGGACTCTTTCATAGATTTCTTATATTGTTTTATATTATTATTGGACAGATGTGATGATGCTGAAATAAATTAAATTATAATCAGAGCTTTTGGCTTCTGTTATCTGTTCTAATCAACCTATGAACAGATTTTCTAATTGACACAACCGACACGTCATCCAATTGTCTAGACTGTTGGTTGTTTTCAAAAACGAAAAGGGTGCACAGCATGATCAAAAATACAGAAAATAATCTAATCATTATATTTGTTTATCTGTATTCTAGGTGTTTTTTGTTGGACATTCTATATTAGGAATAAGCCCTTGAGATGTACCATCTTGTTTTCAATGGGGTCCTTGACAAAAGTACCATACACACAGTTACACAAAACATTTGACAAAAATATCAGCATACAATTAAACCGAATTTGACAAAAACCAAAACATACAAAGGTGAAACAAGAATGACAAAAAAGAACAACAGAAATATAGAAAACAAAACAAAAGGGGGAAAAAAGTAAATATCAAGACAAAATGAGAAGAAGAAGCTTTGGTTTATAGTTTGAGAGCAGTGTTTTGACACTAACTGCAACACATAGACCAAACCTAAATGTAATACCCATTTATAATTTTGTGTTAATACTTTTATTGTGAATGACTCGGGGCGGAAGTGTTCTGTTGTTACTGCCGGCAAAACACAGCTAATTGACTCCGTGGTCCTCAGGAACATCAGCGTGGGCTGTTAGGTTGAGGGTATGCGCTGGAATAAAGGGGTGAGAGAACAGCTGGATGCTGGGATTTAACACAGACTCCGCGGTCTACCAGCGGTTTACAGTCGGTGCTGCGGGATCTACCGCTGTTTGACGCTCCCTGTCTTTTTGCAGCGGTTCCTCTGTTCGAAGGATGCGACGGGCCCGCGGTGCTCTGCGCACTGTGGAAACAACAACCAGCTGCTGTTCTGCCTCTGGATGCCCTGAGCCTCACCGTCCAGCGAAAACAAACCCCGATCGTTAGAATCAGAGCAGAGGGGATTAGAGGGCGTCGTGCAGCGACATCACTGTCTCCTCCATCCTTCCTCAGCGAGGTATGAACAACAATAAGACGTCGTTGGCTTTATTCCTCATCTGTTTGTACACACACATCTGGGAAGTTGTTGTGCTGTAGAATTTTCCACACTGAACTCAGGTAAATACTAATGTATGTAGGTTACAGTGCTGGGATCAGATGTTGTTTACTGTTATTGTGTTGTGGTGGGCTCAGTCCGTTAAGGTGTCGTGGCCTACAGCAGCTGGATATTGGACCGCTCCAGTGATCCCTCAACGGCACATGGCTTTATTGTATCGGGCCCGAACCACCGAGACTGGAAGGGGCTGTGAAGGAATGCAGAAACAGTAGCCTATAAAAACATCTGCATGCAATTCATTAAATGCTGAAATTAGATCATATTCTGGCAGTTGGGGCGCCAAAAATATTGAAAAATAACAGAAAATAACCGACTCGCAAAAATACAGTAGGTTTCTATAATTGATATAGGCTACAGTTTTTAGCTTTTCTTTAAATCTTTTCTAATTTTTTTTTTTTTTTAATGTTTAAAGATATTTACACATGTAAAAACAATGAAATTACCTATAAATACAGGCGAACATTACTATAATACAAATAATGAGGCTTACATTTTCAGAAGAGTGCTGTTATTATTTAATTTTTCTTATTTTAATCTGAATTTGCTGCCATTACAACATACTTCCTTTCTGAAGTTATAGAACTGCAATAAAAGTCCCCATCTGTGAAATGACAGTAACCATTTCACAGATAAAAACTGTACTGTTTTGAAAGTGCTTATACATTGATAAAATAAAAATGTATTTAACGTTTTTGTTGTGAAAACAAACATTTTCAACAGCGACAGCAACCGCCTCAGGGTCATCAGTCCCGCACTCTAAAAGTGACACTAATAACTCGAAGTACTCTTAAAATACAGTTTCTCCAAACGTGTTTATTATTTTAGGTAGTTATTATCACAATAATCCATGTCCAAAAGTCCATTTCCCCGGATGAGATGGTTTTAATTCGTTATTCGACACTATAAACACACACTGACCTCCTCGAGCTTCTATCTTGGTACTTCCGGTTACCGGCATTTTGAATTTGCATATTAGTTAAATATTTAGTTTCACCCGAAACACTTAGATTTAACATTTAGATTTATAGTTAACATTTAGATTTAGATTTCACATTTAGATTTAACATTTAGATTTATATTGAGATTTAACATTTAGACTTAACATTTTAGGATTTAGATTTAACATTTAGATTTAGATTTAACATTTAGATTTAGATTTAGATTTGACATTTATTTTTAGATTTAGGATTTAGATTTAGATTTAGATTTAACATTTAGATTTGGATTTAACATTTAGATTTAGATTTAGCATTTAGATTTAACATTTAGGTATAACATTTAATATTTGGATTTAACTATATAAAATATCTCTAAGTTGACAAATATTGTTGTAAATGTGCAAAAAAGTGACCCTCAAAAATTCAGTTTTTTACAAACGGCACCCCATATAAAACTTCCATAATTATACAAGATGTCTGTCAATTAACAAACAAATCCATGTAAAATTACCGAACCATTACTTTCTTCTTTAATGTTGTCACTAATTTTACATAATTTTAGAAATGTATCAACAGTTTTAAACATGAATTAAATAAATGTATTAAATAAACAGTAAATATCTGCGAAAACAATTATAAATTGGTACATTTATTTCTATGTCTTTTTATGTGAAACAGTAATTCAATTCAATTCAATTTTATTTGTATAGCGCCAATTCATAACAGAAGTTATCTCAGGACACTTTTCAAATAGAGTAGGTCTAGACCGAACTCTTTAAAACATTATTTACAGAGACCCAACAGTACCACCATGAGCAAGCACTTGGCGACAAGGGCAAGGAAAAACTGCCTGTTAAAAGGCAGAAACCTAGGACAGATCATTCGGCTCTAGGTGGGTGGTCGTCTGCCTCGACCAGAGGAGAGAGAGAGAGAGAGAGACAGAGACAGAGACAGAGACAGAGAGAGAGACAGAGAGAGAGACAGACAGACAGACAGGTGCACAGCAACAACAGTATTGGTAATAGCAATCTAGCAGGACCATGGCAGGAGGCTCCACCAGGATCGATAAGAACCTGCGAGACGAGAAAGCACAAGAACTCCGGGGAAGAAGTGAAGTTAGTAACATGCATTAATGGAACATGAATGAGTGCAGAAAGAGAGAAGAAGAGAGGAGCTCAGTGCACCATGGGAAATCCCCCGATAGTCTAGGCCTATAGCAGCATAACTAAGGGATGGTTCAGGACTCACCTGATCCAGCCCTACCTATAAGCTTTATCAAAGAGGAATGTCTTAAGCCTACTCTTGAATGTGGTGAGGGTGTCTGCCTCCCGAACCACAACTGGAAGCTGGTTCCACAGGAGAGGAGCTTGGTAACTGAAGGCTCTGGCTCCTGTTCTACTTTTAGAGACTATAGGAACCACAAGTAGCCCAGCATTTAGAGAACGCAGTGTTCTAGAGGGGTAATAGGGTACTATGAGCTCTTTAAGATATGAAGGGGCCTGACCATGAAGAGCTTTATAGGTGAGGAGGAGGATTTTAAATTATATTCTACATTTTACAGGGAGCCAGTGCAGAGAAGCTAGTACAGGAGAGATGTGATCTCTTTTTCTAGTTCCTGTCAGTACTCGTGCTGCAGCGTTCGGAATTAATTGGAGCGTTTTAATGGACTTATTGGGGCAACCTGATAATAAAGAGTTGCAGTAATCCAGCCTTGAAGTAACAAATGCATGGATTAGTTTTTCTGCATCTGTCTGTGATAGTATGTGTCTAATTTTTATAATATTAAGTAAATGAAAGAAGGCAGTCCTGGAGGTCTGCTTCATGTGGGAGGTAAAAGACAAATCCTGATCAAAGATAACTCCAAGATTCCTGACAGATAGATAATTGATTAATTTCATCAGGCTTGATCGATAGATATAACTGCATATCATCTGCATAACAGTGAAAGTTAATGGAGTGATTCCTAATAATGTTGCCTAAAGGGAGCATATATAAATAGTATTGGTCCAAGTACGGAACCTTGTGGAACTCCATGACTAACTGTAGTATTTATTGAAGATTCATCGTTAAGATGTACAAACTGCGAACGATCAGATAAATATGACTTAAACCAGCTTAGTGCGGTTCCTTTAATGCCAATTTGATGCTCAAGTCTCTGTAAAAGAATATTATGGTCAATGGTGTCAAATGCAGCACTAAGATCTAATAATACAAGTACAGAGACAAGTCCATTGTCAGAAGCAATCAGAAGGTCATTATTAACTTTAACCAGAGCTGTCTCTGTGCTATGATGAACTCTAAATCCTGACTGAAAATCCTCAAATAAACTATTGTTATGTAGAAATTCACACAACTCTTTGGCGACTACTTTCTCCAGAATCTTAGAGAGGAAGGGGAGGTTAGAGATTGGTCTATAGTTGGCTAAAACCCCTGGGTCAAGAGTGGGCTTTTTAAGAAGGGGTTTAATTACAGCTACTTTAAAGGACTGTGGTACATACCCTGATAATAAAGAAAGATTAATCATATCCAGTAAAGAAGTGCCAATTAAGGGAACAACTTCTTTAAGCAGCCTAGTTGGGATCGGGTCTAATAGACAGGTTGATGGCTTTGATGAAGAAATGATTGAAGTTAACTGATGAAGATCAATAGCAGAAAAACAGTGTAAATATATATCTAAGTTTACATTAGCAGAAGTCCCTGAACTTGGAGAGCCACTGATAACTGTTGATGGCAGTTGGTGATTAATTTTCTCTCTAATAGTAATAATTTTATTATAGAAGAAGCTCATGAAGTTGTTGCTACTTAAGTTTATGGGGATATGTGGCTCAATAGAGCTGTGACTCTCTGTCAGCCTGGCTACAGTGCTGAAGAGGAACCTAGGGTTATTCTTATTTTCTTCTATTAGTGCTGAGTAATAGGCTCCTCTGGCATTACGGAGGGCCTTTCTATAAATTTTAAGATTATCTTGCCAATTTGAGCGATATTCTGATAATTTGGAAGCGTGCCATTTCCTTTCAGGTTTCCTAGCTATTTGCTTTAACTGGCGGGTTTGGTGGTTGTGATTAAAACAATGAGTTGGTTTATTTACACTCTGACAGAAGCCAATTGAGTCTATTAATGATATAAATGCGTTACTAAGGCTGTCATTGTCAACATCCACATGAATATTAAAATCACCTACAATAATTACTTTATCTGATTTAAGGACTAAACTTGATAGAAACTCTGAAAATTCAGATATAAAATCAGAGTACGGTCCAGGAGCGCGGTACACTATAACAAATAGAACTGGCTGCAGTGTTTTCCAGTTTGGGTGAGAAAGGCTAAGAACAAGGCTTTCAAATGAATTATAATTTAGTTTAGGTTTAGGATCAAATAAAAGGGTTGAATCATATATGGCTGCTACTCCACCTCCTCAGCAGTGCCTCGAGGAATGTGAGTATTAATATGACTGGGGGGGGTGGATTCATTTAGGCTAACATACTCCTCGTGGGACAACCAGGTCTCAGTAAGACAAAGTAAATCAATATCATAATCTGATATTAATTCATTCACTAAAACAGCTTTAGAGGACAGAGACCTGATATTTAACAGCCCACATTTCATTCTCTTATTTTGTGCTACTGAGGAGTTAGTTTTCATTTTTATTAGGTTTTTATGTTTAACTCCTCTTGTTTTTATTTCTTTAAATAATTTAGGTGGTCGGGGGACAGACACAGTCTCTAAGGGGTTTTGGGTGGGTGACTGTTCTAAAGAAAGCGCAGAGAAGTGTGTAAGACAGCAGCTCTGCTTCCTGGTCCCAACTCTGGACTGTCAGGTTTTAGAAATAAACTTCGCCATATTTCTAGATAAGAGAGCCGCTCCATCCAAATGTGGGATGGATGCCGTCTCTCCTAATCAGACCAGGTTTTCCCCAAAAGGCATCCAGTTATCAATGAAGCCCACATCGTTTGCTGGACACCACCTCGACAGCCAGCGGTGGAATGACGACATGCGGCTATACATGTCATCACTGGTCACATTGGGGAGGGGTCCAGAGAAAACTACGGAGTCCGACATTGTCTTAGCATAATTACACACCGACTCCACATTAATCTTAGTGACCTCCGATTGGCGTAAACGGGTGTCATTACCGCCGACGTGGATAACAATCTTACCATATTTACGTTTATCTTTAGCCAGCAGTTTTAAATTTGATTCAATGTCGCCCGCTCTGGCCCCAGGGATACATTTAACTATGGCCGCTGGCTTCACTAACTTCACGTTTCTGACTATGGAGCTGCCAATAACCAGAGTTGGTTCCTCAGCGGGTGTATCGCTGAGTGGGGAAAATGTATTAGAAACGTGAATGGGTTGGTGGTGAACTGTGGGCTTCGCCGTTCTAGCCTTCCTTCGCTCAGTCACCCAGCCTCTCTGTCTTCCCGGCTGCTCGGGAACTACCGGGGGATCTACAGAGCTAACAGAAGCTACCTTCGGTCGGACCGCACCGGCTACTGGGGGCTGGCTAACTATAGCGGCTAAAGATATCTCTGTGGTGCGGTGCCGTTCCTCTAACTCACTAAGCCTCGCCTCCAGCGCAGTAAATAAACTACACTTAATACAGGTACCATTATCTTTAAAGGAGGCAGAGGAATAACTGAACATCTGACACACTGAGCAGGACAGAGGAGAGGGAGAGGGAGAAGCCATAGCTAACTGCTAATGCTAATGAAACTAGAGTGTATGAAAAACTTTGAAAATAGCGTAAGGTCGCTAAAATAAGGAGTATCTCCGAGTGTTTTAGGTAGAACTAGTCTACGTTTAATCGTTAAGCTGGAAAATAACCGCTGTAACGAGTAAAACAAATTTATATTTAGCGTTCACTGACAGAGCTACAGCACCAAACAGTGTACACAGAGCAGGAAGTGTCTGCAGAGTCAGTCCCCACACTCTGTGTCAGTATTTTCTTTAAATAAGTAGTAAGTTAATGTTATGATTATGGACAGTTAGTTTTTTTCAAGTTATTTTACGTGTAAATTCTCAGGCTATTTTTGTAATGGTATTATTATAACAATGTATTTAAAAAGTACAGATTTATTATACAGTGTACACTGGGCAATTTTATCAGGTAGCCTACAATCTCAGCCAAACATTCTACCTTTGTGAAGCTTCTAATATTCTGTTTTTGTATATTTCACTTAAAGCCTGACTAATATGGGATTTCTCAGTATATTGAATCATAACTCCTATCGTGATACATATCATATAACTAGATTGTATGCACAGCCTTAATATTGTCAACCAATTCTAGTTGACGTTGTTTAGAGCTGCTCCTTCTCTTTAATGCTGTGCTGCTTGCCACAGTATTGTAAATTACAGCGTACTCTGCTGGTTACATTTTGCAGTGACAATTTTAACACAAGTAATTGGTTCTGCATTACTGGAACAAAACTGTTTTCACATCGGCCCATATTGGATAACATACGTTGATGCTGATAAGTTACCAATATGTCTGTGATAGATAATATAATAATAATAATAATAATAATAATAATAATAATATTGGGTGACCGTAATATTGGTTCCAATTAAATTAGATGTTTGTGATTGAGGTCATAGATATAAGTGGTGTTGTAATGAGGTGTTTGTATTTTTTTTGTCCTACCGATTTACATAATGAGGGGGACTGAATATTTGAAACAGTGCTCAGCACTCATAATGCAGTCCAGTAAAACACCACCACTACCGATACAGTTTATTAAAGTGAACATTATAGACATCATAAAAGTAGACTTAATGGCAGAACACTAGGGTCACATTAGACTGTACAGGTAATAAAGTGGTCACTGTGTATTAAAGATTAAGATAAATGATCAAAAGAAGGACAAATAAAGTCATAATAAAAAAGAAAGTAGTTAATTCTTAGTTCTTCATGCCAATTGTTGCTCATGCTTGAAGCTGTATTCTAGATATACATTTTTGATACTGTCTTGTGGATTAAAGACTACATATATCATATTCCTGAATTTGCAAGAACTGTCTCTGTTTTGATTTATTTTCCTTAATTATGTTTTTTTGGTTTATGCTCTCGGGGAACATCCGTGAAATTGGTGGCTTTTATCTGTTTTTGCAAATGAACTCGCTTCATATAATATGTTTTTCACTTTAGACCTTTCCTCTGCGGTTGCTGTAATTAAGCCCTAGTGCTGAAATGTTTGATTGTACTGTATTTCATATTCCATTTGCTCAACTGCCCTTATGTTATTTTTGTAGGCTGTATGATTTACTGCTGGACTCATGGCCAATATTAGAAATATCTGAAAGTATGATCATTCCTGAGCAACAAAGCTAAAAGTTTGGGTGATTTTATAAATCTGCTGTCATTTATTTCAAAATGACCATCTACCTACATTGAAGCAGCAAAGATGATAACAAAATGACCATAGGCTAACTACTTAGTTCCTAATTTGTGTTAGAGAATTTAGAGCTGCAAAGTTGATAAATTGATTAGTTGATCAAAAGAAAATAAGTAGAGTTGTTCTGATACCGATACCAGTATTGTAAATTTCTTTAATAATGCCAAAAATGGGACATTGGATATCAGCGAGTACATGTGATTGTGCGCCAAGCTTGTAATTAATTCGCCCCTAAATGGGTTAAAAAAAAATATTGGCTGATATGCAAAGGTTAGGTATCGGAATCTGTATCAGGTATCGTACTGTCTCTAGAAAGGATTTGCCAACTATTTTGATAATAAATTACAGAGTATTTATCACAGTCTCTGTAACATCCAAGATCATAGCCCTGAGATTACGTTTACAATGCTGCTTTTGGGGGTTAATACATAAAAATTGGTGTGGTTTTGATATATATATATATAAATATCACATATTATATGATATTTCTATATTTTGTTACATCATTACAGCTTACATTTATCACCCAGTAGTTAAAAATACTTAAAGTGTAATTTTGTTAATTCTTCCTAAATGTCAGATGTTACTCTGTAGGTCTCACTGTACCCTGTAATAAGAGAATAGGTACAGAGTAGTTAAAAGTGCCAACAGTGTATATTCTTCAAACATTGTCACGCCATTGTTCCCCAGCACACCTTGAGAACTGTCTGTACTGGTACAATGGTATGCTGGTAGTACATAAGAATTACACTGTAAATGATAAAGAATTGGGCTGTACGTTGCAGGCTGTAATCGGGAGTGTTGCTAAAATGTTTCTCAAACAGCAATACAATCCTTCAGTGAGTGATGCTGTGCAGGCTTCCAGCTCTGTGACAGACAATGAAAAAGCCTTGATGATGGATCCTTATATGCAAGTCAATGCCTCATATCAAGGATGGTTCCCATGGTGACAGTGATTCACCGACTGATACGAATGTAGTGGTGTTATTGGTGCCCGGATTGTTATAATGAGTGTATTCCTCTACAAAGACATAATCCCCTGTGGAGCTGCTGTTACAACACACTTCCTTTCTGGCTTGATAGGATTCATTCGTTCACAGTCTGAGGTATTTTCTGCACCTCGACTGTGTGAGCCAAAAAACTGACAAATCTTAAGCTCTGTCAGAACTGTATTTTGGGAAATTATTATTATTATTAATGGGAAATAGTTATATGTATTGATGATATGGTTGATGGTTAAAATGCTGCCTTAATGTTTTACCCAAATGTGAATCATGTTGGAGTACCATTTTGAAGCCTTGGGTTATGGCAATATGGCTGCCGACATGTTGTTATTTTGGAGTCAGCTGCAGTGACGTAGTGCAAGTTGAGCTGTTTAATTTGGAGCCGTCCGTAGCAGGAAACAATGGTGGCTCACCTGGTCACACACACTCTCGAATTACAGATGAACAGTACACAAGAATATATTTCTCAAAAGATTTACTTTAAATGGGACCATAATTTACTAAATGAACATCATGCTGTATGGAAGAAGACTTAAACTAGAGAGTGAGACCATAAACACATTAGAAAACTGTTTACTGAGCTAATAAATCAAGTGAGAAATAGGGCTTGAAGGCATGTGTAGCCATGTTAGTGCTAAACTTCATCAAGTCAGCAGTGCTAGCTATGATGTGTTGGGATGTTGGTCTTTGAGATACTCTTGCTATAAATATTATGTGCTGCACTGAGTTGTAGTTGTATGGCTTAAGCCAGTTTGCTGTTGCCAACGTGTGCCTGTGAGTTCAAACAAACACAACTCTTGTTCTGGTGATTATTCTTAGAGTGTGATCAAGTATTTAAAATACTGGTACAATAAGTTGTTTTCATGCTATGTTTTTGTAGGAGCTGCTACATTGACAGTTGCTACCAGGATTACATGCACAGTCTATTCTAGGGATTGCTTGTGTTATTTTTGATCATGACTCACCTGTCTGTTCACTGTGCTCTCCTCATCCTCAGTCCTTTCTGTTGGTGTGATGGCTGTGTTGCTGGTACTTCTTCTCTCCGTGCTCCTCCTATCCCTCCACACTCCCAGTCGAGCGTCTCCTTCCTGTCCTGTGAGCTGTCGCTGCTACAGCCTTACTGTAGAGTGTGGCTCCACCGGCCTGAGGGACATCCCCAAACACGTTCCTCAATCCACACAGGTAGGTTCATTGTACTGTTACACCAATTTTGATTGAAACAACAATGATATACATTCTCCATGATTCTTTGACACATTTACTGTGTGAGGAAGGTGCAGCTTCCCACTGCAGGTTATTGACCAGAACCACACATATGTCTTCAATTCCAATGCCACAACCTCATTCTTTCTGCACAACTGTGATCCAGTGTAAATTTCACATAATACACAAGAATACAAATAAACACAAGAAATGTGTAGGGTAGTGTCAGGACAAGGTGTCAGTTTGGCAGTGCCACTGCAGGCCTAGGGCTGATTCCTGCTGGTGTGATTGGCCCTGAGGGAGGTGATGAATGGTGATGAATGGTGTAAGGACGGTTACTTGCCCACTACTGCACTTCCATGCCATTTTTCTTCTGAAACTATACTCTATAGAGGGTTGTCTACATAGAAGTACAACTGTAGAATTGTTATATATACAGTAGATATAGTATGTAGTCATATACTTTATAGAGTGAGTGCTTCTCACCCTATACAGTAAGGCATAACTGCTTTGGGGCTTTTCTCAAACTAAACTCTCCCCTTAATTTTTTTCCATCTTGTTTTCTGTCCATCCAGACCATCTTCCTCCAGGACAATGTGATTGGTCAGATCCGTCGACAGGACCTAACTCTGCTGAGGCACCTGCACTACTTGTACCTGCAGGTAACAAATGGCTGGGCATAAAGAACTGGTTTTGAATTGGAACCAGGGATTTGTTATTTAGTTACTGATGCCTCAATGCAAAGTTTGGACCTACAGAGTTTTTTTGTCTACATCACATTATACCATGTATGCATTTATATATTGTATGTATTGCATATTTTGTGGCAGAGAGGGTTGTGCACTGATTGCAGGTTTTGTGGTTCAACCCACCTCCTCCTATCAACATGTTCAAGTGTCCTTTTGCAGAATATACTGAACCCTGATTTGCTCACCAGACAGAAGATGCACAAACCAGTGCATTCCTAATTGCCCTTACCAAGCCCAAATAAATTAGGAGGGTTGTGTCAGGAAGGGCATCCAGTGTAAAAAGCCTGTGCAAAATCCAATATCAGACCTACAGCCAAACCCCAACAGGGAGCAAGCCAAGCTAAGCTTCACTGTAGTGATACAATACAGTGATTACGTGTACGTGTATGTAATTACTGCTCCAGAAATGTTTAAATGTGAGAGAGGAAGTCTTTCTGACGCGACAAAGGCTTTCACACAGCAGGTACAGTATAAGAATGCAGCGTGTTTGCTATTTCACATGCATGATGCCCCAGCATCACCTACTGCTAGAGGGTAATAACATTTACACTGCAGCCCCATACCAACTAACTGTGATGTACTGTGTGTTCTGACACCTTTCTATCAGAACCAGCATTAACTTTTTCAGGAGTTTGAGCTACAGTATCTCATCTGTTGGATCCAACCACATGGGCCAGCCTTCACTCCACACGTGCATCAATGAGCCTTGGCTACCCATGTTGCCGGTTCACCATTTTTCCTAAAAATGCTATCATTTTGAGAATATTCAAAAAACATATAAATAGTTTATCCTAATATAAAGGTCTAAACAAGAACCACCACTGAAATAATACAAAGAATAACAAAAAAACAAAAGAACATATGCTTAGTTGTATACACAGATTAACAGACACTCAGACAATTTACATTATACCACTCCGTTAACGCTTAGTCCAGGCAACCCACTCTGTGTACCCACAAGTTTAAGCTTTTATTGTATAAACTAATCCATATACTAATAATATGTTTTTCAGATGTCTTTCAGTATTCCTTGTTTGAACCCCCACTAGGTGTTGCCAAAGCTTCACAGGGGGTCGCAAGGCCTTCTTGATTTTAAGGGGCGTAAGGAAACTTGAAAAATATACACAATAGCCCTATATAACAGTATTTCATTAATTTCTGTGAATAATGGATTATTAATTAAATTATAGCTTTGAAGACCTGAACACAAGCTATATTCACAGAGCCTTCACTCTCTGATAAACAGCTTCGTCCTACATTACAAAAGTTTAAACTGCAGCGGCCATGGGTTCGAATCTGACCTGTGGCCCTTTGCTGTGTGTCATCCCCTCTCTCTCCCCCCTTTCCTGTCTTTCTTCAGCTCTCCTATCTAACAAAGGCAAAAAGCCCCAAAAATATATTATGTTTAAAAATAAATGAAAGTTCAAACATCCAAAGAGCTAATAGAACAATGAGAAGAAAACACTGAATTTGTTTGTTGAAAAAAAGCCCATTAAGTATGATTGTTCAAATGCTAAACATACATAATAAAGACATACAGTTGTATAAAAAATATCAGTAAACCAATATGCGATCAATATGACACAAAAGGCTTTATACAACTTTTTCACATATACAAAACAGACTTTGATGTGTAAAGTCAGTGGCGTTCCCCTTAAGTAGAAATAAAAATCATTGATATCTACATGTTTAGATTTTTAAAATGACAAAGAGACGAGTGTCGATGAGTCCCCTTCTGTATTTCTCTGTGGGTGAGAAATAAATTCTAACCAAGATGGAATCAAATGGTTTTCAATGTAGTGCATTAGCAGCATCAGTAGTAGAATCTGCAGTTCCTGAAGTTTGGTCGTCTTAACATGCTCCTCCTCCTCCAGAACAACACCATTTCAGCAGTGGAACCTGGCTCTTTCCAGAACCAGGGTCAGTTGTTGGAGCTGGCTCTGAATGGGAACCGGATCCACCTGGTGACAGCTGACATGTTTCAGGGACTAGAACATCTTCGCATTCTTTACCTAGCAGGAAATGACATCACACGCCTGCTGGACTACACCTTTCGTGGCTTACAGGTAAGACATATTAAAGCATATGTGTGAAGTCGATTACATTTCACTGTTACAAATTTTAGCAGTAAACTCAATCCAAGCTATGCAACATACATTCTCTGCAGTTGCCTTCATTCCTACATGAGGCTCCATTGATGATATGTATTATTTCCTCCATGTCTCTGCAGCGTCTGCAGGAACTCCATTTGCAGCACAACAGTATAGAGATGTTAGCAGAACAGGCTCTAGTTGGTTTGTCTTCCCTGGCTCTCCTGGACCTGAGCAGAAATAATCTTCACACCATTGGCCCGGTGTCCCTGCGACCTCTAGTCAGCCTGCAGGTGCTGCGCATCACAGGTGAGACTGGAATGTTGACATACTGACATACATGTAAAAACATTCGGGATGGTTTTGCGAAAACTTGGCTGGAGACATTTGAAATCATGTTTGTTTTTTGCTTTTCTAAAACACTATTGTATACATGGTAATGTTGTGGAAATTTCTCTGCTGCTGGTGAAGAATGAAATAGAGAACTTCTGCTGGCCGACAAGATTTTATTTTCTTTGCAAAGAAAAGGTCAATCAACACGCGAGCGGTCAAAGATGAAGAAAGACCCCGAACATGGGGAGATCTAAACATTTATACCTGAGGACCACCTCTTTCACACCCCTTTGTCTGCTGTAGGGGTCTTGCCCTCCAGGAAGTGCTTTCACACCCCTCTGCCCACTGCAGGCATCGGGGCCGACCCCCTGCTGGTGTGTTTAACATATGAGGTGTCCTGAAGGATCTTGCATTCAGGTGCAAAGCCAAGTCCAGACATCACAATCTACAAAACACAAAAGGACCTGGCATCTTGTGTTAGGAAGGGGGAGGTTGGGCATCTGCAGTGGCTGAAACAAAGAAACTGAATCTACTATTACAGTAACAACAATTTACAACCGATTTAAGGGTTTAATTAAAGCACTGTTCAGAAGGATTGAACCCGGCAGGCAGACTGATAATATTGAATCCATCAATTTACATTCTTTCTGAAGTTATTCTGTATCCTCCTGAGACCCAGAACAAAAAAGGTTTTAATATTTTTATTTTATTTACTACTTACTTAAGTACTGCAATCTCTACTTTGCAAGTCACCCAGAGGCCTGGTTGTCTCTTGTGCCACATGTAGGCCACACCACCCTGTGTGTTCACTCACTTAGAAAGTCCAGGATGTCCTCTTCACAGCACATCAGGCCTCAATTAAACTGCATGCATGGTGTTTGAAATAAAGGCCTCAGTGTCATGTTCCCCACAGAGGACAAATATGAATTGCTGGGTCTGAGGAGGTAAATGCATTTCTGTCTCTTTCTGTGGTTATCTTTATTATTAGCCATTCATAACCCTCCTGTACATAAATACATATACATTCCTTATATATTTTATTTATTTATCACAAAACATCATCTTTCAGTACACTGAAATGTCTTCCTACCACCACCAATGGCTAGGACCTGGACTGGTTCAGCATCAAGGGGTTCCAACCTAACCCCCTGTCCTCTTCTCTGCTGCAGACAATCCGTGGCGCTGTGACTGTGCTCTCCACTGGCTGAGGAGCTGGATTGACGAGGAGGGCCAGCGCCTACTCAGCTCTGCAGAACGTCGGCTGGTCTGCACCGAGCCGCCGCGCCTCTCCCACCTAAGCCTTGTGGAGGTCCCGCTCAATAGCCTGGTGTGTATCCCTCCGCTGGTGCAGCTGGAGCCCAGGAGGCTAGCTGTGCGCCTAGGAGAGAGCCTCAGGGTGTCCTGCCATGCCTCCGGTTATCCTCGGCCACAGGTAGGGATGACTTACATGACATCACCTGAAGGTTACTCATTCACTGTATTTACTGTATTTAGTTGCCTTTATTTAAGTCTTGTCTTCCGTTCCAAAATGCCACTACCCACTTGGGGCTAATAGTAGGAAAAAACACCCCAATCCTTGCCTTCCTTCACTGGCTCTTAATTACCTATAAGCCACAATGCAGCCTGAAATCCCCTGGCTGTTCCATACTCTATATTATCAGTGGTGACCAGGTCAATGAATTCCTTGCAGCTTGTCCCCTTCTGCTCCTGTATCTGTACATAAGTACAGTCATACAGCTTGAAAGTTTTATAATAAAACATTCTGAATGCAAGTAGACTTGTCTTTATGCCATCAAGGACAAATCTGCCTCTCTTCCTCCACATTCATACAATTGGATTGTACTCAAAAGCAGTTTTCACCTCATTTTCTGTGGAGTGAACTGGAGGAAGAGAGACCTTGGAGAGCAGCTGAGAGTGCGGAGCACACACTGCAGCTGCCACTGTGAAATTTCACTGCAAATGGCTGCAATGGCTTGTCATGGTTAGGAACCACATGGATTTTGATAGTGATATGTACACTGTATACCATATAGTGTATTATATACAGGAACTGTTACAAAACAGTAGCCTTCAAATGTGTTCAGTTGATGATGATCACTTAATGTCAAGTTTTCAAGTTGTCAAATACAGATGTAAGTGGTGTTCAGTTATTTGCAGTCAGCAACTCCACCGCTAGATGCCAATGAATACTACACACTGTTCCTTTAAGATATGAGTGGAAAGTTTTGTTCTTGCAACTGCATTTCAAAATTTTCAAAAAAGATCAAGAAGAAATATTACTGGGATCATTACAGAAAACTGCACATCCAGGAATTCACATTATAGTTACTACCGCTGACCATACACAGTTACTAATTGCCACCTAATCTTATTTGATTATTTATGTGATGATAACCTTAAGAAGACCATTGATCATTAAACAGTAAATATCTTTGCAGGTGACCTGGAGGAAGGCTTCCCAGGGAAAAGTGGTGCTTTCTCCCAGAGGCCTGGTTCAGGAGCTGGGTGCTGGAGGAGGTGCAGTGGGCAGAGCAGAGGAACCCTCAGAGGAAGGCAGAGTCAGTCTGCAGAAGACTGAAGGCGAGCGATTTGACCCCGACACCGGCAGTGGAATGCTGTTCCTCAGTAATGTGACTGTGGCTCACGCAGGTTTCTATGAATGTGAAGCCTGGAACGCAGGAGGCGTGGCCAGGGTGACCTTTCAGCTTGCCATCAACTCATCCACTTCCTCCTCCTCCTCCTCTTCCTCCTCCATCTGGGCCTCGTGGTCCCAGGTGTCTTCGCCATACTCCCCCGCCTGGCCCCGCCTAAGGAACCACGGTCCTGCTTTGGGCTCAGATGTGAGCCGGGAGCCCCTGTACGCTCTGGGCAGCATGGCCTTCAGCGCTCTGGGAGCTGCTACCCAGACTGCCATCGCTGTGGGCATCTCTCTGCTGGCTCTGACTGCTCTGCTGCTGGTCGCCATGATCTACAGCCGTCATCACCAACGAGACAAGGAAGCTGATGGAGCTGAGAAGGTGTGTGTGTGTGTGTGTGTGTGTGTGTGTGTGTGTGTGTGTGTGTGTAGGAAGAGTTCAAAGATTTTGAAAAGGGACCTATTATGCTAATTTTTATTTCTGTATTCTTTGTCTGAGACTTTACTAGAGTAGCTTTGCATGATTTACTCTTCAAAAACAACATTATTATACATCTTATTGTGGCCCTTCATGCTACTCCTCACTTCATCCTCTGTCTGAAAAAACTCTGAACCTTTGCTTTAGAATTGATGTCATAGCTATGATGTACAAGAGTAAAATAAGAAACCTTTGAAAGTAATATGGACCCTTTCATAACATCTACTGGCTATTCCAGTACAAACTCACAACATCCACAATGAGGTAATTTTTTGCCAAACTTTCAAAGTTTGGATGGATACAAATCTTCAAAGTTGATATCATGAAGCCAGAGCCAAACTCCTGAATAATGTGCCCAAAAGGGAGCATGTAAAAAGAAAATTAGACAAGGATGATTCTGGTTTCCTGTAGCTCCCATTGTTCTTACTAAGTCAAATCAAGTGTACAGGACGATATGCACACAGCTAAAGCAAGGATAAGAAAACTAAACAAAGACATCAAAATCGATATAGAATAACATATTGACAACAACATACAGTGCAGGTAAAATAAATGTGTCTGTAACACAAGAATGTGGAAATATTGTATTATAAGTATGACAAAAAGATATTTATAAAAGTTACCTACTGCAGCTTTAAAACCTCTAATTTTTCTGTTATATTGGATATTGCTGTACCCCAATAGTGATGAACTTGAATTTGAACCTGCAGGAGGAGAGCATCCTGTATGTGAATGACTACTCTGATGGCCCCACCACCTTTGCCCAGCTGGAGGAGTACCGTGACGAGCGCGGCCATGAGATGTATGTACTCAACCGGGCCAAGCCTGTGCTGCCCCCTGCTCCACCCACAGCCGTCTCCACCACTAACCTGGGTTGCCCCGCTCCATCTGACACCTCCAGCCACACCCTCTCCTCAGGGCCGGGCCAGACCATGAGTCCCACTCTGGCCCCCAACAAACAGCAGCAGCAGCAGCAGCAGCAGGAGGGCGACATACGGACCATGAGGAGAATGGCGGGGGAGGGAGGGGAGGCTGAGCCTGTGATCACATCAGAGGCTGAAGGGATGTTTCTTAATCACACAGGCCTGTTTATGGACTCTCAGATCGCCTATGAGATCCACTGCTGAAGTGGGGAGAGGATCCACTGCAGAACACAGGGTTTGTATGTGAGGCAGCGCATACGGCAAAAACTGTCACATCTAATCTGAAGAAAGTAAGGGTAACACACTGATTTAACAGAAATACTCATCCCTGTAGAGTGATTCACTTCTACAAGGCTCATTTACTCTTATTGGCGAAGGTTTACATTACTGGCAGAGTTCACAGTCTGGTTTATTAAATCAAGCATAGCACTGAGACTTTTCAATACTGTGACACCAAAACATCAGTGGTGAGTAGATTGCCATCCCAATGCCCTACACTCAAAGACAATTTTACCTGGACTAAGGTTCATACTGAGCTGCACACACTGTCCTGTACGTGAACATTTGGGTCAACATTTATCAGAACTACTTTCATACCAAAAACCTTCCATCATCATTGCTGTACAAGAGTTCAAGAACTGAGACAAAGCTCATTGTGTTTTCCCCATACAAAATGGGGAAAGTCATGTAAACTTCCAGTTAATGAGCATGTCCCACATGCTCTAGTGTGTTTTTTATCTGTTGTTAATGTCTGGATATGTTTTATTTAATCTGAGACTGTGCAGGCTGTTGAAGGCAGTACAGTAAGTGTGGGACAGCCACAGCTGATTTTTGTAACTATTGGTTTAAACGTGAGGGGACATGTTAATCATCACAGAGAACGGATTTTAAGGGAAGGAGTCTTAATCTCCCATCATTTGCCACATGGATCAGTTCTGATCAACATCCTGTCCAGTTCCAGATACCCACAATGAAACTCTGGGGTCTGTATTGCCCAGCAAATTCAACCTACTCTGGCTCACTTTGGATTTGCTGCCTGACTTAGCCAGACATTGATGATTCTGGTTATCATGAAGCTGGTTATCGCACGGCTCACCCTGTTTTTTTTTATGAGCAGGTTCACATGAAAAAGCCAGGCTTCTTAATTAGAGGCAACATAAACAGATATTAGAAATACTCCAGCATAATATATAATATGAAATAGCATGAAGTGGGTGCTGTGGTGGCAGAAAGTAATATTCAGCAAGGTAAACAATATATAGATAAATCACAACTGAAATTTAATTAGAAATATTAGAAATATAGTAAGAAATATAGTTTAAATATTAAAAGTGGGACCAGTATAAATTGTTGGGATTACTATGATAGCATTATTAAAACAAAATCCCAACTGCTATATTAAGACACATATACAAATAGTCTACTTGGAACAATAATGTGTGTCTGTATGATTTCTGCATTAAAATCCTTAAAAAGGCATCTACTCCCTGCCTCATTAAAAATTCCAGAATCTCTGAATATGCAAATTATTTCAAAATTTTACCTGCTGGACACAATATGTCTCCTACTTCACTGTAAAGTCCATTCTCAGTGGATGTGCACTGGTGGCTTCAGGTTTCTACATCACACTGTACAAGTTGCATACTGGACCAGGACTGACAGGACAATTTGTGATGTCACAAATCATGCTGGTAGGCCCCGCCCCTTCAAATCTGATTTCCAATGAGCACAGAAACTTTCCACTTTCAGAAGTTGAATGTGAAAACATCCTTCTAGTGTCAAACTCTGCACAGACATCATTTAACAGCACACTGTATGAACAAGAAGAAACACTGATTTCTGACTGGAGGGGGAATTTAAGGTTATTTGTTCAAGAAATCAGCCTGAGTACCTTTGCTGAGTCATATTTGGACACCATCCACATAGAAAAGGTCTATTTTCATTCCAGCTAAAAAAAATTATTATCGCAGTGATCAGTAATCAGGGAATGTTTCCCTCTAAAATCTATTTCAGTCTCAAAAATCCCATATCAGTCAGGCTCTAATTACAGTGGCCAGTAAAATGACCAGTATTCTTCTGTTATCAAACTATTAATAATGACAAATTCTCTAGTTAGACTGTTTCTGCTGGCAAAGCAGAGAGATCTGTGTGAATAAAGGTTTGAAAAAGAGAAGAAAAAGGAATGTCTAATAATCTGACTGAACTGTTGTGCTTTGAGTATGAGAGGATGATGGTAATGCTAATGTTTTATTCAATCACATCACTGACACTAAATAGAATGTTTAATCTGATTCTATGAACTCATTATATGTCATTATACACATACATATATATTAAACTAACTAATTGATTAAACTATGTGCATATACCATTTTTAACAAAAAATATGTTTTCATTGCCTTCTTTTTTTAACATAGTTTTAGAAAAAAAATTTTTGTGAGTTTCATGGCCACCATAGTTTCTCCTACACACTTCTCATTCCCAGGTTGTCAAATACAGACACAACTGGTGTTCAGTTAGTTGCAATCTGCAACTTCACTGCTAGATGCCACTTAATCTTACACATTGGTCCTTTAAAACAAATTGTACAAAGAAAAATGAAGTCTTCAACATAAAGAAATATTTTTGGATCCTTTGCTCGGTTTTCCTTCTTATATAATGTTCAGTGTCTATCCAGAATATCTTCCTGTAAATACAAGAAAAAAAGAGCTATTTTTCTAATCAACAGAAATCTAAGGATATAAAAAATCCCGTCTAAACCTCTCCAACAATGAATTACCTGGTTACCATGGTGGTCTACCTCAGCCTAAAGTGAACCAACTTCATGATATCAGAAAACCAGACAGGCCCCTGGTGTAGGTCCACTGTGGCTGTCAGAAATTTAGATATTTACACAGGACTGGAAGTTGCAGTCTTTTGTGCCATACTCCAAGATGGAAATTCATAAAGAAGCACCAATCAGATTCTAAAGGAATGACTGACTACAGAGGACATCAGGCTCCACTTCACATGTCACACCTTTATGGTCAGACAGCTGTCTACGACTGACTGAAAGGAGATGGTTTTATTGTTTGTTTTATGCTTCTTCTAAAACTTGATGTACTGTGACATAATGACTAAGAAAAAAATCTGCATCTAAATGATTTTTTTAATTTACCAAATTTAACACCAGTCAGAACAAACATCTTCTTTTAGCAAGTTACTTTCACCTCCCTTTCTTCACTCCAGGAGAAGGTCAGCCTGGCCCCAACTGATGAAATGGCATGGCTATCCATACTCAACCACTAGAAGAATGTTGGTGGGAAAATTACCTCATGTTAAATTCAAACAGGATTACATCTTGGTTCTTGACTGTTTCTCTATCTATAGTCTGGTGTATGCTGGAAGGACAGAGGAATGATATTGCTTGCAGTGAGTGTTAAGAAAGGCAGTGGCGATATGAGAAAGCTGTGTTTGAATTCCGCATATACTGTATGGAAATGTTACAATGTGCTGTGTAGGTAAGAAAATGTGTACGTGAAAATTGCGAGAGAGCATGGGACACCAAAACTGTCCCATAATGATTTACACCTTGCCATCTCTATATAAACAACCTGGCTTGGTGAGATTTTAGACAACAATGGAGGCTTTTCACTGAATGTCTGTGTTCTCCAATGTCAGCCTGGATGATGGGACTGTGGTACACAATGTGTAATATAGCGCTGCGGGAACAAGTCCTAAAACCCAGAACTAAGCGGGCATTTTAGCATTTCGGTTCCATCACCACAAAGTCAATGGGTTGTTTAAATGGGTTTTTGGTTAGATGACTGAAATATGGTCTGTGGTTAACATAGGCTTAGGAGATTTTCACATTTTGTTCTACGACATAAAATACATCAGTAAATACCCCACCTGTGATTTTGTTTTAGCTTTTACTTGTCTTAAAAAAGGTGGTTGCTAATAAGTAGCTAAATGAGACTACAGATGTTGTTGGTGACATTAAAACACGGAGACTTATCTACTCTCTCGTCCGCCTTTACAACCTCATTGTGTTTATACTTGCACTCTTGCAAACTATTCTAACTCAAACTTTACAACTTGTAGACTTTAATTACAAGATTCAATTACAAATTACAAGTTTAGTGGTGGCGATATTGAAGTTATGCAACTGTGGTGTAGTTCTTATATAGTCTAACATTAGCATTTTACTCCTGGTGAACGCATTTACACTACAAAAATATAAAAATGGCATTTATTTGTAAAGATTATCATAAGCTTTATGATATAACTTTCATAAAGCTTCACCACAGCTTAGTTTCTGCAATAATTCAAAATCCAGTGGGAAAATTCCATTGGTTTTTTGTTGAACCAGCATGTTGCTAACCTCTACGTCATCCTTGTAACCAACCCACAGAGATTCAACACCATCTCAGACACTAGAGGTCTTTACAGGCCTGCTCAGTTGCTAAGTAACCCAAGACCCAAGACCCAAGACCCATGACCTGAAACCTGAGTGCCGCTGGATCTAAACTCTGCATTAGGCAGCTAATGTTTTCCTCAAGAGTTGGTGGAGATGAAAACAGATGTAAAAAGAGAGTGAATATTGGACTTACATTAATCAGGTTGGTCCAATGGGATGATAATGTTGCTCTGCTGGGTGTGCTAGGCAACTGTACCAACTTTTTAAGGTGAGAATATGACATAATATCCTCCCAATAAAATGTAGGCTTGTAGGCCCTACTGACCAAAAAATCAGTTGTTGCATCTTTAACTATGCACAGTTTCCTAAGAATTCACATAACTGTCGTGTTGACTAGAAAGATGTGGCAGTGCTAGCATGCTAGCGAGTCCAAGACGCTCAATAGTAACGTATGAAAGGTTGATCTATGCTTGCTAATTGTTATTTGTCACATTTTATTATTTCATTCTCATTTAGCATAAACAAAAAATCTTCATCAGTTTTTTCTGGACATGGAGGATTTTTTATGGAAGCCATGTCTACAGGGAAGGACATAGCATTATTAGGAATGCCTGTCATCTAGTGTAATAGCGCTGCAGCATTTCATCGCTCCCCACACACAAATTAAATTCTCAGTCATGAATTTTCTTGAAATAAGTGTCTGTGTTAAAGAGGACCTTCAGGATGCTTTTGATGACTCTGACGTCCTCCATCATTCTAATGGACTGCAGTGCAGGCACTGTACAGGCCAACTGTTTAAAAACCTTGATAATGCATGTCAAGTGATGAGAAAACAAAACCCAGGTCAAAAATAAACAGAATGATCACTGAAGGTGTCCACTTTATTTCACTGTCTGCTTAACTCTTACTCACATACAAATTAACCCATAAAATACAGATTTCCACTTTTGTCTCCCCTTCATCTTATCTGTCTGTGTCAAGTGGGTGTTAAACCTTTTATGAGTAAACCCTTTTTAAAGTGGGTCTTTAACCAATTTAATTACACTACAAACTATTATTTTATCTTCACCATGATGGAAACACCAATCATTCTGCAAGCTGAAAAGTGACCTGCCCTTTCAACCACTCAAAGATCCCCTCCAGACATGTTTTAGTGCATATATAAATACTCTTGAATATTTAGGGCCCGAGCACTGACCGTGCGAAGGCCCTATTGTAATGGAAGGAATTATTAGGGCCCGAGCACTGATCGTGCAAAGGCCCTATTGTAATTGGAATTATATTAGTAACAAATGAATCGCATATTTGGAGGCTTTCCCATGCTCAAAAACTCATGAAACGCAGCGCACATGTCAGTCGTGGCAAAAATTTTAATATTTTCTAGGGGGCCACAATGAGCATTGCAAAATGGCCCCTCAGGGGCCCATAAACTGTACCACCCGGGGCCCCTTTCACCGATATGCACAAAAATTGGCACAGGCGCATTGGTTGTGGAATCCAGTGAACTTCCATTACAGTTAAGGAGAACTACGTTATCACTTACACATTGGATCAGACTTCAGGGAAGAGGAACCAGAAATATGGCTTCAAGGGTTCTCCAGAACTGTTGGGAATATACAACTTTTTCAGGTAGAGGTTTTGGATGGGATATAAACAATAAAGTTAAACAATATAAACTAGACACTATTCAACACAGTCCAGCAGTTATCATCAGTAACATTCCACCATGGTTATTTCCACAACTAAAAGTTAATCTACTAATATTAGAAAAGAGAAGAGATTGGTCAGCTAAAAACTTTGATATTGAGAGATTGACTCAAGAATATTTGTCCGAAAATGATTATAACTACTTAAATATATTTACAGATGGGTCAAAACGTGAAAATAATGATGATGTAGGTGTCAGAATATACAAGCATTGCTAAAAGAATTATAGACAGGTCATCAGTATACGCAGCAGAAATGACAGTAATAATCATTAGTCTTCAGTGGGTAGAGGAGTCAAAACCAGTCAAAGTAGTAATATGTTCAGATTCAGCAGCCATACTTCAAAGTATATAGTCAGGACAAAAAGTTAGAAATGATTTAATAATGGAAATATACATGATTTGAAGAAGTAGGAAAAGTAAAAGCAGAAAAGAAGATATAATTCTAACAATGTTAGAAAGGGAAAGACAGCAGAACAGGGTGATGGATGTGGGTAGGGTTTGGAGTATAGGGGGTCTGTTGGGGATAGGGGACAAACAAATACAGATTCAAAGGGCTTTAATCAAATACTTAAATGAAACAGGTCTAATAAACAGAATATAATTTCAATATTGTCATGATTTTACACACTCCGATACAGTAGGTGGCGGCATACACATTTAACGTTGGTTTGTAGCCCGCCAGAAAACCAAACAGGAAGAAGAAAAAAACACTGATAGCGCTGTAGATTAGATGTCTTTTTTTCGTTGTGGTGTATCAGTGTAATACTTCCGGTGTTCCTTACAGCGGTAATGCAAGTGTGTTGTGTCAATTTTAGAAACAATTAATGAAACACAAAACCAGTTGACGGATTTCTGGACTATTTATTAAGGTTTAGCGCGTTCGTTGTAGCTGAAATCAAACATGGATATCCCCAACCCCCCTGAAGGTAAGCAGTAACTAGCTGCAGCGTTGTATGATTTTCATTGAACGTGAGTTAGCTAGCACACATGCTAACTAGAGCTAGTACTATAACATTACGTTACTGCTGCATTTAGCATTTCGGCTAGCGTTAGTAGCTTAATATGTTTTTACCTAAGTAACGTTAATATAAACAGGTATGGTAGACTAGTATGGGCACAGTTTGTTAGCTTTTTGTTGTTTTCGTGTGTTTTTAAAATTTGCACATTTCCACGGCTAAGTTAATTATAGCCAAGTAGCTAATGTAGACATCGCTCATATTTACTGTAACTATGTGTTATGGTTATCGCGTATGCTACAGGGAGTTAGTATGGATTAGCATCGCCTCTCCTCGGGCTACTCCACTAACATGTGTGTGTTGTTAAATAAAACATCAGCTCCCATTATCTCTGAGTCTAAACATAGTCTAGAAACAGAGCATAGTTGTTTGAGTTTCTTCGTGAAATGAAGGGGGTCAGCCTTATGTTCCCACAGCCTTATGTTCCCACAGCCTTATGTTCCCACAGCCTTATGTTCCCACATTTCTAGGACATTTTCAAAATTAGGTCTTGTGTTCCTACATTGGGTTAGGGGTTATGGGTTAGGGTTATGGGTGTAATTGGCTACCAAATTGGGAGAAAGGTGGATAAAATCTGATACAAATTTATGAAAAAGGAAAAGTGGGAACATAGGGCCTAATTTAGGAAAAGAAATCATAGAAATGTGGGAGCATAGGGCTGTGGGAACATAGGCACGCTCCCAAAAGAAGTGACGCTTTTGATCGTTTCTTCCTCTACACCATGACTCCTTGTTGCCTGTTTCCAGCAGTGTAGACATGAGTATGACATCGTTGTTTTGCTATGTGCAACAGTCAGGAAAACATGCTGGCATCGATAAAAGGAATTGATTAGCTCGGAGGCATACAATTCTTATGGATCGGAAAATTTGGAACTAGTTCTCGATTACCATCCGTACTTTTGACCTGCTTTTTAAATCTAACTCTAACCTTTCTTTATCTGAAATAGTATATAGCCTAATACATACAAACACAAAAAAACACAATGTTTTTCTCTCTATCTTTTGGAATTTATTGTCATTGCAGCTTTCTAGCTCTGAATGTATTTTCCCCCTCTTCTTCTCTCTCCTGCTGCAGATCAAGAACTGAGGAATGTCATTGATAAGCTGGCCCAGTTTGTTGCCCGGAACGGGCCAGAGTTTGAAAAGATGACAATGGAGAAACAGAAGGACAACCCCAAGTTCTCCTTCCTCTTTGGGGGCGAATACTTCAGCTACTACAAGTGCAAACTTGCTATGGAGCAACAGCAGCGTATGTAGTTAAAGGGACAGTCCATCATAAAACCATGTGCACAGAGATATTTGTTTAATGTTGGAATGTTCAGTTAATTTTGTATTCAAGATCATTAGGTCCTTTCCCAGTTCTGTAGAAGCCTTCATGAAATTAATGAAAATAATTAATTGAAATGCAGCTTGTACAGTTGAATAAATGAGAACAGTAAGTGACATGTAATTAATCTGAACATGTAACATCAACACACATGCCCTGTTATAACTTAATTAGAACATCTTGTGCAGCCAGATACAGGAAGTCCTGGCTGCATTATTTCCTGCTTTTGGAGAAGCTGTTGATTGAACTCTCCAACATTATATTAATAATGTGTATTCTGTTTTAGAGTGGATTTTTCCTTTGCGTTTATAGGCATCCAAAGCCTGCCTTTGTACATCCCTTTCAAGGAAATATTGTTACCTACTTCACTGTACTTATGTGTGACAGAGGGTAGCTCGTAAAGTCTGCTGGCATGTCGGCTGTGTTCTACAGTAGAGCACCAGCTGTACAACCACAAACTGCCTCCATCTTCTAGGCAGTGTTTTCACTGCATAGCCATGTGGAGCTGACCAGTGCTGAACTGAACTTGGATTTCACTCTTAATTTGAAACAAGACTAGGGCTACGTATGAAACAATACCCAGAGAAATCCACCAGTTTGAGTACAGTGTTTCATAAGTGATAAAAATAGGACCCAGTTTGTAGTAAGCCAGAATCTTTCTTCAACATCTGACATGTGCTTTATTATTCTCTGTCCTCTGCACTGTGTGTGTGTGTGTGTGTGTGTGTGTGTGTGTGTGTGTGTGTGTGTGTGTGTGTGTGTGTGTGTGTGTGTGTACGTACATCATGATACAAGCAGGACAGAGCTAAATGTATTCTTATGTGCTAAAGAAGACATACTGTATTTCCAGAAGTCTGTGCAACATCTGCATTGTAATGCACTGCTGTGTTAATGAACCCAACCCTGTGTTCGGCCAGCAAATAACGCCACTTTTTCTCTACAACTTCTATCTAAAAGAATAGCGGTCTTAAATAGTGCTAGAAGAAAACCCTTAATTAAACTGAAGTTAAACATAAATGATTAATACAACATTTCTAAAGCACACACCCTATTTTTCTTGATTAAATCTTTCTAGCTGTAAGAGAGTGCCAGATAACACAAATTGTCACTCACGTCACCTCCATATCTGATGAGTCAAATGTTTAACTGAATACGTAAATTAATAATACAGTGAGTTAAATTAATATTACAGTGAGTTAAATAATTTTAATAGCTGAATTAAGATTCTGTTCTGTTCAAGTCAAACAGAGTCCGGGTGCTGCTATTGTCAGGGTCCCATGCATCCTGAAAAATCTGGAAATTTAGAGATTATTTTTTCAGTCAGGGAAACACCTGGAAATTCATTAAAATTACCAAATATCCTGGACATAATATATTCTGTTCTGTAAAATATTTTAGCCTGTTCTGTAAATCAATGTTATGGCCAGAAGAAAACTGTAGTCAGTTTGCAATGCAGAAAAATTGCTGTGATGAGAACAGCTAGGTGTGCCACAAAAGCGATCTAATGCAGAGTGTCCATTAAATGGTGACCACTTAGGCTGATCACCGTCTGTGAACAAGTTCTGACCTGTATTGTTAAGAAAAAAATCCTGGAAAATGTCCTGGAAAACAATTTGTTAAAATGAGTGGGAACTCTCTATTGTACGTGCTGTCTCAAGGCTGGCTGCTGTGGAAAAGGTCTATACACTCCTTTTTATTGCTCTTGTAATCTGCAAGGATGCTAGACACTGGATGTGACAAGTTGTATATTGCATTAACAGCATTGTGAACACTATTAAACACACATTTCACCAAGCTTTAAGTGGCTGAAACAAAATAGGAAAGGTCTGTAAATACTGTCTCTGCCAGTATTTACAAGCTGTGAAAAGATGCAGTTAAAAGTGTTAAAAAATGTTACACACTGGAGCTTTAAATGTGGTTTGGTTTTTGTAACAACTACAAAGCTAAACCAACTGATTAGTATGCCAGTATAGACGTAAAGTAAGTCTTAAATTACAGTCATAATGGTCCTAAAAATGTCTTAAATGTAGGCTGTTGAAATCTGCAGAATACAAATCAGCAAAGTCATTTAAACTGTAGTATGTATTTAGTCATAGCTTTGACTCATCAGACTATTTGCCACTTATGTAGAGGCAGCCAGAGGTTCTTAATGCTCATATAGGTCTTGGTCACTGAATGATGGTCAGCCTGGTAATAATAGCACAGTGTAGTGCAGGGTTGCATAGAGTTCTTGTGTCAGTCATGTCATACTACTGAAATGCATTAAAGTTTGTTTTTCTCCACTTAGATCCCTCTACCCACGATGGGGAGGAATATAAATCTGAAGGTATTTATGTGGAACCAGATTTGCTAGACAAATTCAAAATCCCAGTTGGAAAGTCCCATTTTATTTTTGCAAATTTTTGCTGGACATTGTCACACCTATGCTTTAAAACTCTTTTTGTTTTCAGTTCCGTTTTTTTCATTTCTTAATTTTATGAGTTTGTGCTTAATTGTGTTGACTGAAGATATTGCAGGCACATCTTCTTGATGCATATCTTCTCAGGTTTGCTCAGACAAACAGAATGAGGAACCTGGTGACATGTCTGTGAGCCTTGTTGTTTAATCTGTGTCTGAAATCCTCCTTTCATGATTTAGGGAATCTGTATCATAACCCTTCCTAAGTCCCGCCTTATTTTGCTATGTGCCCCAAAAACAGTTGAGCAAGCCTAGGTCAGATCCTTGGTTAGCTTTCTCCTTTCCTGTACTTAGATATGCTATGTCCTAGGCTCGTCTGTGTTGAAAAAACCTCCACATTTTGAAGATAGTTAAAAGATAAAAGATATGCTGCTGCTCAAAAGTTTGGGGTTACCTGCCATAAAAGCTTGATAGGGTACAGTCAGATGGTTAAGAGGATATTCTATATCTGAATGGTCTTTCATACTTGAAGGTTGTAGAAAGTCCTCTTTACAAATAGATGTTATTTTGTATGAAGGGTTTTGCAACAAAAGTTATATTTTGTAAATTTTTTAACAAAACAATGGTTCCACCAGTCTATATAAAAGATGAGCGACAGTTAAATAAGAATATAAGATATCAGCAGTCAGTGGTAAAACAAACTGGAAGCTTAGCATCTGTGCAGTTTTAAACAGGAATAGATTCCGGTTTCAAGAGCTCAATAATGTCTGTAACAACAATTAAAAAGCCTGTGGCTTTAGCAAAGCTATTCTTAAAAATTAAAAATAGTAACTGAAGGTACGTGTAAGATTAGAACTATTGAATATCAACTGAACACACTATGGACTAACAGATCAGTTTAAACCTGTTTAATCTTTAGTCTCTCTAACAGACTGCAAAGGGCCCAAAAAATGGTTCCCAGAGTCCAGTTGCACTGTTGTGGTTTATAATGACCTCAGTGCCTGTAAAGGCCAGGACACACCAAACCGACGGCTGACCGTCGGCAGAAAAGCAGGGGCTGTGTGCCCGCTCCCGGTCGGTGTGCCGACCACCTGCCACTGCAGGTGCTGTGTTTGGTTGTTTTCGGTTTTTGTGGCGTGGTTTTGTTCAGAGGCATTTTTTTGACCGACTCGGGAGACTGGAGCCGACTGATCACTCCGACTGCTTTTCTGCCGACGGTCGGCCGTCGGGTTGGTGTGTCCTGGCCTTTACACTTTTCTGGACTGGAAAACAAAGTCAGAATGGAAGGGTATTTTGGGGGAAAATGGTTCCAACAGTGTTCTCCCCAGTCATGCAGCACTGTCGGGACAAGTTTTAATAATTTAATTATTCATCTTTTGAAATGATTCCAAATGTAAATGATTCATAATAATGGTATAGGAATTGAAATAGCCATTATTGATGGAAAGACGAAAACATCTATAACTGGTGACCAAAACCATTTGAGCGTTAGTTTATATATAGTCAGCTAGAGTGTATATTGTCAGCTAGAGTGTATATTGTCAGCTAGCATTCACTGAGCTTAATGAAACACATTGAAAGAAGATTTTATATTGCCAGTATAATAAATAATTCCTTGATCTTGGGACAGCTCTTGTTAGAAATAAATTGTTTAATTAATTTTTTACTTACAGCTTGATTTGTAGAATTATGTTTAGCATAAGATAGATTTATTGGTTGTAAAATATTTTCATCTCTTGGAAATGTGATTTGATTTAATATCATTGTGCAACCCAGCTGTAGTTGAGTGACCTAATCCTTTCTGTTCTTTGTTTGAAAAAAAAGTTCTTCTGATTGTTCATGACTTTAGCGGATGCCAACATATTTTGTTTCAGCAGCTGCAATAATCAGGGGATTGTGGACAGTGGTTGTTAATATTGGTTGCATTTCTTTTTAATTCTGTTCACTTTTCTGCTTTGTTCCTGGAACATTTTATCTGTTTGCTGTATGTAAGCTGTTAAATCTTACTTCCCCTGTAGAGGTCACTTTGATTAAAATAGTGAATATCTGCCTTGTGTATGATGTATGGAATATATATTTCTCTTTGGTCATCTGCATCACATCAGCAGTTATACAGCCTCAACCCCCCCAGCCTCAGCCCTGAAATCAAATCTTTATCAAACCTCCAGACTTTTTTATTCCCTGCTGTATTTCTGCTGCTGTTTTTCCAGAAATATACAACCCTGGTGCCAAAGACATGGTTGATATTCCTCCTCCACCAATGCAGATGATTGCCCCGCCTCCAATTCCTCCACCTGCTGCTTCCTCCATTGACGAGCTCATCCAACAGAGCCAGTGGAATCTGCAGCAGCAGGAGCAGCATCTGCACACACTAAGACAGGTACTGAGCAGGAAATACAGAGAACATCTATGTATCCCTATGCTTTTTGCTTGAATTTTTTATCAAATTATTTAATTAATTAATTATTATCAAAGGCCCAAACCCTAATTAATTTAAACTCGTATAGAAGAGTAACCCTATTTCAACAAACAAGACATGGATCAGACGTTTTTTTTACGGAGATAAGTGAGTAGAGCTTCAGCAATTATTAGCTATTAAATTACCTACCGACTATTCCGATAGTCGATTAATCGTGTCGAGTCTTTTCAATGTCCATTTCCGCTCCTCAAATGTGAATATTTTCAGCTTTCTTTAGTCCTCTATGACAGTTAACTGAATATCTTTGCATTGTGGACAAAACAAGGTATTTGACATTGATAAACATTTTCACAATTTTCTGACATTTTACAGAGTAAAACCACTAATTGATTAATGTAGAAAATGTTCATGTATGGACCTTCATCTTCTGGTCTTCCCTGACGAGAACGTTGGCTCGGCAACTATTTTGTCTCTCTCCTGTTAAGTCCTGCTACACTTTCCCCTTTCAGACTGGAGAAAAACTCACACCCAACACTAGGGGTGGGTATTGTTAAGAACCTCACGATTCTATTCGATTTTGATTCTTTAGGTCACAATTCGATTCGATTTCGATTCGATATTGATTTAAATGCTTAGATATCGATTCAGTAATAAGTAGAATTAAAGCTGCAAGCAGCGTTGAGCGGGACCTCGCACTCCACGCAACTCGGGGCGTGCTGCGGCCACGTCGCATGCCGTCGTTACACCAAAACATGACATTTCACGTAAATCAGCTCAAAACTGCCACGCAGTGCTTACTTCCTGTTGCCAGTAGGTGGCGCTATCACTATGTCTTAATATTGTCATGTAGAAAAGTTCAGGGCGGGACTGTTATAACACACGTGAAGTTTCATTGAGATTGGACCACGTACGCTGAAGTTATGAGGACGTGTTCAGGGCGAGACTGTTAAAGAATATATTAAGTTTATTGGAGATTGGACATTGCACACTGAAGTTATGAGTGTTGTTTTATGGCGAATCGGCTGAATTCGACAAGTCGTCACCAGCACGGTCATTTCACGTAACTCAGCTCAAAATCGCCATGCAGCGCTTACTTCCTGTTGCCAGTAGGTGGCGCTATCACTATGCCTGAATGTTGTCATGTAGACAAACGCCGAAAGTGAAACTTTAAATCAAAATGGCCGACTTCCTGTGGGATTTCGGGTATGGGTCCAAGAGGCTTTTTTGTACGTCCCGGCATGTTACACGTGCCTACCGAGTTTCGTACATATCGGTGAAACATGGCGCCAGGGCTGCTGTTTTTTTTTATCCTGTAGGGGACGCTACAAACACGACTTTTGGTATGTGAGCTTCAGGCCCCACTCTACACGTGCCCTGTGAATTTCATATTCATAACTATTACGGTCTCTGCACAGTGATTTACCATGCCACCACAGTGCCACCTGGTGGCGGATTGTTGACACATTTTTTTAGTGAATCTCAGGGAGCCATGGGGAAGGATCGAGTTTCAAGTACCAAGTTTCATCTTAATCACACATACCGTTGTAGAGATATAAACTTCTTCATTTTAAAGTGGATACAAGCTTTTTGAATGTGCGACAAACTATGCAGAAGTTATTAGCCTAAACGCACTTTTTATGATAAATGTGCCACCTAGAGGCCGACCTGAAAGTGACGCATAGAATATAAAATTTTTCACGAGGCCTGACCACTTTGCCAAATAAAATTGAGTTTTCGTATATGTTCAGGGGGGCAAAAACGCAGTCGAAGTGGCCTAAAAATAATAATAGGTAAGAAATTGAGCAAAAACAATAGGTACCTCCAGCAGTCGCTGACTCGGTCCCTAATTACACAAACAATTCATTAGAGTACCTGTTGATAATTTTAAAAGCTTCGGGACAGCGACTTCCGTCATGTGTTTGCGTGTTGGTATGGGGTATCGTGGTTTCTAGTGTGTATACCATCTTCTTATAACCCCCGTTTTCCACGACACTGTACGGTCGTAGGTCCTTAAATATGAAGACGGCCGCAGACTCCGTTATCTTCTTTGTGCAGGCAGAGTTTGGTGGCGTTTGCAAAGGAAGGATCTGTCAAGTTGCGTCTGTTTTGAATCCACAGGCTGGTTTAATACTGTTGCTACCTGCTTAGGTTGCCATGTTGTTGTTGTTGTGTGGTTGAGTGCGGCCTCCTTCTGTACAACGCAAATCACACATGGGTGTTGCTCACCGAGCCCCCACTGGCCAGGGGCTTGAATCGATTCAGAGGATTTAATGAATCGATATTGAATTGGGAAAAAATATATTGCAATGCATTGATGAATCGATATTTTTACCCACCCCTTCCCAACACCCACTAACATCTGGCTTCAAGGATACAATTGGTATTCCCTTCCATGTAAAATGACTCTACAATAGAGCTGCAACCACTAGTCGATTAATAGATTAGTTGTCATCTATGATATTAATTGCTAACTATTATGGCAACTGATTAATCACTTTTAGTCATTTTTGAAGGACAAATGTTGGTTCCTTTAGACCTCTGTGTCAGTAAACCGAATATTTGTGGGTTTGTGTTGTGGACAAAACGAGACATTTGATGCCTTCCAGCTATGACGCACATTGAAGTTCTGGACGTTGCCACGGAAAGAGTCGGCACTGTTTGCAACTGTTGTTGTTGTTGTGTTAACAATAGGGATGTCAGATTTGGTTTGCTCAGAGCTATGGAATAATCATCCTTTTTGCTAACTGCATCTCAACCTTTTTTACCCTCAGCTGTGTTAATACTGCAGGTTTTGGACTTGTTTTTTAAACAAAAAGATGTGAATTTATCAGTTATCTTATTGGTGTCAGCCATGAGAAGCAAATCATTATTGGTTATTGTATTGTTGGGAAAAAAATCCATATCATGCATCCTTAGGAAATTATAAATAGTAAATGGACTTTACTTGTATAGGCTTTCTAGTCTTCTGACCACTCATAGCGCTTTAACACTACACCGCATTCACCCTTTTACACACATTCACTCAGTGATGGCAAAGCCCATCAAACGGGACTAACTCATTCACACACATTCATCCACCAATACACAGGGCTGTGTGCAATTTGGGGTTGAGTATCTTGCTCAAGGATATTTCGGCATGCGTTGGGAGGAGCCGTGAATCGAACTGCCAACCTTCCGCAAACCTTAGTTTACCTGCGTTTTAAAAAAAACAAATGCACAAATTTGGGGCTAAAAAAAGGTATTGGGGGCAAGGGTATTAGAGCTGGTGCCCCATTTACCAAGGCTGGGTCCTTGCTGCAGTGGCCCAGGGTTTGAATCTGACCCTTTGCCCCCCACCCCCAGGGTCACAGGTTGGAATCGACCCCATGGCTGTTAGTTACAGCAAGGACTTTGGTACATGGAGTGCCAGCTCCAGGTGAGCTACCGGGGTCCCCAATAGCATTTTCTAATACTTTTTTCTCTGCCTTTCTGAATATAGGAACAAGTGACTGCAGCCATAGCTCTGGCTATGGAGCAGCAGACCCAAAAACTGCTGCTGGAAACTCAGTTGGACATCACAGAATTTGACAACCTGTTGCAGCCCATCATAGACACCTGTACCAAAGATGCTATCTCTGTAAGTCTTCCATCTTGGAGTTTTTCTAGGGGTGCTTATAGTTTCCTAAAATAATTGAAGAAAAGCTTTACACCTCACTTATGTGTTTGTCCGTCTCTCAGGCTGGTAAGAACTGGATGTTCAACAATGCCAAGACTCCACCGCACTGTGAACTGATGACGTCACATCTCCGCAACCGCATCACTGCTGATGGAGCGCATTTTGAGCTCCGGCTACATCTGATCTATTTAACCAATGATGTTCTCCATCACTGGTACACAAACCTAAATGCATACATAAACACATGTAGCTCACTTGACCCGTACTCTTTGTTCATTAGATGCTATAATGTCATTAGCCTTCTAGGGAGTTATAAAGTAAACCTTCTGAGTAAACCTTCATTAACATGTTCTCTGATTACAAGAACACATACTGTACAGTGTTTCCTGTAGGATTTTTTTTAGCAGTGGGGGCAGGCCCGTCCGAGCACAACCCCCCCCCGTCCAGTCAAGCCGGCAAACGTTATACGTATGAAACAGAACTGACACTTCGCTGCGACACAAACAAATATATTTACCGTTTTAATGTTTCCAGATGTTTGATATCAGGACGTTGAGCTGAGAACTGACAAGTTGAACGTTATCCAATTAAAACAGACCCACCGCGGTGACGTTTTTGGTGGAGCTGTTAGTTTAATAGTCTACTTGGAAGAAAGCAAACGTGTTGACAATAAGCTACATCAACACAACAGTATGTGGAGTTAAACTGGACAGCCCCAATAACCTCTGAATAGTTCTACTTGTTGTTAAATTGCAATGCGAGCGGCAGCCAACGGGGATGCATTATGTCGGCAGGATCATTTAAAAGGCAACCGTGATTACATTGTGCGTCTGCCCCATTTCTGATACCGTGGCGGTAGAAATGTAACAGCGGCGAGCCGCCGCTCCAAAATCAACATAGAGGAAACACTGCTGTACCTGTGCAAGTATAAAAACCACTAACTGTGTCTAAAACTGTATTAATCATTGAACAAACATAGGTTTAGGGTATTAGGGAGCCATTGCTAATTAATTAACATTTATATTTGACCAAATTGAATGTGTTTATTAAATACATTTAGGTACAGTGAAACTGTGATTAACACGTCTCGACTCAGTCAAATTTCTCCTTTCCTGTACTTAGATATGCTATGTGCTAGGCTACCCTATGTTGAAAAGACAACCACATTTTGAAGCTAAAAATATATATTAGTAGTTCTTGTATCAAATGTATTTAGGCATTAAAAATGGACTTTGTGGGAAGATTTAGTGAGAAGATGATTTTGGAGCAGCTTTCAGGATATTCCTTTTCCAACGTGATGTGTGTTTTAATGTGTCCTGCCAGCCAGCGGAAGCAGCAGAAAGATTTGTTGGCAGCGCTGCAGAAAGTTGTGGTTCCCATCTACTGCACCAGCTTTCTGGCTGTAGAGGAAGAGAAACAGCAGAAGATCACTCGGGTAAACACCTTCTGACTTTAAAAGCACATATACCGATCAGCCATAATATTATGAGCACTGACAGGTGAAGTGAATAACACTCATGTGGTTATCATGGCACCTGTCAGTAGGTGGGATATATTAGGCAGCAAGTGAACACTTTGTCCTCAAAGTTGATGTGTTAGAAGCAGGAAAAATGGGCAGCTTGAGGATTGGAGCGAGGGCCAAATTGTAATGGCTGGATGCTCTTGTAGGGTGTTCCCAGTCTGCAGTGGTCAGTACCTATTAAAAGTGGTCCAAGGAAGGAAAAGTGGTGAACCGGCAGGGCTCCAGAGTGCGACCAATTTGGTCAAACATTTTTAAGAGTGCGACTAATAATTTTTCTAGGTCGCACTGGTGCACCTGACGCTGCCCGGGTGAAAACATAACACAGTTTATTTTGCAAGCGCATCATCTCTCTGTGTTCTCCTGTGACCGAACTCACACACTCATGGTAGGATCATATCGTTTTCTAAACCAATAAGAGACAGAGCTCGGGCAGGTCTTTGCCTCTGATTGGCTGTGGTCCTGTTCACCGCGCTAAGTTGTGTGTGTTTAAAAATTGCCTAGCCCCGGTCCTTCGGCGACAGCATCAGACTCGGAACCAGAGGAGGAGACAACCGAGTCTGGGATAGAGCCCGGCTCCGAGGCCCAAATTAAAAAGGCCAAAATATATTCCTTCAGACAGGACTGGCTGAAACAAGTTCCCTGGCTGAGGAACAACAAAGGACGTAACGCAATGCACTGCGTGTACTGTCAGGAGTGCGGTCAGAATAAGGCCGGAAATGGTGCATTCGTGAGCGGGTCAACAACGTTTTGTATCGAAACTTTAAAAAAAACATAACATGTCTAAAAATACACGATATGCCGTGAAAAGTGTGTAGAGAAAGTTGCCCCTCTCCCAGCTGCATTTCAGCAGCAGGTAGTAGTAATCATTATTATCATTAATAATTATTCCACTTGAAATGTTTGAGTTTGAAATGTTCAAGTTCAGTGAAGCACTTTAAACACTTTATTTTTCTTTTTATATATAATTGTGCTTCAAATAAAGACAAGCATTTCTCTACACCTTATTCTTGTTTAAAAATCATTCACATTATATGAAAGTTATGGAGAGCAATAACCTTATGGCGTTAAAGGCGACGCAACGAAAAATTTGGGTGCACCTACATTTTGTGCAGAGTTAGGCACACCAGTGCAACCAATGCAAAAAGTTAGTCTGGAGCCCTGACCGGAGACACGGTTATGGGTTGCAAAGCCTCACTGATGTACGTGGGGAGTGAAGGCTACTGTAGCTCAAATTGCTGAAAAAGAGAGAGAACACTGTCATTGTGTAGAGTTTAGCTTAGTTCTGGTCTTCATTTATTTAATTTGAAAGCTAGGAAGAGTCTGTACTGTTGTCCCTGAGTCTAAAGTTATTTTTCTCTGATTCTTCCCACCCCCGTCCTCCTCTGTAGTTGTTGCAACTTTGGGAGAAGAATGGGTACTTTGATGAGGAGACCATTCAGCAGCTTCAGAATCCAGCACTGGGCCTCGGCCAGTACCAAGTGAGTGGAATAACACGCAGTAACCACACACCAATTTATGCACTGCACGGTGTTGCTGTGCGTGCAATACAATGTAAAGTTTTGTTTTCGAGCTGGTTTGCTAAATAGGCTAATGTAGCTAACAATAACAGTAGCCCGCCACTGCCCCTGGTGGCTCGAGAGAAACGCCACAGCACTTGTTGAAATTGAAATGGCAAAATATTATTGAAATGTAAGTCTTGCAATAACGGAATTACTTGAGATGTTAGTGTTTCTGTAGAAAAACGTATTATTATTTCACATTAAGCTTGTTTAGATGAGCCACAACCAATAACAACACAGCTGCTGCACTTCTTTCCGACTTGTAATGCCCGAAGACAAACTGGAACGCTGTAAGTTGTACAAGCCAGGCAATGACGTCACGTTCTCGCGGCAGAACAACTCGGGTTCCAAGTTCATGAGACAAATGGAAAGCAGCATTAGCCCTGCCTGCAGCCTAAAGCACCCTTTACTTTTTTTTCCAGGATGTTATCATCATAATATACTGGAAAAAAACGCTTTTTTGGCCATTATCCAACACTATGACTATTAGGGATGCACAATATGGATTTTTTTTTTGCTGTTACGATAACTGATAATTACCTGCTTCTCATGGTTGATACTGATAAGATAACCGATAATTTCATTTTTGTTTTTTTTAAAGAGGTTTATAACCTGTAGTTTTTAGAAGAATTGACTCTGTTTTTTGTTTTCCTCAGTGAAGTTACACACCAATAGACATAGACAATCCACCAGAAGCTCATTGGTTTAGCTGATATTGGGCTTCAGGTGATTGTCATTGCACCATGTGACAAAACTTTTTATCAGTCCTCTGTATTCTGTAAGTGAAGATCGCATGTTTCTCAAGGGGAACTTAATACCTTTTGCCAAAAGCCTTCAAAGTCTTCACTAAATATGTCATGAGTCTGGAAGGATATCGATGTAAACTGAAAGGATACAACTGCGAGCCGGTAATTCATTTGTTCGTTTGTTTTCTTAAAGACTTTATTATTATTGGACTTCAAACCTCAATTCAGTTACAGATATGCAGAGGAGATGAAAAACTGCAGAATTTTAATGTATTAATTAGTCTATATTAATTGTTTGCACAACGTTAACAAGCTACACTAATATAAATATATTGACAGCAATAAACAGCGGGGGGTGTTCGGACGGGCCTGCCCCCACTGCTAAAAAAAATCCTACAGGAAACACTGCAGTCTCACTTCCACTTAGTGCCAGTTGCACCTGGTTTACAGCAATGGCTATGTTCACCAAAATTAGGTTGTACCCAGGCATTTTGCTTGCATTTCGCCCTATTTCAGGAAAATAAAGCCCTAATTACACAGCAACAGTCTCACATTTGACCCCCTTGTCCTCTTTCTCAGGCATCTCTGATAACAGAGTATGCTGCGGTGGTGCAGCCGATCCAGCTGGCCTTCCAGCAGCAGATCCAGGCTTTGAAGACCCAGCACGAAGAGTTTGTTGCCAGCTTGAAGCAGCAACCACAGCCTGCCCCTGTAGCACAACTATCTACCCCCGCCGAGGCTGAAAAGGCCCCAGCTATGACCACACAAGCTGGTGAGAAGACACTCACTTAACCAAACCAGAGGCTCAAACTGGTCAACAGATTTGAGAAAAACCATATAACAGTTGTGCTGTACATACTGCATGTCTGTGCTGTAATGTGTCAGTGTGCATTGTGTGCAGGTGATGTTAAGCCTCCCATGTCTGGTCCTCCTCCTGGGGAGTTTGATGCTGCTTCATCCAGACCACAGGACCCCAGCAACCCCAGTGGACCCTCAGATATCTCCTCCAACAAGCCTGCGTGGTATGACCCCCAGCACATAGGCCCCTGGAACCCCAACCAGCCGGTAAAGGCCTACATGTTTCAGTGTGTATGTGTGCATACTTGTGGTGGAGGGTGGTGCCCTTGTTCCACCCTCCCTAGTGATAGGTCTTGCCCAGAACTACAGAGCTCCCTGCTCTAGGTTTGTGCAGAATATGTGGGACCTCAGGCAAAGCTCACTGCCTTTCTGACAAGGGATGTCACAAGAACCGATACTTGGGTACCAAGACGATGCCAAAGTTCAGAAACAGTACTCGATTTTCTACAATGCTGAGGTACCAGGAATTCAGTTCTTCCAGACCTGATGCGGCATCATATACACCTACAAGTATTCTAGTCTGCCATGACCATTTTTGCGTTGCCATCAACACAAACTCAAACACAAACCACAAAACTATAAATGTGATAGAAATGTAGGGCAGTGCAACTCCAGTCTGCCTGTCCCTACATGGTTCACTAGGCTTTTATAACTGAACTTGAGCAGGAAGCTGAGACTGGGTGGAAATGTGTTGTTTTCACATCACAGATGGTTAAGAAAGGCATTAAAACGTGAAATCATTTATTTATTGGCAGAGAGTTATATGATAATGAAACCATTAGCTTAAGAGTGCAACACAAACAGACAGCAGGAAAGCACATGTTGAGTTGTTTTTTTTATTTATTACTTGAAAGGTAAAACTTAGTTTGTAATGTTCAAATGTTTTAATAAAGGAGTTTATGCTGAAGAGCATGGGATTTACAATTTTTTACTGTGCTATAGGGAATTGTGAAATTTCACACTGGTATTGTGACGTCCCTATTTTCTGACTTTTGTCCTTCCCCAGCCTCCTTTTGACCCAAACCAGCCTCCCCCTCCGTGCCCTCCATGGAACAGCCACGAGGGGATGTGGAACGACCAGAGAGACCAAGGGAACTGGAGTGGAGGTCCACCCAGAGAAGGAGGTCCTTGGAGTGGTCCAGGTGGCACTGACCCAGGCCCCCCATCTTGGAACTCGTATGACCAACAGCCACCATGGGGGAACCAGCCTGACCAGCCTCCGTGGGGCCAGAGGGAGCCCCCATTTCCACCACGCATGCAGGCATGTGACAGATTATTACTGTGGTTTGATTTAATTTTTTTTATTTGATTGGAGACTGTAATTCCAGTAAACCCTATTCTAAATCTGACTTTGAACGTTTTTTTTCTGGATGGATATGTTTTGGCTGCTCATTTACATGAATGACTATATTGCATTTTTACAGAGACCTCCCCATTTCAGAGGGCCCTTCCCTCCCCACCAGCAGCCACCTCCTTTCAACCAACCACCACCACCACCACACAATTTCGGACGCTTCCCGCCACGATTCATGCAGGACGACTTTCCTCCCAGACACCACTATGACAGGCCGCCATACACCCCACACCGTTTTGACTACACTCAGGGAGATTATCCTGGAGGTGCAAAGTGATTGATCAGTAAATTAAATGCATCTGTAAAGCTACTTGGTTTTGCACCTGTAATTATATTTAATTACTTTTCTTGTGTACAATATCCAGACATGCCAGGTCCTCCTCCCCATCACCATCCCAATCAGAGGCTCCCTCCCCCAGGTATGGGGCCTGAACATCCTCCCTGGAGTGGAGGCCAGCACCCGGATTTTGGCCCACCCCCACACGGCTTCAACGGCCATTCACCCCACATGCGTCATCGGCAGCATCCGGTCCAAGATGACCCCAGTCTTGTGCCCAACGTACCCTACTTTGACCTGCCAGCTGGTCTCATGGCCCCACTGGTCAAAGTGAGTCATCTGCTTCTGGTTTAAAGACAAGAGTGTGAAAATGAATGTTAGGAAGTACAAATTTCCAAATCCGTGATAGTTTTCAAATCAGTCAAGCCATGTCTCATGATCCTCCTTGTACTTGCTCAGCTTGAGGACTGTGATTACAAACCTCTGGACCCTAAAGACATCCGACTGCCCCCTCCCATGCCTCCTAGTGATCGACTACTAGCCGCTGTGGAAGCTTTCTATAGCCCTCCATCCCATGATCGGCCTAGGAACAGGTACACACACACACACACACACACACACACACACACACACACACA